TGGCTAGTCAAACCGGACATATTAGTAGTCTCTTTAGAATCATCTGCTAAATTTAAAGTAGCTGCAAGTCAACAACCAAAAGGATGTAGATATAAGCTATAGATTGACAGAAATATATAAGATTCTCAACCCAATCTTAGACTTGAAAGAAATCTCATAAAATGGCATTTTCAACAAATCATTGTAGTTTTTAAAAAATTCAAAAACGAAAAAAAGATGATGGCAAAACTTCAAATATTCAAATTTACACACCTTAATCAGTGGGGTACTTCATTGCCAAGTTTGACAGTGGCTACTCCGAGAAAAGACAACAATTAAAATGACATGTGACCAGCAACAATCTGGAATACGATATTATTTTCCCAATAAGTAGCATGTACATCAACCTTAAATGAAATAGGATTGAGCTGTTGAGACACAAATCGATTACACCATTTCATGAAATTGTTACAAATTCAAACATGCTTCAATAGTTATAATCTTTTCTTTCCCTCCTTATGCCACCATGTATTCCTTTCCCTACTTTTTTTCTGCCAAAGCCTTACAGCATAGTGACTGATGATTGATTTACAACCTCTTTCATGAAGAGAGAATGACTTCAAATTGCAGAGACATTATAGGCTATCCCCATTTCGACAAATTTGAGTGGACAATAGAACCAGAAAGAGAGATGAATTGAATATTATCAACTTGCACCATATACTGTCATTCAATCGCATTATTCATCTCCAAAGTAAATAAACTGAAAACTACCTTTCTATTTATATACTACTGCACTATGTGTGTGCGTATGTTGTGTGCTTGTATTTCATTTGTTATACACATGCACGTATTACTCTGTATATGTAGGTGTACATATGAGTTATGAACCAAGAAATTACCAAAGATTTTAAGGAAAGATTAGTCTGTAAAGCAATCCAAGGGGTAAAATTCTACTAAATCTGAAACAAGTAGAATAACATGTCTTCATGATTATTTTATCTATACTCATTGAATACTCAAAGGATGGAGATGAAAATAAATTTGAAATATTCGTTGGATGAGAGTATAAGGATAAATATAATATAAAAATAAGAATAAAGAATACTTTATCTGTCTTGTTCCTTATCCATTGATATCTCTCACGTTAAGATTTGTTTTTTTTAAATGATTGCATTAAATAACAATGTTAAGTCTCATATTCATAATCCTTCTTTGTTGTTTTTCTTTTTGACGTACATAAAGAGGAACCTTTGATTTCTTTACTATATATAACAAGTGAATATGTGTTAATATTATGTAATTGATTTTTTTATACAAATTTTGAATTACATAATAAAAAATAATCATTTCTCATATTGTAATACATAATAAATAAATTTTTTGAAAATTACTTACCTTTAAAACTATTTGTTGTCCTCGTTTTTTTTTTTTTTTTGTTATAAAAGAAACAATAGTTTAGTCGACAGGAAAAGAAATTATATATACATGATTTAAATTTTTAAATTTATTTAATTTCATTTTTTAAGTTTTAAAATTAATTGTATAAATTAATTGAATTAAGATTTTTTTTTTTTTAACACACATCGCTCTTTTACTAACAACTGCTTATTTAATTTTTTTTTTCAAATGCACACACATTTCACATTGGTGTTCTTTACCATTAATATAAGTATATATGTAAATGCAAAAACATGCTTATAAGTTATTTAAATTGTAAAGTACATTTATTTCAATTTATATTTTTCTTCAAAAAAGGCAGATATCAATTTACATTCAATGTATTTTCAACTATCATTCTACTTTGTTTTTAATGAATTGTGTGACCCATAAATTTCATTTTAAATAATAAAAATCTTATTTGGTTGTAGTCTACTAGAAATAAAGAATTGCATTTGGATAGATTTTCACAGATATAGAAATCGATTTGACAATGATTGAGTGATAGATTGCTATCAATTCGATAATGATTAGGCTGCCTCTTTGGTATTAATGTTATTTATTAGTAATTGAATCTTCAGCAATTAAAAAATTATTTCATTTGCATTGTGTTAAGTTTGATTAGGGAAAGATAAAAGGAAAAAAATGTTATTTTTTATTTGATAGTCGAAAATAAAAAATAATGAATTTATACATTTTTCGTCTTTCAAATTTAATCTTTTCAAATATAAAAAGAAAATATTCATTCCATTTAAACTAATAATTTTACTTTTAATCTCATTTTTATAATGAACTCTTAGTTATGAGATAGTAGCAAATTTTTTTCAAGGTTAATCTATTTCTATTTTAAATTGAAAACCATTAAAAAAAACACTTTAAAATATAAATATTCATTTATTTTTAGAGGTCATGTATCATGAGGATACGATGCGATAAAAAAATATATATATGAAAACCGAATATTAGAAAATTTTTAATTTTTGATTTAAATTATTAATATCATTGACAATCGATCCTTATCATCAAGAACCAAAGGCGAAGGGGAATCATTTTAGAGGGGATATGTATAAAGAAACAAATAAAAGCTTTCAAATGTAAAAGCCTCTTTCAATGTCGAGGAATGTTATAGCTAATCCCCATCTCAGCCTCTAAGTACGGAGAATCCAAGACCAGCCAGACTTTAACGTTGTTTCTTAGATCACTCTTCAGATTAAGACTCTGTAATAAAATACTATTGCTTAAGTCTGTCGAGGACCGTTTGCTGGTTGTTTTTGGACAATAATATTTGTTTTTTTAATCCTTGTGTTAGCAAGGCCCAAACATGGTCATAGTAGGAACTTGATCCAACCTTAAACCAACTTAAAAAGGAGTACATTTTTTTTTTTAACTATTGCAACATAATCATTATAAAAATATATAATCATTTTAAATTTGAAACTTAATCAAGTTGGTTCAATTAACCACCTGCTCAAGAGGTGTTTGGTGTTTCAATTTCTAACATATATTATCTCTTCCCTTATCCATAATTTGCAACCTCTTTTGTATAAAAAATAATATAATTTTTTAAATTATTCATGGTCTTATCTTATAGCATATGCTTTCAATATGGGATAATAATGTCATATTAAAAGGAGTATATATAGCACAGCAAGAGTGCATGCAACTAGGAGAACATCATGGGCCCCAAACAAGCTTGTAAGATTACTTTATAAACTAGCCATAAGAGGACTAGACATTTCATTAATATCAATAGGATAATTAAACACAAAATGAGGTAAACATAATTAAAGTTAGCTGAAAAAGGAAGACAAAGAATCTTTACTTAAAGAATAAAATTAATAAATATTAGTAATACTAAGTAGTAATAAAATTAATAAATTCAAATTGATTTTCGATTTTTTTCTCAAACCCTAAGTAGCAGTGTTGGAAGAGACGTTAATGAATAGATTGTTGCTAGCTTTTTTGAATCCACGATTTGTAAACTTTTTGGGATACAATATAGGTCAATAAAGGGAATCCAATGTGATTTTATGTTTTGAATATACTTAGCTTTTTGGCATGATAACAACTTCTCCAAATTGGAAGCAATTTGATTTTTTTATCATGTATGTGACTAAATTAAGGAACAGTCTAATGGTAATTATGTATATTTGACTTCACACAAATTAATTAATTAAAGGAGTACTGATCAAATTCAAATTCCACCAATTTAAAAGAGCAGTTTCTTACATTAAAAAAAAAAAATGTTCTTCAGTTTCAGAAAACATGCAGAGATTAAAGAACAAAAAAAAAAAAAAAAAAAAAAGAAGGCCAAACAAATTCGCTAAATTATAATGATTTATTTAGTTTAATTTAGTTTAGACAATAGAGGCTGCCCTTTCCATCCTATAAACATAAACTCTACATGCTTCCCAAAGTTTAAAATCTAATTTACCAAAAAAAAAAAAAAAGAAATGTAAAGCTTTTAAGTTGAAAATCCAAATTTTAACTATCAAGAACCATTTCCTCTTTAAAGACATTAATTTGATTACAAGTTACAACGAAGAGGAAATGGTTCTTGATAGTTAAAATTTCTACTAATGGGAAAAGAGAAGAGAATCATCTTTTTTGATACAAGCACAGTGACAACGGTGTAACACTAAACTAATTACCTCTATGGAGTATATAAAACATCAAATTAAAAGGCTGTGATACCATAAAAACAACAAAAGGCTTAAGATTTTAGAACACATTTACCTTGAGACCAGCCTTAATTTTTTTCCCCTATGGTATTAAGATTAGCCTCAAGTGTTAGTTTGCTTTTATTATTGGACAACGTTTCTATATGTTACTAATTAAATTCGCTTTTGCTTAATGATCATATTTAATGTTCGAACCTGAATTTGGAGTGCACTTATTTTTAATTAATTTATTATCCTTTCAAATCTCTTCAAAAAAAAATTATTACCCTTTCAATTAAGTTTAATATGTTTTCGGGTATGTTAATTTTTAATCTTTTAAATTATGAGATTCAAACTCAAAATCTTAAATTGCAATATCATTGAATTGCATATTATTCCTTATATACAAAATCCTACTTCCACACCATCCTTCCCCAAAAAGAAGTAATTAAACAAAGAAATATATAAAAGGAAAGGATGTGTACAATCAACAATATACTTTTAAAGCTTTGCAATATCTATTTATTACTCATAATTAGGTTCTCTTTTAGAAAATTATTATAGGGGAATCACTATTTACTGTCCCTCAGGCTTTTCAAAAGAAAAATTTGCTCATAAATATTCCGTGAATTTTGACCCAACGTGGTCCCTTATATACAGTGAAGTTACAAATTCCCTTGATCTTCATATTATTAAACTCTTGTTCCTCATCATAGCAATAATATTGTTTAAATCACTTTCCAAACCAAATTTTCGAACCCACATTCAGTTTGAAGCAGCCTTAAAGACTCACTTGTTATAGAAGTTAGAGATTACTCGTCCCATCAGATAATGATCAGTCACCATACAAAGGAGAGAGATGGGAAGGGAGAGAGGGTCATTTTTTTAATCTACCTGGAGAAGTTCATGCAAATAATAATTTTTACTAATGGGAAAAGAGAAGAGAATCATCTTTTTCGACGAAAGCCAAGCACCATTACAATATAAATACTCTCTAAAATACATAAAAAGAAGACAATAAACGATAGATTGAAAGCATCATCATCACAAAAGTAGTACATTTGCTATATTCTTATAGGAAAAACATGACAAAATGCTAAGGGACAAATTGCTTGTGGTGGTGATCAACAAACGGCTTTTACACCATGCATGTTTCTTCGCCTTAAGGAATTTCTAGCACACACTCCAAAGGAATATAATCAAGAAAAAGCAGTAATATTCTCTCATTTTAGTGATCTCTCTTACTTGGTTGCAACACCTACAAGGTCAAGCCACGTCTAGTAATTAGAATTGTAATCAAAATGAATGAAGAAATTAAAGTTAAAAAAAAAAGAATATGGTGAAAAAAAATGTACCCAAAAATGGATAGCATGGTTTTAGTATGAAGTTCTATTGTTAAAGTCCCTTGGGGCACTGCATCTGAAACATTCCATCCGGCTCGCAAAATTGTGCTCATTGCATCCTGACCTGCATTCATCCATCATTTATGTAAAAGTTGAATTGAAATTTCCACAAGAACAAATAGATTCAGGGTCATTTTCTTAATGTTCTTTTTTCTTTTTTTAATTCTTAAAGCTTTCAAAAGCAGTCAAAAGGAAATCTATATAGTAAGGAAAAGAATGATATATAGACAGTAACAACTAAAGCTTTCAAAGAACAGAATCTGGCGAGCAAAACCAAAAGCAAAGTTCTGTACGGAAAAGTTCCGCCATTGTCAAATATTAAAAGAAAAAATGTAACAAGAATTCATCACCTGGTACATATCCAGTCGCCAGATTTCCATCCGGATCGATTACCTCCAAATCCTCTGGAACGTGGGACGTCACAGTCAAAACCTCCAGCAGAGTCATCCTTGAGTGCACCACATTTGAAGCAGCTGGAACGGCTGGCAAAATTGTGGGTGCCGCAGTTTCCAGCAGTGCAGTACCAGTCACCTGGTCGAACATCGGAGCCGGTGGTGAATCCAATTGAGGAGCCACCCCTTCCACCGTAGCTACCAAAGTCACCCGACCGAGATTCCCCGCAACGTTGGCAGGAGTCCCTCCTTTGGAAATTCAGGTGCTGGCATGACCTGCAGTTCCAATCTCCTGGCCTGCTCATGTTTTCTCCTACATAAAAAAAACATTTAATCCAACATGATCAGGGGACAAAACAGGAACAAACAAAAACACAATGTATCAAAAAAAAAAAAAACCTTAGGATTTTGAAGTGACAAGTTTATAATTAGATACAAAGAAAATAAACTAACCTGAATAATTAGAATAATAGAAAGCTGATGATATAATGAAGAGGGTGAAGTTGAAGGAATCCTTGAAGGAAATGACTCAAGGAAGGGCTCTTTATATACAATCTTAGACCACTGGAAAAGGAATAAATGGAGGGCTGTGTATGTACTTTTTCTTGTTCTTCACATTGTCTTGATAAATGAAATAATTATAAAAAAAAATTTAAATCTAAAGGAGGAAAAGGGATAAAGGAAAATTCAGGCTATGATTCCAAAGACAGGAAATTTTGAAAATTAATTTGAAATAAATGCTTTGGCTCCGGCTCCTTTTAGGGTTTTGGGATATGATTATAAATTTTAGTGAATGCACATATACATAGTTTATTGGGTAAATCTGGGAAATATAGAAACAATTTAGCTCTTTTTTATTTTATTATTTTATATTTTCGCAACCCAATGCAAATTTCCTTCTGACACTAAGTGAGGGATTATATACACATTATTATTCCACTTGATGTGCTTGTGAACTTATGGGGTTAAAGGATCAATGTTTCCCATTGAAGAATAATTTACCATATTTATTTGAACAAAAAAATTTTATTAATAAATTTTTCATCATTATCTTTTTTATTTTTAAAGGTCGACGAAATCGAAACCAAAGTGCCTATGGCATGAGATTATGGTAAATTTTTTAGTATAATCAACAACAACTTTCCGAATGATTAGAGTTATAAGTTTAGGGATTCAGGTACCAAATCTCTAAAATAATTCATTAATTTCTCTTCCACATAAATAATACTTTTGTTTCCAATACAAGTGAAATTAAAAAACTAAAAAAATTTTTGAACACACAAGTGAAATTAATAAACTTAATAGGCAAATAATGACATGAGATAATAGTAGAGATAACGATTGGTCAGGTTAAGTTGTATTTAGATAACCTTTAAGTCAAGTCATTTTCGAGTTTAAATTTGTTTAGGTTCAAATTATTTCGAGTTCGAATTATTTTGAATTTAGATCATTTAAATTTACATTTAAATTAGTGAATTCTAATCATTTCATGTTCCTTTTGTTAACTTTAAAGTAAAATCAATTCAGATTCAAGTTTTAATCATTTCGAATAAATCTTTCAATTCATTCAGATTTAAATGCCATTTTGGGTTCAAATTGAGCATGGTTATAATGTTAATTTTTATTGTCAAGTTAGATTGGATGTTTCGAATTCATACAAGTCAGAAAGACATTTTGCTCACAGTTTGCTTATATAACTATAGTGTAGTCCAAATCTCAAACTCAAGCTGGAGTTACCTCATTGATTCAGCCATGTAGACCTGGCCAGCAGGCCAACAAAATCAGGATCCCACATAAAAGCAAACAGAAGATCCTGTCAGCCTACAAGCACAACAGAGCTAATCCAAATTTTCTGTTCAATCAAGTGAAACCATGAACCTTAGAAAAGGCTCTTTGACCAGTGGCATCTGGGACCCTCCTCCTCTAGCACGGCCAATGCAATCTCAGTCCCCTCAAACAAAATATGGGGAAAAATAAATCTAAGCCAATATGGCTGTTTTGTTTTAACGAAAGAATATAGAGATAAATAAATTGTTCAATTTTTCAGGTTATGATAAAATGTGCAATACCCAATAATATAAAAACAATGATTAGGGGTCGTGTATTAAAATGATTTCAATAAAAAATCATCGATTAAACACAAATTCAATTATTTATGTCGAATCTAAAATATTTATGTTAAGGTGAACGATTCTTATTAATTTTATCAACTTCTTGTTGGTAATATGGCTGCATTTCATTTTACAGTCAAGAATCCAAACAAGCATTTCTTGCCATTACATGAATATTCTGAACAATAAAACCTAGGCAGGGCCACATCTTATCTCAATTTTTTTGGTCTTGTCTCTTTCAATTTTTTTTTTTTGTTCAGATGTCTCTCTCAACTATACTTGGGAGAATCAACAACAATGCCAGTCAATATGTATGAGTAAAATTGTTGCTGCTTTACATATTTGAATATTCTCCTTTTTGTACTTGAGCTCCAATCGAGTAAACGAATTTCCCTATAATTTTTCACCAACTCAAAACCACTGTTTTTTTTTTTTTTTAACATGCACTCAATTTGTGGCACCATCTTTATTTTCTTAAGGAATTCTTTGAAAGTAAACCCCCAATATATATTGCATCATTCCAAAAAATATTATAATTACTATATACTCAAACTCCTATAATATTCGGGTTATGGTCATCGATTTCTTCTATGGATATATTATTTAAAGGATATTGAAAGTTATTTGATTGTGATTGTAATTTTTATTAAGTAATTTCATAAAATAAAAAGTTCCCATTTACATTTTTCATGTATTTTTAATTCATAAAATAGAATTAAAATCAAGTTACATGATTAGGGATTCAAATTGCCAGACCAAATCTCCTTTTTCCTCTCATTGGTAAGTCGCAACATCAATATTAAGAGAAAAAAAATTAGAAAAGAAAGCACCTAAATGGAATACAAATGGAATCATGCATGCACATTTTTCATTATCTCTTGATAATTTTCTAGGCAGAGGAGAGAAAAAAAAAAGAAGAAAAAGAAAAGGCAAACCAAAAAGAGAGAAAAAAGAAGAGCAAATGGTGAGTTTCAATAAAGATAGGTTTGAAGTTGATGATGGAATAACAAGTCCTTCGAGGCTTTGATTTTGACCATCTTTTTCTTTTCTCTCTTTTTCTGCGGCTGCTTTGCATACTATTCCAATTCTTTTCTTTCAATTTTCTCTCAGAAAAGAAATAACACATGAAGGGAGAATATGTAAGATATATGGCCTGGCCTCCATTCTCTTGGAGAAGGGTAAAGGAAGAAGAGAGCAAACTGTAAAGAGAAGTGGGCTGATTCGATTCGCCTTGGGAATCGTTCCCATGCATGACCACGACCAACTTAATTATATTCCCCTCCCCTTTATTTCTTCCCCACCACTCTTTTACATTCTCCTTTGACAAACACCCCTATTTTGTCGTGTTTTTGTGTGCGTGCGTTTTTACTAGGTAAAAGGAGATTTTCTTTACTTTATTTCTTTTTAACCAAAAAAAAAACTTAATTACTATTATACATATATATGGATTACGAAAGATTTAAATTTAGAGTTCGTTTTCATAATCTAATAGTAAAATTTTTTAATTTTACAAATAAGATTAAGAAGTTTTTATATATTTTACATGTTTCACTTTTTTTTCTCTATGATACCCTAAGAGGTATGTATTATTCTGTCAATGCTGTATGTGAAATTTCAAAACTCAACAATTAATGATATAATAATTTATCTTAAATTTATATTTTTCACGGAATATTACAAAATATTGTGTTAATGCAAATGACAAATCCTACTATTATGCTTTCAATTACTTTGATTTTTTTAACAAAAATAAAAATATTAAAATATTTTACGAAATATTTTGTTAATGTAAGCAAAATTAATTTTCATCATTTCTGTTACTTTATATCTAAAAATCAACGAAATTAAAGTACAATGACAAAATTCAATATTAACACATAATACATTGACAAATTTGACCTTAATACCAAACTTATTTATATTCCGAAGTAATCACAAGGTTATTAGCTTCATTTCTTGTATTTTCTTTATAGGAGATAAAGATGGTGGGCTTCAAATTCCCACCTTTCTTGTATTCCTAAATCTTCTTAGCCACTTAGTCAAGAAGTTGAAGACCATTTCTTATGTTGTTAGCATTTCTAGTATTAGCTAACAATATTCATGTTAGCTTCATTTGTTTTTGTTAATTATCATGAGGGGCACATCCAACCAGCAGTTAGAATTTAAGACTATTTTAGAGGTCTCTCGAGTCCGAATCTTGAAAAAAGAGGGGTGAAATTTATTAAGAGTAAATTTTTTTGTCTAGTCCAAAATCATCTATATTAAAATAAAAATGCTAATTAATTAAGGATATATGTTTAACTAGTAAGTTTTTTCGGATAACAAGTTGTTATGTTTTAGTACAAAAGAGGTCAAGACTTTTGGGGAATTGAGAAATAAAAATTTATAAATATTGAGAATTGATTTTCGACTTTGTTAAAATTTAATTTTTAAAAAAGATAAATGATTCATTTGAATTAAATTTCGAATTCCATTGTTATCTACTTTATTATGCTACAGAACATGTATAGCATATGGGACAAGAGTCCCTGGCTCACATGCTTTAGGATTCCAGTTCATTCCATAAGATAAGGATTTAGTCATCCTTGAGTCCATGACAATGACAATATTGTTACTTGCTCATGCATTTCGATTTTCAATCAAACGTGATTTTAATTTTTCTCTTCAATAATGCTCACGTTCTTCGCTTTCTCTTCCGCAAACAAATAGTGATGATGAATAGAACAGCTTTTGTAGTTGAAGTGCCGACATCGTTGACCTGTTAAGATCATGCATTCGACCAATACATACATACATACATATATATATATATATATATATGAAAAGGGAGATTTAAATGAACAACTTTGGGGTTTAAGGACGGGGCCAGGGGATAGGACTAGCATAGCACTACATGAAAAAGAGAGAACCATTTTAAGTATTATAAGTCAAGTAAACCAAAAGCAAATGAACCAAATAAATAAATAAACCAAAAGCTAAAGCAGTTGGCTAAGTTTTCCTTTTGGTACCTATGGCTGAGATTTTTTTTTCCTTTTGTCTTACTTTGTGCCATCGTTCAGTTAGATCTCGGAAAGATGGTAAAACTTAAACACTTGATGATAGATGTTGTTAAAAAGGTATTTGTACTGTGTAAAAAGAAGTAATGTAGTCCTTTTATTCCAATTTTGAGTAATTTAATATGTATATTCTTTAAAAAAATAATAACAACAACAAAAAATAAAGACTTACTTAGATGATGGGATGGTAAATCTCATATCAGACCGGCGTTGCTGAAGAGTGAGCAAGTCGCCATCAGGAAAGTATTCCATGACCAAGCATGAGTACTGGCAACAATCAAGCTCTGCATACAGTGTTGGTAGGAAAGGATGATCAAGCATTCCAAAAATCTTCCAGTGCCCACTCGATGCCATAGCCAGAAGCGTTCAAGTTCAACACGACCATTCCAGTAACAGGCGGTTAATGGCTACCCAAGCAGGAATATGTTTCCTTTGTGCTGTTTGGCTACGATTAAAGCTAGGATTGCAGTGTGATACAGAATCAGAATTTGGCTTAGCCATTGTTTGAGAAGTAACTTCGGTGTGTATTTTTTGCTTTCGTGGATGCTGAATATACGGACACTTGGACCCTCAATGAGAAGCATAATGGAAAGGAAATTTTAACACAAAAATATTAGTATAACTAGTATCTTATTCATCTTTAAAAAATGTGTCTCAAGAGCTAAGCACTCGTAGCGAAACACTTATAAATATCTCACACATACTGAATGTTCTGCCCATACATGAAAAATGAGCATAAAAAGGGGGGCTACCATTACTTAATGCAATCCCCCGATCAAAATATAACTCCACAAAAGTACTGCAAGGTCCAAGAGAAACATGATTATGTACAATACCATTGATTCTTCGAAGACTCATCCCAAACCCAATCATCTAGTTTCTTCGGGAGTCTCCTTTTGGAAATACCACAAAAACAACAATCTCTAAGTTCTCTTCGTGGTATTGCCTCTAAAACAGTCTTGAACTTGATCACCAACGACCAAGTTGCAGAAGTTCCTCAGATAAACCCGGAAACACATTCAACCTGAGAACGGGTTCAAATGAGAAGCAATGATCATTAGGTGGAGAAAACATATGTAACATTCAGCAACATAATTCAATTTATGATCTATAAATGATGACCCAATTTCTTCATTTCTTTTATAATAAGAAACATGCTATCCCGAAGAGAAAACATATCAATATCGTTAACATTATTTTGGGTTCTTATCTTAAATCTAATAGACAAGTTGAAAGAAAGTCTGAAACACCAGCAAAACAACATGCTAGTCTGAAATTTTACATTCTCTAAACAGCATGGGTATCTATGCAATATAAAGAGCAAAGAAGAAATAAATTAAGGGCACAACTAATGGAACAGGCACATTTATTACTCACAAATTGCATTGAGAAGAGGATTGGTCCAGAAATTTTATTAAGATCGTTTTCTGCTTCGGCTCCCAGGACCAGAAAATGTCCTCATGCTGATGGTCTCAGCTGAATTATGCAAGTCTCTCTGGCCAGCCAAAGCACTTCCTCGGAATCCATGAGATGAAGCATTATGAGGAGAACTTGGTCCACTCCCCTTTAAGGCTTCAGTCTCCAAAGTCTTAGCTTCGTCGGTCAGCATTGCTAACTGTTTTAACAGAAGTTGTCAAGTCTCCAAAGTAGATTTTAGATGAGAAAGACTTTGATGATATCATATACCACCAAAGAGAAATATAGCATTGATTGTGTCTGTATTCAAGATCCAATGAAATAGCACATATCAAATGCCACCAAGCATGCCTTTTCCATAAAAAATGGAAAGCAACACCCATATCCACAGTGTATAAATCAGAGAAGTAATCTGGACAAGTCTAAACAAAATTGATAAATGGAGTTGGCAACACCAACTATTGGAACTTCAGCCACTCCAAAAGTAAATGTAACTTTTATCTTAACTACTTAAAATTAAGAGAACCTGCTGCTATATCAAACAATTTAATTTAATTCTGTACCCGAATTTCATTCTCTTTTAATCGATCCTGAAGTGCAATGATGGCAGGACTTAAACTGCAAATTAATAAGAAAGAACATGAGTACAAACATAAATACAATCATAAATAATGAGAGAGGTCTGCATCTGTTCTAACCAATATTCAATTAACTTGCACATGGAAGCCTGATATGTAGATGTGTGATGGATGAAAGAAAGTGGATGCACTTTGCCATCTCTGAGTCAAATGAAGCAAGTTAGAATAGGTGATAAATGATAAGTTACAGTAGGAAAATAGAAATACCAATGAATGGTTAAAAAATGCCTATTAAATAAAACCTCATATTTTGCAAGATGGCCTGGTTATATGCTGCCCGCTCCTCTTCATATAGTACATGTTGTAAATCCGTAAATGACTTTAATGGCGAGTCAAGATGAACAAGAGATGATGTTGGCAAAACATGAAGAGGAATTTCTTTCCTGACATACTCAGCACCACTGTCAACAAACAAAAAGGCAACGAGTATCTCAAGTTGACAGTTCCTAACAACTTCAAATAGGTTAGACATGGTTGATTAGTACATGAAAATGCACCAGAAAGATATATATCCATGCAAGTGTAGGCATATGCGGAAGCACACATGCATGCATGTTTCAGTGTTGTGCATATGCATGCCAAATGATCTCCTTCAAATCCAAGAGCTGTTAGTGCCAATTCCCAAAAAAAAAGTATCATGAGATCAAGTATATACCTCATGTCCAAATTCGAGCGGTGCATGGCTTCTTGCATGCTTTCTGACATATCCATGGGGTCAACATCAACAACAGCATGCTGTATACTATTGTTATTATAGTTTCCTCCGCTTTGCTCTCGCCCTAGATAGTTGGCATCAGCATCAGCAAAGAAACCTCCTAAGTCCACAGATCGTCCCCCACCCTAGTCAAATTCCATATGCACAAACAATTGAAAGAGAACCATAAGGAAGAAAAGCATATGATATCATGTGGAGCATAAAAGCATGAAGCAAATAATAAGTACAAGTACAAACTTAAGAATGTTTACCACTATATAAAACTCATTTTTTTAGATACTCAACCCACTTTCACCCGATTAGCAACAAATGATCAACAAGACTGTCATATCTTACCTAGGATACATGATCCAAAAGGAGCAAAAACCTCTATCATAGTTAAAAAGCAGAATCTATTGCATTGCATTCATAATTTTCTATTCCCCAGCAAACATACAGACAAGATATTACTATTCAATTCCTTAGGCACCATTTTTAGTTTTCAAGCAAATAAATATAATTCTATTAAGCTTTCTCCCACATAGAAGAAAGAAAAACACTTGGTTTTATTGACCTTATGGGAGGATATGATCTTAAATACAGTATAACAGTGCAATATTATCTATGCAGCTGATCCTAAATACTGAGAAAAGGCTCAGTTTGTTGTTTTCTGTTGTAAGCTTTCTCAAAGAAGACATCAACAGCAGGAACAGCCCAGTGTTTTCCTAGAAGAAAACACTGTTGCATAGAAACATTCTTAGTGAGGAAATTAGAGAGACCGCTAAGAATGAAAATGCTATATCATATATTAGAGACAAGTTAAGCAAAGTAACAACATATCTAATGAACCACCTCCTTTTATGCGAACTAAAATCCATGCAGCATAATAGACAAATATGTTCCATTCCATCACCTAAAACATTCCCTATTTCCTTCTTACTTTTTCTGGTTTAAGAGCCCTAACATGGTAACAAGATAAATGACAAATTTTAACTTTGATAATCAGAACTTGTACCTTACTAGATCCTTGAATTAATCTGGAATCACCTGTGTCTTGCATAGGACTATCTACTTTTGCAGATCCAGATGTCATCAATGCATTTTCGGAAGAACTTAAAGATGATTCAAGATCAATAACTGAGCTTCTATTCACAGGAGATAAAGCAATAGGTCCTGATATATGACTCTGCTTCCCATCTGACGACTGAAAAGCAATGACTTGGATTCTTCCCACCTGAAATTATCACAAGTCTGTTTTGAGCTTTCCAGGGGTTAACAAACACTTCTATAAGATTAGATTTGGTTTAGCATGCATGAAGCACTAACCTTGTTTGTATCTTCACTAAAACAAGAAAATATAAGCCCAATAAATCCAGAATCTAGAAGTTGATACATTGCCTGAGTCCGCACATCTGCAGAAGGTAGGGGGTGGAAGATATTTTAAATGTCCAGCAACCAATCATAAATATGTACCTATCTAAGAAGAAATAACTAAAAGTAGTCTTAAGTTAAAAGAAATGACCAATAAGTTCAGTTCAATATTTCAAAATCCAACTGTGCCTACATAATGAAGAATCCTCTTCTTCACAGTCTTGTTACCACAATAAGCAAGCACTCTTAGCTCAGCTACACAATGTCACAGGTTCAAATTTTAAGGATGTGGTTCCACACTCGCAAGGTTGAAAGTTACAGAGAACAAAAAAATTGAAAATTTTAATTTGCATCCAAAGGAGTAAATTTAAAATGCAGCCAACAGTAAATATAGGAAAGTGTGCCTGAAATTGCATAACTTAGACATGAAAAATGTCTAAGCACTCATCCATTCAATGATTCATGATACATGAAATTAATAAATTGGCTGAAGTAGACAACAAACACAACTTAGGATTTTGCAAAGATATTAGTACATGACGTGAAAATTCAGTAAAAACTAAAAGAAAACAGCACACAAAATTGAAGTGCTGTAATAAATGTTGTTGTCAATCCACAGAGGTAAAAAGGGAACAAAAAGATCACATAATTCTCCCAACTTATTTCGATATAGAGCTTCAAACCGACTAATATATTTTTCTTAGCAAAAAGCTAGAGCAGCAAATTAAATTTTACAAAAGAAAACTAATCGTCCAATACTTACCAACATGAGAAGGAAGAACTGTAATATGGGGATGCGAATGGTACCACCCGATCACTCTTGTTGTTCTGCCAGTTGACGCAGTCATTCTGTGCCTTGAAGTTAATTTCACAACAAAACTAACAATCTTGAACATGTCACTATGCATCAGAACAACAATTTATTTTAACAACAAAGAAATAAATGCAGAAAGATTAAGGATATATCAGCTTGAGCTGAGGCAGCTGCCAATTGTTCAGGATTTGTCTCAACTCGGTCCTTCCGCCGATCAGATCGTGACTGTGGTGATGCTCCCCATATCAATGCAGTGACATTTCCATCTTTTGAGTACTGAAATTTGCAAGAAGAGAACAAAGCATCATAACTGAGTCATATAAGTGAAAAACAGAGTAATAAAAGACCAATGCAAAATCATCATACTACAGCTCTGCTATACTCTTTGGTAGGAAGGCAAGAATTGAAAATACCAGATTTATCATCATTCATCAGTTATTTCCTGTACAAAGAGATTCAAGTTCCTAATACTTTATTTTAGTAAAAATGTTCGACAGATGCAAAGATCCACAAAGTCAAAATGAAGAAAAGGTAGACGCACTTCTAACATTGCTTTTGTGAAATACATCAAACATGCATTTTCTAACGTTTAACAATAATGCCAGAACTAGATTGTCCACGTTAGGATCGAGAAAAAAAAAAAAGAACAAGCATTTAAATAAGCTCAAAAGAAAGAGTAAGGTATTCTCAACCTAAAAAGAAAAAAAGAAAGAGTATGGTGTGAACTTCTTTAGTTTATCTGCAGTAGCCAAACTGAACTAGAATTTGTAAAACATACAATTCAGTAAACAAACAAAATGCCTAAGATGTAAACTACTTCTCAGCATCTCCAACAAAGAATCTGAGGCTCCAATAGTAACATGACTACATTGTTAATTTACAGATTCATACTTTAAGTGAGACAAAGAAGACATATTAATCAACTTGAACTTTTTTTTCAAAAGGAAAAGCAGAAGAAAACCAGAACCAAAGGACTACGAAGAAGCACCTAAAACATGAAAAACCCACCTGCAATTGAATCAAAGCAAGAACTTTAAAAAATAGTAACTTTATAATTCTATTGAAAAGGAATGAAGTAATAATTACAACACCGAATCTATATGGAATCAGGGAAAAGTATCAATCTACGTACAAGCACAGAATTTCATGAGGAAAAAGATAAAAAGATAAGCTTTGAAATCAAATAAAAGCTGCAACATATAAATAAAGAGCATAGTATTTGCAACTTCAGTTCTGATCTTACTTATAAAGCGAAGGAAAAGGATAAAACTTGAATTCAAGCATAACCCATAGCATATAAATAAAAAGAGTATAATTTGGAAGAACATGATCAAACTTCAACCAAAAATCCAATAACCCAATTCAGCTAACAATTCAAAAAATCCGAAAAATTTCATCATTAATTCCCCTATCAACATCAGCACCATATACAAATTACATTACAAAATAAACCCACAATTTAAAGTAAAAAACAAAACACAAAAAAAAAAAAGGATTTTGAGACATGGGTTTAAAGAAAAAAAAAAGATTAGATAAGAAAACAAACCTCAATATCTCCGAGAAGAAGACCCATGATCTCTTCAGTTTCAGTAGACAATGCATGCGTAAGACAAGTTAACCAAACATCCTCAGACATTTTCACACATGTTAAAGACATTCTCTTTATCAATACAGCAGACCCAATCTTTTCTAAAAAAACTATATGTTTTTATCTTGGGTCTGTTTCGGTCTCTCTAAGAAAGAAGATCAGAAGATTTTCAGTTCTTCTCTGAAGGAGATCTTTTTTGGGGGCCGATGGATCTTGCTGGACAGGAAAGAATAAAGTGGGGATAGACTACAATCCGTTATAATTCTTTTGTGTACAGCCATAAAATCTAGACCGTTGGATTCTTATACATGACATCCTTTTCGTGCCACGGATTAAACCTGTCCACGGCCGGACTGCAGCCCAATCCGGATCAGGCCTCGGCATAGATTTTTCAAGCTCGAAGTCGGCATGTGTATCTATTTTATGAGGTATTAAATAACTAATTTTTATTAATTTTAATTCAAATATATATGTAAAAAATATTTTTATAATATTTTAATGAGTCTAAATGGGCTTTAATGAACTGTTGAAACTAACATATCTGAATTGGGTCAACCAATGAACACTTTTTGAGTGACACCAATAATTATTTTAATAATTTTGGTTGACTCTTGACAGTGCTAATTTTTGGTCGAATTTAACGATGCTAATTACAAAATGAAGAACATTCAAATGAACTTTTAAATTTTAATAAAAAATAAATTCTTTTTTTGCTAAATAAAATTTAATTACCAAAATTTTTAAAATAACATTTTCTTAAATATTTATAATCCAGTTCATCAAAATAAATCTAAACAAATCTTTTATGTAAATTAAATCGTGCAACTAAAAAGATTTTTTTAAGAAATTAAATATTTTATAATATTGTATTAATTATCTTTATATGTATAAATAAATACAGATATGGAGAATCTTTTGATTTGATAAAAATGCACATGATTATTCATTACGATTTTTTTTAAATGTCGTTTATCATTTCTATATTAAGGTAAAAACCTCTTAATCCAATTCCCTGTAAAATCCCGCATGCGGCGGAGACCCCTATTGAAGCTAAAGCTGAAGATGAAGTTTATAAATAAAAGAATTTCCTTTGTGATATATATCCCTCACCAGGGGTATGCCATGGGCAAAGTTAATTAGAAATTTTTTATTCTCATTAATTATCCCAAAAATATTTAGAGGATATAATCTTGATCAATCCTAAATATAGAAAGGAGAAAAATTATTCCAATATATAGTTTTGGATTCAAATTAACCTATATGTTATGGACGAAAGTAATTGTTTTGTTTATTATAATCACAGGACATCTTTTAAATGAAGTTTCAACTTTGAATTTTCTTGTTTCAAAAACAAATGAAATTAATTGAGTTCAAAATCACTCAAAAGTTGATTGCATCCATTTAAACTTTAACGAACATTAGAGACAACAGGATAGATGACAACCCTAGCTCTTACATATCAAATGAAAAATAGTAAATTGAATGGCAAATGACCAAAGCAAAACAGAAACGCTTTGCGGAAACGCTAGCTTCAAGTCCTGGGAGATGGGTTGCTTGGATGGTTGGTGGCGGGGCTTGGGTTGGGGGCATTAGAGGTATTATCAGTACTGTTCATTCCCAAAGTGTTCTTTACGGCATCAGCTGCTCCTTGTGCCATGTTCTTCACTTGCTCTCCTGTCTGCACCAAACAGATTGAAAAAAAAGAAAATTGCTCACAGTAATTAATTAATATCCCAAAGAAGGGAAGAACAAAATCATTATACATTGTTTTAACTAAAAGCAACATCTAAATTAAATTTGGAATAGAAACAAAAGAAACTGGGTGATGCCTGCTGAAGGAAGTTGGTGGCCTGGGAAGTATAAGTAGACTTCTGATCATTAGAAGACTGAGAATTGGTGGCCTGCCCTTGGGATGCCTGATTCATCATCTCATCCCTCTTTAGCTGTACAAGGAAAATTAAGATATATCAGGGTATTCAATTCATTGTCTGATTCATGAAAGTCAAATATAAAAAGAACCCATTGCCACAATTTCATTTTTGACATTGTTCATCATCTAGATAACCTAACAACAATTAATGCTTTTTGATAAGAAATATAATTGTTACCTGAGCTTGACCAGTCATTTCACCAGCCATGTTTGCAACATTCTGAGAAGTACTTTGGCTTGACATTTTTTTTAATCGATCACAGCTTAAAAAATTATAGTCTTAAATCTCAAGCGATCACGAAGAAATTTATAGGCAGGAAATGTGCCCTATTTTTGTCATCAGCAACGTTAATCCAAGCATTCACCAACACTTGGCACGTTACAATGAGTCCCAGTTGAACAGGGAACTTAGTAAACAATGGTTGGAATATAATTGCTCGGTCAAGAGAGATCGATGAACCCTCGGCCTACATTTGGCAGAGAATTCTTACGTCTAACAATAAGCATAACCATATAGAGGGAATTATGGTCAATTATTTCCTTTTCTTGAGCGCTTTATATATATATATATATATATATAACACAAATTATTATAGTAATAATGGCACGGTAAAAGATTGGCAAATGAACACTACTCGTAGCAGGTCTGGTACCTCTAGCCAAATCATTGGAAATTACCTTGGCATTCTTGAACTTGCATGGATCTTTTATCCAAGATGTACATGATATGGTAATGAATATTAATATTGGGGATTATTTCATTAAAAGTTTGGTATAATCTTAGTTATATAATTTTAGATATATAATCTTAGATATAATTATTAAAAATGTTTCCATCCTCATTCATTTTCATCTATCCTGCCAAATAAAGCTTTATTGTCATCACTTACAAGTTGCAACCTTATTCCAAACATTAACTAGTTAGAGCATGCTACGTTATCATTACTCCAGCTAGTTGAAAATTAAGATTTTTGTTTTTATTTTTTTGATAAAAAAATAATGGAAAAACAAAAACTAAAATACAAATAAAAATTAGACAAAATAACAAAAGGAAAGTAAAATTATATAAAAGAACTCTCATACAATCATTTTTTACTGTTTTACTTGAAGTGTTTAAATTTTTATTGTATCTTAAAACCATATTAAAATCTTAAAAAAAAAGAAAAGGTTCGATGCGCTGTAAAGTCATTTTACTTTCTTAATCTTTTGTTTTTTTATCTAATTTTCTAATAATAGTTTGATAAAAATTTTATGATCATATAGATTTTTTATTAACAACAAATCCATAATGTCTATTTATAATGATAAACATACTCTCATAAAATTGCATATGCTACTTAAATAAAACAATTTCACATTTAATTAAGTTTAACTAATCTTTGAAATATTTTGTTAAAATCCGATATTTTAAAATGAAATTAAAAATATTAGTACTTACAAATAACCTTCATGCTTTGAGAAGGTAGCTTGACACTTAGATCTTATACAATTTTATGTATAATTTGTCTAGAACCAAAAAATTAGTACTTTACAAATAATTGCCGAGGTATTTGCATAAGTTCTGATTTCTTTGTTAAATTATGGAAAAGAAAACGAAAAGAAGAGTTAAAAATTAGGTTTAGGAACAGATGCCATATATTATCATTTTAATAAACATTATATGCTACCAAAATATTAAGGATTTTGTATTTGCTATCGCTCGTCTTTAAGTGAAAACAATTTAAATAAAATGGTACCCTTGTAATTTATTTTAAAATCATTTTATCAACTTTCAATTTCTGCATTTAATGTTTATATATGCAAGGAACGATTACTTCTATAACAATATATAAAAATATTCTTAAATAAAGTTTCCTCCAAACCCTAAAAATTTGCAAAAATTTCAGAATAAACTAAAATGGAAAATGAAAATGAGTTTTCTGCTAATTGTTCGAAAATAGAAAAATAAAATAAAAAGGTAAATCCAGGTACAGCAACAGTAACTACAACGTTGCATCAATCATTTCTCCTACATGTTACATGTATCCGAACTTTCCTGGCGTACACTTGGAATCGGCACAAATTTAAACCCTCAATTAGATTCATCTTCTCCGATTTAACAACATTTCTGGGATGATCCTGCTTGCTGATCTTTTGTAAACTGTATGGTATATTTTCGAATGACAAACAAGTGTCATTGTCTGTGAAACTCATTGCTTTTCTTTTTGTTTCCAAGGCTGAAAGATGGAAGGAGCCCAAAGGAGTCCTAATTACCCATCAGTCAGTCACTCATATCATCAATTCCTTCAAAATCACTGACACCATCAAATGCTTCATCAAGTGCTTCCTCATTTTCGTTCTCTTGATGATCAGTTTCCATTGCATCTTCTGATTCCTCCTCGTCACTTTCATCCTTGTCCTCAAATATTACTGGGATTGTGGCATTCTCGTCGAACTCATCCTCAACAATCTGTCATAGAAATTGAGAAAAGTAACAATACTGCATAAGTCATAAATTCACTTGCAAAATTTTCACCAGAAACAAACTTTAACATAACACATACCCCTGCATAAAGGAAGTCTAAGCAACTTGATATTTGAAGAGCTGATTCAAAAGTTGAGACTCTAGATTCAATAAGCTGCACAAAAAACAAGCATTCACAAAATGTGATATCGAAGTTAGCCAGTAAAAGATCCAAGTTATGATTTATTAAAAAAAAAATCACCCACAATGAAGACTCCCTATCTGACCTGATACAAAGAGTTAAGGGCAAGCAGAGAGGATTCCTGGGACATAATTCCACTAGCATGTTGAAGAAGTAAACTTTTTATCCAAGGGAGGGCACATGCCAATACTGCACCCCTGCAGTGAATTAGAAACATAGCAGCCCAATAAGATTGATAAGACTTTGGAAGAAATTATTTGTGAAAAACAAGAGAACTACATTATCTAAACCTAAAGATAAAAAAAAAAAAAAAAGGGCACTTGTCTCATTTGCTGTCCTGAAAATTTGCAAATATCACAGCATCATTTTTATGTTTTTGGTTCAAGATTAGGCCCTATGGTCTTTCAGGGACCAGTCTGCAAGAAAGGACAAGTTAAACTAATGTCTTGTTCTGAGTTCAGAAAAATATTTGCGTAAGCCATTTTGGTCTGTGCTGCTTGTTGAAAGGATAAAACCAGATTTTAACCAAAAAAATTCTTACAAAATATTAATAAAAACAGCTGGCTTAGCAACATTGTTAAATGCTACAAACTGAATCAGTAACTTACCTTAAAATTAGAAACATAAAAAAAAAATGACAAAAAGAAAAGAATAACAACGATTCCTGGAACCATGAAAACTTCTAATAGCTAAAAGGATAACGACTGCAATTACCCTTCAATGCTTATCAAAAATGAAATCTTGCTGTTTAGACAAGTTGGAATCAAGTGTGGTAGAATCTTAGGAGAAGTACATTTCAGATTTGGGTGACAGCAAATACAAAATGTTCCCGGGCCCCCACCTTTCTTTTTTTTTTTTTTTTTCTAAGGCAAATTAGCATTGCTATTATAACACCTGTTTGTAGAAACTGATAAGCCACCATAAAGGAAGTGAATAGGCCTTGTTAACATCACTCTTTTCCCCATGGTCAACCGTACATACTAAACTTCACATACAATTATACTAGTAAGAAAAAAGAAAGAGTGCAAGTATCTTCAATGTAACTCACAGTTGGTCTTACATATAATAATATTTTACCTTGATTGAATTATAGATAATAGAGATCGTAAAAGCTTGAGAACATCAGATGGATTCAATTGAGAGATTGAATTTGCAATAACCTGAAAAAGGAGAATATTGTCATATTAGCTTTAAGATTACATATATAAGTCAAGCATACTTCCATCAATAAAAAACCTGTTTGCAGGAACCAACCTTCTCATCTTGGGTGTATAAGCAATCTAATAGAAGTGCGCGATCATCAGCATGCAGTGCCTGCTTAAGCAGAACATTGACTGAATCTGCAATGGGATGCTTGGCACGAGGAGAGGATTCTTCTCCTTCTTGCGTTCCACAGGCTTCATTTTTTCCATTTTCTACTAAACTTAAACTCGCAAGTTTCTCACCCATGGTAGGCTCATTTGGATCATCATCAACAAGGACTCCATCTACATTCTCTCCATGACCTGTTCCTAAATCACCAACGAATAAATCTCCAGAGAAAAAAGGGCTTATTTCAGCAACTATTGTAGAGACGTGATACATATTAAATCATGTATAATATTGACAACAAGATAATGCAGTATGTTATGCTGTGTTCTTGTTATTGCCTCATCAGACATGTCACAAGATGCTTCGTCCGAAGACACGTTGATCCATCCAAAGATTAAGACACAACTATGAATATTGCAATCAATAACTTCCAGTACATACAGCACACAGACACGAAGCATAGGATACATCATATTTTAATATTTTATTCTGCTAAGCCAAGGGTGTTGTTAAACATTTATATATTGTGCTTACAATATAAATGCATAAAAGTGATGTTAATTCTTTATAAAAAAATAATAATAAGGCTTGAAGGCAAGCAGGTTTTATTTGAGCCATTAGCTCCTCTGGAAGGGAGAGGGAAAGGGGAGGTAGCACAGGACTATTATTTAATAAAAAAAACGAGGTAGCATATGGTTTGATTCTTACCCACAAACCATGAGAATTTAGAAGCAGATGCCTCGTAAGAAAATCAATTTATGTGATAAAAAATCAGACCCAGAGCCTGAAGTAAAATCAAGCAATTATGTAGCCTCCCTCACCAGTATCATTTATGCCTCTTGTAGTTGCAAGGTCTGGATCAGGAGCAGCTCTTTTTTTGTTTGGTTTGCCATTTGGATCACCCGCCACTCCAGACTCTGGAACTTGGAGACCTGCCACAAAATTTTCTCTGGTTATACCACCTACAAATAAGCACAATCACTCCACCAAAGAACTGTCTATATGGGAAATAATGATCACATGGACTTAATTTTGCCATAGACTTCAGTCCCATAAATTCAAGTTAAATGACATTATTCATGTTACATCTTTAGGTGTATGGTAGAATTATATCATGAACAAATGGATACGACATAATAATATCAAAATTTACCCAATTTAGCAGGTCTAATAACTTCCTTAACAAAGATTTATTGCTCATTTTGTATAATGGAAATTTCAATATTATAGCTATACTAAAAGATTCAGCCTCATAACACCTGGACTTTGGAATTAGTCAACACAAGGATCTTAAATGCAACTGTATAAACAAATTTGGAATAACTTGTGTGAAAGCAAGCTCATCATTTCAATGTACTAAATTCAGTGGATCATCCTTTTCCTTTCCCTAATTCAACTTAGTGCTGCAAAAGTAAATCCTTTTTTGCAGATGAAACAACAGTAAAAAATAATAAAATAGATTCCTGAAATCATAAATAGTACACAAAAGCAGCAACCGAGGCTTGGTCTAGCAGTTGTTACTCCTTACGAGGGGGAATGTCCATGGCTCAAATCCCCTCTCCCCCCTTGGACTTCTTTATATGTACCCAAGAAACAAAAAATTCTTAATATTATGATTGAAAAATGATAACAGAAGTGCTCTTCACTCTTCAGAACCCAAGAAAGTTGAAATTAAGAGTTTTTCCAATAAATAGAAAAACAGCTCAGGAGATAAGAAAATCTACAACAAACAATCATCAAAAAAAACAAAAAGGGAAAAATCAATGAAAGTAAGCCTAACAAAATTTTAAAATAAATTATTGAAAATTAAAAGAAACAGAGAAAGTTTGATCCTTCAAAATAAAAGATTTAAGTTTTTCTCCATTTCTTTTCTTTAAGAAATAAGCAAATGTTGCAGAATCATGAGTTATTAAAGCATTTTAGAAACTGCATGTCCCACCTTTTACCAAAGCTGCCATGTTTTCTTGAATAGTTTCAGTCTGATCCACAGCATTTATAACAATATTCTCCCCTGTTTTGCAAACATTTACAAGACTGAACTGTGGAGAGTCTAATGGACCATAAGCAATTAGGGCAACAACCTGTTGGCCCATGCCCGGAGCGTGTAATCTGGCAGAGATAATAGAAGTACGGCTTTTCCTTGAGCTTGCACTCATCTGCTGGTTTCTCTCTGCTTTATCAGGTTTTACAGTAATCTTTGTTGGTTTAACATCATCCTGGGAAATGGTCTCCAAATTCCAGATATAAGTGATACCAGACTCTGACACTGCTAAGATTACACAACCACCATCTTCACTACCATTATTCTTACATTCAAAAGCTAATGGAGGGTGAGGCATTGAAATAACTGAGCCACCACTCACGATTTTGGAACTGAAATCACAACTCCAGACTTGAAGATTTTTCTCCCCGAACCCTGATGTAACAATTGTCTTGCCATCATTGGACATAGACATATATTGCACAGAATCCTGTAAAAACAAAATGATGAAAACCATCAAAGCCTTGAGCACACAAGGAAAATCTCCAAATATGTGAGACAACTTAAGTAACTCACTAACTCATCAGGAAACTTTAGAAGCTCTTTTCCATTTTCCAGGCTCACAACACAGGTCTTACCACTGGCTAAAGCCAAATACTTCCCATCTAAAAAGTTTATAGAAAAATAATTAACAAAAAAAAAAAAAAGGTAACAAAGCAGTAAACATGACATTACTTACTGACCTTGTGAAAAAGTCAAAGAAGAGATGGACCTTTGGAAGCTTTGAACTCCCTTATTAAATCTCCATTTTCTGACTTCATTTCAGATGCCTTTCCATTACTTCCAATGACATACAGACTATGACCTTTATTTGTGAATGAAAGACCAGCAATTCCACTGGACGAATAAAGGAACAGTATCAGTTAAACCATCTACTAGAAGAAGATAACCATAAAGAAATTTCACATACTTAGCAGTTTTGCTCAAAGTTATGTAGAAAGATAAATAAGAACAAGGGCCTAGTTTCACTATCTACAAACAAACAAACACAAAAAGGTGCAATTAAATGTAAATGATGAAACTTTAAGCACTTTGGCAACAGCAATTCTTAACAAATTTATCATCATACCTAGGATGGCAACCAGTAGACGTCCACTTCCTATCACCAGCTAAGAAATCAATAGCCAAGATGTCCCCTTCATTTGTCCCAACAGCTAGTAAGCAAGTCCCATGCCCCTTTTTATGCTAAAATATCAACACATGAACAATAGAAGAATGATTAACAAACAAGTGTAAAGTTTAAGGAAAAAGTATAGAACATAAAAGAGCTATCAAGAGATCCTGATGCCACCACCTTCTTTCCGATAAAACTGCAAGCCATACAGGAATAACTATTAGCAGGGTTGCCATCTGACTGCTTCCACTCTGCTAATAAACTCCCAGTACTTGTGCTCCAGATCTGCAAAAGTGCAATGAATTTTCACCAATATAAGAGGAAAAGAATAATTATTAAGCTTTCAATCAGGTGGCAACAATTTATACTGCTAAAGAAAGACCAAAATAATGCATTATTTTCATATGAAACTGAGATGGAGCAGACATTTAAGCAAGAAGAGGGTGTAATCCAAAGTACATTACATAATACAAGAATGATCTAATCACAAGCAGCCATGACTACCCTACAATAATGCTGCTATAAATTCCCAAAAGCAATCAGCAACTTAGTATCCCTTCCTCTTCATTTAACCTTTATTACTGCTACTTTGCTACATAATCCCCAGTGATAGCTTGTATATGTAAATACTTAAATGGCTATTATTGATAAGAAACAACTACCATTCCTTAGCAAAGGTTGTAATCTAGATTACTCTTATCAAAGGTCATAATCTAGATTACTCACCCATGAGCTATATAGGAGGTTAATAATTCAGTGACTTGAAACAATGAAATTTTAACATTGGCTTAAGCATTTGCTTAACATCGGCTTAAGCATTTGGTTAACATCACTTGCAATTAACCAAACAAAAATGGACATATTTTGCAGAGTAGTCGCATTTTAATAAATGAAAACCAATTTTCACCATGCAACTCCTTTGAAAGACAAAATGCAGTAATATCGTCAACATAGAGCTTGACTCCTGGACATGGTTTTTTTATACCATTAGCAAAAGGATTCTTGCCCTGCTACTAATCGCAATTGGTTTTCAACCTTTACATTGGTTTTTTTCTGGTGCAGCTCGATTTTTATTACTTTCCTCCTTAAGGGTCTCAAGCATATAAATATACATAGAACCTAGCCCGTAATTATTGTCATATATCACACCTACTCCCAATTTCGCCAACTACCGGGCCTGTTTCTTCTCTTTTTAGTGTTAGATGACCCCTTGCTTTTGCAGCCTAAAAAATTACTACACCAATAATAAAACACCAAAACTACCAAGTTTTTACCTTTTACTACTCATATGGACCAGAGCAACCCCCAACTTTCAAACCAAGTACAGCCCCAGTCTTTTCCATTTTTAGCATTTAACCAGACCTAACTAACCTAATTGCCATTATTCGGAAATCCCAGCGTGTCAACTAAAATTTCCTCGAATTTTCTCAATCAAATCTCAGCTATCATAAACCTGGTTCAAATCGCAAAACCTACATTCATTTCCCTACAATTACCAACCCTCAAAACCTATTCTTTCCCCTACCAAGCTCAAGGATTCTTTCCATTTTCATATGCTACTTCATGAAGAAGCTGACGCATAGCCTTTTTTCCTCCTAAAGGATACTTCGTGATAATCATATATTCAAAGGGAGAAACTAAGAAAAAAAATACATTTGCAACATAGCATTAGTCCTGCAACATCACAAGGGTAGCATTACTTTCCTTATACAATTTTAAATTTATTTCGAGAGCAATAAAAGATCTCCCAAAAAAACGAACATTCTGAAATATCAAGAACAACCCACTGCATCAAAAAATGGAAAAACAGGTAGGGATAGAAAGAAATACTTTGACGGTTCCATCTGGGGACAAAATGGCGAGGTAGTCACCTTCTGGAGTGAAACATGTAAGGAGGGGTTTCGCCTTCTGCTTTCCCATTTACAGAATCAAACCAAAGCTTCGTTTGTCTTGAGATTAACAAGAGCCTTTTAAATTGTTTTGATTTACTGCAGACTGCAGAGCTCGAGAGAAAGTGGAAGAAGAAAAACGGCGCGGGTTGAGGCAGCAGCGAGGGTTTTTGCGTTTCGGCCTTTGGGTTTAGAGGGGTAGTGGCAAATTATGTAAAAGTTATTATTATTTAGATGACTTATTAACTATTATGTTTTTTTATATGATATTTATTAGTATGGTTGAATTTAATGTAAAAATTATTAAAGTAATAGATTTATTTGTTTCTTTTGTGAAAAAAAAAAAAGTGAAATAAATAAAAAGAAATTTGTAAAAATTAGATTAGACTAAATTAATTTTTCCTTTTTCCTAATTTCTATGAAAATGTTTAGCTGTAAAAAATAAACTTAATGCATGAACCTTGGCAAAATAAAAATTATGGTCAATTAATAAAAATAATTATGTAAATTAGGTAAAAGAAAATTTAGTTCTCGAAATTTCCATGAAATTTGAATTGATGCATTTTTTTTCTTTTTTTTCCTTAATATGGTGGGTCAGTTTTTTTCTTTTTTCCAAGAAAAAGATGTTTTTGACAAATAAATTTTGGCTTCCATTGCAAGAGAGGAGGGATGGAGTCCAAATTATTTTTTTGCCTTCAACTACAACATAAAATGCACTTGGATAGCTAGGGATGCAATTGAAAACAAAAAATCTTAATATTTTTTTTGTCTTCCACTGAATGAAAAGAAATTATCTAAATAATTTATTGGATTTTAAAATAATCAATTGCCCTTATTATAAAATTAAAAATGAAAGATATTTTTCAATTATAACAGTTATTTCGTATATTCAATTTCACCATTATGATTATATTTATAATATTAAAGTTTACTACTATAAAATATAATATTTTTTATTTCAAAATATTATTAATTTCTACGATATTTAAAAATTTTTTAATTTTAATATATTTAATATTAAAATTTTAAAAAAAAATTATAAAATTAAAATTGTATGATTTTAATATCAAAAAATAAAAATTTTAAATATTAAAAAAATTAAATATAAACTTTTTATAGGTCATATTTAGCTTTTTGGAAAAAAAAAAGTCTAATTATCAAGAGGAAAAGAAACGTCGACCTAATTAAAAATGAAAATTGGAAAATATACAAAATATCGAAAAAGTCCCCGAAAGATGAGCGTTAGCAGGGACTTTTATGTACTTGCACATATCTCTCTCTTAATAAGACGGTCCCCTAGTTCCTTTATAAGGACCCCTCTATCTCTCACTTTATACGTCAATTAACTTGTTTTTCATCAAAGCTTTCCTTCAAAAAAAAACAAAAAAGTTTCCCGTTTCCAGAAAACTCTGGTAAGTTCGAACCTAAGAAAATTCTATCATCAAATTTCACTTTAATTATAATGAATAATTGTATAATTCCTTTAGATTTGACTAAAATTTCAAATAGCTTTTGATTGATTTGTTTCTCTTGTCGTTTTTTCTTGGTTGACCTTTGAGCCATGTTTAAGAAAAGGGGAATAATTTACTTGTTAATCTTTAATTTGTTGTTTAGGTGCTTAGTTTTTGGTAAAAAGGTTTGTTTCTTTGGCTTATATGACTACAACATAGTCTGGGTTTGTTCTAAATATGTTTGGATTTTTTATTTTTACTAATTTTTCATGCTTAATTTATATGAAAAAGTGTTTATGTATGCGACTTTTGATCTCATAAGTTGAATATGATTATTATTAAGGGATTCAAAGAGTTTTTTTTACTAATTTTTAATTCTTAATTTATAATAAAAAAAGTGAGAGAAATTCGAAAAAATAGCTCAGATAAAAAAATTTTGGGATTGAAGCATTGTGATTGTCGCATTATTTTTGTACCGGTAATTTATTTTTATATATGACTTTTGATCTCATAAGCTGAATGTGATTATTATCTAGGGAATCAAAGAGTGCACTTTTGAGGCCTTGAAAAAAGGCAGATTTTTAAGGCAATTGTTACTGATTATTTTAAGTTCCAAAAAATGCCAAAGGATAGAAGAGTTGGTTCCTTAACTTTTGATCGCTCTAGGGTATCTCCTTACCCATGTAGTTCCAGGGATGCCAAGCAATGTCAACATGAGAATCCATTGGGATTGGGATTTGCATCACCCGATTATGTTAAAGAGTTGGAGGATGTAAGGTGCCCCATCTGCATGGAACACCCGCACAATGCAGTTCTTTTGCGGTGTTCTTCCTTTGAGAAGGGTTGTCGCCCTTTCATGTGCAATACAAGTTACCGCCATTCTAATTGTCTTGACCAGTTTTGTAAGTCATTAGTGTCATCTCCTTCTACGGCTGCGCTACAGGAAATTCCTTTGGGAAATGTGACTTCTAGTAGATGGAGGGATCCATTGCCCTTTTATGATCAGACTGAGGCTGGTAGTGATCTACAGCCGAAGCTTCTTTGTCCTCTCTGTCGAGGAGAGATTTATGGCTGGAGTGTGGTAGAACCAGCTCGTGAGTTTATGAATTCCAAATCCAGGAGTTGTTCTTCTGCAACATGTGATTTCAGTGGGACTTACAGTGAACTCAGGAAACATGCTAGATCTGATCATCCTTTGGTTCGACCAACAGAAGTGGACTTGGAACGACAGCGTGATTGGACTAGTTTGGAGCGTGAAAGGGATTATGAGGACATGCTTAGCTCAATCCAACCAGTTGCTAGGGATGAAAGTAATGGAGAAAGCATTTCAAGTCTCTTTCATACTTTGTTGAGTTTACATCTTGCGTACTTGAGACTTGCACTTGAGGTCATTAGTGATTCAATAAACATGGAACAAGTTCAATTTAGGAGGAGATCAGGAAGTAGGAGATGGTTTAGGTATGATCTAGAGTATGATCATGGTGCTAGAGAGCGCATTAGTTCTGTATCAGATAGAGCTTTCCTCGGTCACCACAACAATCCTTCACCAGTAGAGAGATTTCGAGGTAGAAACCACAGCTCACAGGGCATGCTTCAGTGGAGGCATCGCAGTTCACCATCAGAGAGATTTTTACGAGGAAGGCGCCGGAGTTTGCAAGCTAACAGAACGCATCGTGGCCGATTGCGATGGCGAGCACAAAGATGGTCTACATTTGATAACGGGCAGTGATTGTAGGACATTTATGTGTCTCCCAGGTACAAATAAAAATTTATGCCTGGTTGTAATGGTAATTGTTGTTTCTCTAGCTTCCTTAATGTCCTTATTTAGATGATGGAATTGATTGTATTTTCCTATTTTTTGCATTGCAGATGGAAACAAAAGCAGGAGGCGAGGGTAGTTTAGGTCTATTAGGTTAGGTTCGGAAGTAAAAAGTGAGAAGTCATTGTTATCCCCTTTTTAAATCACAGAATTAATGCTTAATGTTTAATGTTTAAGAACATCAATTTCTTCTTTGGAAATGTTATTTATTTTCAAGAATTATATCTTTTTTGCTTGTGATTTATATGTTCAATGTGTTCATTGTGAATGCTTAATGTGATTGGAAAGAATCATAGCAATCAGGGGTTAACCAACACCTGATCAAAAGTGGCATTGTTGTTGATCAATCAACCCTTGTTTCTTGCCGAAAATGTGAAATGTAACTTTTTGAGCTAATTTACACCCTTATCACGGAAATTTAACTTTTTGTCACTCTTCTCCCTTAACTTTTAATGATGCAAATTTAATCCTCGAAGTTTTAAAATTTATCAATTAAAACATTTTGTTTGTTAAAAGCAACAAGAAACTCCATCTCTTAAATCGGAGATTGAAAAACTATTGATAAAAGAGAATAAATTAAACAAATTTTCGATTTACAATGGGAATGATTTAATACAAACGGATTATAAATTTGTAATATTTAATCTAGGAACTAGATTAATATGCTTAAAAAGTTTGAGAGCAAAAACAACATTCAAGTCAAACGTCAGGGACTTGGACGCAATTCGCTTTTTTCTTCAGATAATTCTCGATTTCTCCCTTCCTTTACTGAAATGGGTAGGTTTAAGGTTCGAGATTTGATGAGGTCGTTGACGGAGACGCGGTTGCCTACGGGAGAGATTAGGTTGGTGTTTTGCGTCATCAAGGCGTTTCCGCCGCGGTAAGAGGCGACTAGGAGGTTTTGGAAAAGGTAGTTCATTCGGTGGTTGAGGTGTGTTTCGGTGCTGGGAAAGCGTCGGAAAGTTTTTGCCTTTTTGGAGCGTTCAAAAGGGTTTTTAACTAGGGTTTAAGAGGGAGGGAAAGAGCAAAGGAAAAACCTTGTTGGGCTGTCTGTGACCCACCCATAAAACATCCAATAGGCCAGTTAGTAACCCAAAAACCCACATTTCGGTCCATTTTTTCTTGGAATAATAGGATCCCAGCCTGCCCGCTCAAAGGGAGATTTAAAAAGCGCGGAACCGAAGGACCGTTGAGAAATAGCAAATATTGTTTCCCCATCACTTTCTTGAGAAAATCTTTCGGTAAAAAGCAAAGATGTTCGGACTATTAATGACATGGATTCCCCAAAAAGTGATGGAAATGAAGTTGAGGCATCCTCCGGTAGCTCTCCTTCTCCACAAGTAAGGCTTTCTTCATGCATTTTCTTTTCAAAGATGATTTTTGTTTTAAATCAAGAATTTGATTCTTTGGGATTTATTTTACAATAATCATTTTGATTCATTTATCATTTTTATATGTTATCATTTATTCTTTTTTTTTTAATTTCTTGGGGTCATTTATTCTTATTTCTGCTTATCTTTGACTCTGTTTGGCTGCTAAGAAAAACAGAGAAAATAAAAGCATACCAGAATTTAGATTTTTCTTTTTTTTTTTTTGTTATTCTCTTTTTATTTTTGGATATTTTCTTGATTAACTTATACTTAAAGTAAAGCGATTACTGATGAGTCTTAGGTCACTGGAGCAAAGAATTCGTTTCAAATAGAAACAAAAATCACGGATAAATTTTGTGAGTTAGTCATTGTTAAATGTGTGTTTCTTGGTTGTTCTGAGTTTTGATGTTCTGTTGGATCCCACGAGAAACTTTAAAGTTCTATTTGAGATAAACTAAGGCTTTTCTTGGTGGCTTTATTTGGACAAGAACTTTTTGTTTTTGTTTCAGCACTGTTCCATGGTGGTGTGGGAACTTAATGACATTCTACATTGTTTTTACTTGTAAATTGATATTTTTGCATGCAAATATAGGAGGATGTTGTCGTAGACAAATCCAATGAAGGTCATGTACCAGACAATATCGAACCTCCATGGGATTCTCAGAAAGTTTCATATTTTGACTAGCAGACACTTCCATATGATGGGAAAATGCCTGGTCAACAATTTGCTGACAGGGTTGAGGAACTATCCCAACGCCAAGATAGCTCAGAAGGGGAGAGGCAAGTTTACATTAATCTTTTATTTAAATTTTTTTAAATTAATTTACATTTTCACATTGCTTTCTTTCTTTTTTTGGTTATATTTGACATTGCATTCTTAGCTATGGGGTTTGTTGTATTCAGGAAGAGGGAAACATACACAGATGAGAGTGGGTTCTGTAAACTATGCAACTCAATAGGTCCGAATGTTTGAAACTGTAAGTTCACATGGTATAGGAATAGAGAATTTGTTAAGGCTCAAAGTGGTAGCTTGAATATGTTGAGGGACGTATATGCTTATTTGATTATTGACTTGCACAGTGAAAAAGCAAAAAGATGTTTTAAGGAACTTGAACTGTTTCAACGTATTTTGCATACGTCCTTGTCAACATGAGAATGTTCAGATGCTTCCACTTACTCGAATGCCAACCAAGGCAAACATCTAACCAAGGAATTTCTGGAAACTCCTACTAAGATCTTACTTTCATTGCTAAAGTAAACTGGAGTACATCTGTTCAGTTTCTTCATGACACCCAGACAAGCCCTAACTGGAAAAAGGGTTTATTAATTAAATGTTTTCCTTCTGAATGAAAGCAATTTAAGAACAAATTGCATTTGATATGACTTAACAACACCTTCAAATTTTTTGGCATGATAAAAGAGGAGGTATATTTGCAGTCTGTTTCAGCTTTGTTCTTTGTCATTGGCAGTTAACACGCCTGAATATGAGGATGATGTTCTTGATGTTCGAGAAAAAATTGAATTGCGTAACCCTCTTGCATTCGCTCCAACAATTGTTAAGCAAACCAGTGATTTTCCAAATATTGCGGTAATACCTTCTAGAATCTTACTTTTTCTTTAAAATTGTGTAATTCAAAGTATTTGACATGAGAAACTTTGCAGGATGATAGAAACTCGATGAACCCTTCCTCATCCAGGCATAAAAGAGGATGCAATTGCAAGAGGTCAAAGTGCCTAAAAAAGTATTGTGATTGCCATCGGGTATGTTTTAACTTGGTAGCTCCATGTGTGATGCTTTTTTTCTTTCTTCTTTTTCCTTTCATTTGACAACTATCTCGCTCTTTCTGGCTGCTTTAATCATAATTTCATATCTAAGCTGGTGCAGCGTGGAGCTTTAAGAACTAAAATTTAAATGGCTGTCATCTTGTTCCTTTTCTCTTCTGATGAAAGTTGGAGTTTAACTTTGTTAAGATGATACAGGGTAGGAAGTCGCTTACCTCTTATCATTCTGACTGCACAAGTATGCTCCTTTATTTTAGGCCGAAGTTGGATGCTCTGATGGATGCGGCTGTGTGGATTGTGACAATTCTTTTGGAAAGAAGTCAGGTTACTTCTAATATAATGTCTACATCGTTTGTTATTTTTTTCAATCAAAGCTTGCATTCAGGCTATGAAGTAATTTTCATTAACCCCTGCTGGTTGATGAGCACCCAGCAGCTTAAAATTGTGTCTGAATCATTGTGTATTGAGATGGAGAAAATGAATGCCCTCGAGCTCTTTCAGATAGGCTTTTGGGGTGTCTCCTTCAAGACACTGAACCTTAAGTACTTATTTCCCTGATTCGATTGTTGAATCAGTTGTGATTTTTTGGCACACTAAAAAAATGTGCAAAAGTTCTTTCTGACGGAATTATACCGGATATTGTCCAATTGATGTCAAATATGTGAGGAGCTGACACCGGTAGTGTCATCATCATGCTTGCATACATGTATTATATGCCCTTTTTTTTAATTATTAACTTACTCTACCATGCTGGAGCTACAGAATCAATACTTCAGAGAGTGAAAAAATGAAACTCTCATGAGAAGCTGAATACGGCGGAGGTTATGTCCGATGGAATCAAGGGTGGGACAGCAAATCAGTTCTCACCAATAAACCATTTGTCTGTTGTCACAGTACCTTTTTTGACATCACCAATATGGGGGACTTCCAAAATGTCTCACAGGCTCAACACAGAAAGGAAGTGACCTCCAGTTGTCACCTGGTTACTCCAATTGGTTCTCTTCTGCCTTGACTCCTGCACAAGCATTTGCAAGCAAGGTGTCACATGAATTGGGTTCTAGTAGTGCGCTCTGTGACATAATGGAAGATGCTTCACCAGACATCCTCACGGAAAATTCCAACCCCACCAACACAGTGAAATCTGGCTCACCAAATCATAAACGTGTGTCTCCTTCACAGCTTAGTCCACAAAGTGGTATTTTGCAGGCTGTGCCTTCTTTCCCACTTCTTACACCATCCTGTAACTCTGAAGACCGTATGAATCAAACTAAAAATGATCATCAAGGTAGCAGTCATGACTAGTGAATGGAATGCATAGAGTAGGGTTAACTCATCATTTTGTTATTTTGATGGACTTTGCAAGTAATTGGTAGATATAGGCTTCTCACAGAAAGCTAAGTACCCGATCAAGATTTTACTGCTTTTGTCAGTGACATGCCAAGAAACTGCTTAAATATGTAGCTGAGCATAGCCCTTTATATTGCAAAGAGCGCTACGAGTTTCAATGCTGACAGAGGTGATAGTTCTTGGCCTTTTCTAGAAGTGTTAGTCAAGTTCTTTAGTGTTGCAATTATTTGATGAAATAATGCATGTAGTTACTAACTGTAAAAAGATTCATAGATTTCAAATAGGTTTGCAGCACTAGATCCATCAAAGTCTTGTAGTCCTGTGAATGGATTTTACTCTAATCCATTATTTTTGGTGGTCAGAATGTTTCCTTTACTTCTTATGGTTCCTCTTTAATAGACATGGTAATAACATGCGGCTACTTTATATTGATGGCTGCTTTTTTTTTTTTTTCTTTTCTGTATATAGGCATCTACTCACTTTCTTAGCAAAATTTATCAAGTAAACGCCTTCTTTCTCCTCTATTATTCATCAACTTTTGATCGGAAGAGTCCATCGGAAAAATCAATTGGGATGTGTAGATCAAGCAGATGCTCTTCTTATGGTCTGTCATGTCTTGCAACTCAGTTCCAATTGTCTCATTGGTCTGAAAAACATGTAGAAACCTTCACCTCTTATAAATTACTGGACATCAACAACACCTTAAACTGATTCATAATTACTAGACAAAGCTTGAATGGATGCTGATAGGCTACAAAGGAAAACAAATGAAGATAGAAGCCAAATGCCACTAATTCAAACATCATATTAACTAATACCAAAATGCTTTGAAAGTACAATAAACTAGGCTATTACGATCCACATCCTACATTCAAAATGAAAAACACATCCGAAACTTTATTTTGAGGGCTAATTCAACTATACCATATACCCAACAACCCGTTTTGTTTACTACCTACTTGTACATATGCAGTTTTCTCTCCTTTTCTGCCATTATTGTTTCCCTGTTCTTTTTCCTCCACTGGCTCAAAGTAAAAACTGATCCTGTGCTACATTTAGCGGGACCCCTCAAGTCCCAGCCTTGATGTAAGCCAATTGCAGATCTCATCCATCTCTTTAGGGACTGTGTAATGACCAATCCTGCACAGTCAAATCAAAACTTAAAATGCTGCATGGTCTGTCAATTAACAAAGAGCTAATTACTGCTATTGTAAAAGCCTAAATAGTTACCCTTCATAGGTTTTAAAAGTGAGGTTCTGAAATCCTGCTGTACTCAAGGAATGGGCAGATTTTTCTCCATATTTGTAGGGGACAACGTCATCACCTGCAATAAGATTATAAGAGGATCAGTTTGGTGGACTAAACATGAAAATTTTCTCATACATGTTGAAGTAAGAGTTGTAATCAGAAAGTTAATAATAAAGTGTTTTCCTGATAGCCTTTGAACTATGAGGGAAACAATGTGTCCACTTGTCTGTCAACATTTTGAGTTTCGTTAACCGGAACATCTTTCCAAGCAGATTTTGAATAAGAACATATTATGTATTTTATTCAAATTGTCATTGCTTAATATGGAAGATTCATAGTTCATGCGTAATATGACAGAGCAGGACTTTCATGTTTTCAAGCCTATTTAACCTATCAGTGATTAGATCCAAAAAGACTCTTTGGTGAGGCTTTGACAGAAAAAAGTGCACAAGTTGATATTTACAGTTTTGGAGACTAAAGCATATTAAGGTGTATCCCAAAAGAAAAGTAAGTTGCAATATTTGCTTAAAAAAGACAAAAGATACATACAAGTTCCATGGCTAAGCAAAATTGGCAAGGATGCAGCACGCCTCACAGTTTCATGTGATACTTCGATTTTGTTCTTTAAGCCCCTGCAAGGCAACACCTTTAATGAGTAAGTAGATGAAAAATTTTCCAAAATTTAAAGGTATTCAATTATTTTGTTATCGCAGGCAGAGAGTAAAACAAAACTGCTGGGTGAATCCCCTGTATTAGATTCTTCTGAATCACTATATCATGATGATTCCTAACAAAACTAATCTCATGTTCGCATGGCAAAGAAGTATATATGAAACATGAAAGAGTATACAGGTGAGTTTGTTAGCAAATTAATTCTGAATGATGCCATACCTTGAACCTGGAAGCCATCCACTTAATCCAATAACTGCCCTTAGGTTGGTGGAGTATGGGTTTCCATTTCCATACCTTCCCAAAGCACATGCAGTCGCAGAGTAGAGGGCCATTGCAGCACCCATGCTAAAGCCTCCAATACCCACCTTAACTGTCAAAAGGGAACTGATATGATAGTAAGTTTTACATTTAGATTTATCTGGAGATGGACACTACTTAAAAGATCTACTTATATATAGCCTTGATGTTCTATAAATTTAATAAAATAAATCATATCGAGGATGGCACAAAGAGTAAAAGGGAAAAAATGCACAGGGATTGCCTATTTCAGTAGTAATAAAAGTTTATTTCTAACTCAAGGCTAAACTTTATTCAGTGATTAAGAATGGAGAAATTGGTAAAAACTAAACCACAACTTAATTTGCATATGTAGATATGAAATTCAAGTTTAAGCATTTTATTTAGTTATTGTTGAAAATAAATTTATGTTTAAATCTTGTATGGTAATTTATTTTCATAATAAAGCTTTAAAATACCATCAGATGGCTCAGCTGACAACAAGTTTGCAATATGTGCCGCTGAAGCATCTAAGCCCTCCCAATCATCTGGACCATCTTCTGAAAGCTCACCAACATCAAACCCTGATGCAAGCAATTTTAATGATTCTATCAGTGTCAAAGCATTCACATGACTTTAGTTACAGGATACTAGAAATGTGAGATATACAATTTCATAAACCAGATGATAGAACCAAAAATTTTCTTACATGCAGTGCAAGGAAATCCTCCAAGTATAGCCACAGGACGAGTAGGAGCAGTTGGGCAAATCCATTTTATCTGAAATATAGAGAATCAAGAGAATTATGTGAGAATCATGGATGACAAAACTGGAATGGCATAGTTCAACTAAAATCTTAGGTATTGGGGGATAAAGCAATATGAGTATCAGAAATAATGCAAGTTAAAAGTAATTTAAGAAAAGCATCCTTACATTTGGCAGAGGAAGACTTTCCAAGAGCTGGGACCAGCTGCAACAAAATAGGAATGAAAATGAGGATTAAAAAGCCTTTTTTTTATAGTTAACTTCATGTTTCCAACATAAAGATAAGGAGAAGTGCAAGTTTTTATTGTCAGCTACACATGAAAATGCAACTGCAGCCAGAGCTTCTATAATTCCATTAGTGAGATAACCACTATGTAACAGATACTGGGATCAAGCAGTTAAGTGAGAGCAGCCAGCATCCCAAAGCCAAAACTGCAAGTTTGGCAGACTTGTCCATGCAGGGTGATCAAGAGTTAAAACCAGTTTTACCTTGAATCTAGAATTTGTGCTTTACTGCTTTGGGATTTAAGTAAAGAATTCTAGAACCACCCATAACATAATACTAAACAAAAATGAATATCCCTTGCCAAAAGGTAAAAATAATGTTTTGTTAATTTGGCAGTTGCAGCAAGTTAATTTGTGGTCCCCTATCTATGAACATGGAATATACTCTTTTCACATTTTAATGCTTCCCAAATCGAGCTTAACATCAGATGAGACAAAAGGAAGAATAATTTACTGAATATTATTTCACAGCTGCACTGCTTTCTCCATCGAACTTATTCCAATAAAGAGTACAAGGAAAAGAAAACAACTCAACAGTGAAAATCATAGTATGATATGGACCACTTACTATAAAACATGCCAAGATGTTGACATTCGGATCAAACAACTTTCTTTTTCTTCTTTAATGATTCAGAAAGTCCATTCTACTGTTACAGGATTTCTACTTAAACTTAAAATACAGAAGGATAGAATTAAACTTTATCCACAGTTCTCAGCAAGTTAGGGATAAGATTAAATCCAGAGTAAACAGTTCTTGAGTTCACATGCGGAATAGTGATTGTCTCCATTCAATGAATGAAGTTCAGTGAGAAAGTGGTCGACAACTAGGTTGTACCATATGCATATGAACTTTTATTCTAAAGTTTCCATATAAACTCGACTCTAAAGAACACATATTATCAGCACTATGACAAAATCCTAATTTGTAATTATCATGTTTCTTCATCAGATTGTTGTTAGCAATAAAGTGATAGATGCAAGAGTTGACAAATCCAAAGAAGCAACTGACAAATTACAGGAACAAGAAGCAATACCTTGAGCCATTGTCACCGAGGCCATGAAGCCAGACTATGGTTGCCTGGTGTTTTCCTTTTGGTCGAACCACATGTGTCCTTCCAAAGTCAAATGTCCTTCTAGCAGTTCGACTACCTAAAAATCAACAACAATGAAGTTCAACTATCAATATAGGTCAAGTTGAAAGAAGATAAACATTACTAGAAACCTTATAAATGAATCAAAATAGCATCATCAATCCCTATATCTGACAGCAATAGTAAAGTTAAAGAAGTTGAAATGAGAAAAGGAGTAAGCATAAAGATAGCAACAAACCAGAGCCGACAGTACGATGAGAGTAGCTCATGTTTTGTTTTCCCAGTTAAGAAACTGCACTAAACAGGCAACTGTATGGCAAGGAATGAGAAGAGGTGATACAATGAAGAAAACACAGAAGGGTATTGTCTATTTATAACCAGAGGGGCAATGTGGAAATGGAATAAAACAGGTGAATATTGTGTGCAACAGGCTACTCATTGAGCCTAAAATTGCCTAGAAAACTCAAAAAGGAGGGAGAGAGAGGCATCCTTGAAAAGGAAGGGGTAAAGACAATGACAAAAGCAAAAAATCTTTTCAATAGAGAGAATCCAAGCAGAGCAGAGCACCATCATCCATCCCTTAATAGAGATTAGCAACATAGAGAGAATCTATGCTTGTGGTCAGTGGCCAAAAATTAAAGCAAAGCCCCGAGCAACAACTCACCAGAATATTACTGAAAACGAGAAAAGAATAATCTGAATTTGAAAAAGATAATATCTTTGCTCAATCATTTGTTTATGAATTCTTTGATGATTTGATTGATACCCATTAAGCAGAAAGCTTAGAAGTTTCAACTTTTATACACCCTTACAAATTTTTGGTATAATTGAAATATACTGAAAGGACTCAAAGACAGAATGAAGCTCAGTTCTTTTTATTTTCTCTTTACTCAATAAACTTCGACTTCTTATTAGTAGATACACATGTATACATTCATACAATTACTATTAAAATATTTATAAAGAAAAAAGTTTCTTTTTTTTGGATTTTATTAAAGGTTACCAACCTGGATTTCTTATGCGGAAGAGACAGCAGAAAAAGCATATGGCCTTTTTTTCTCTCCTGGCATCCTCTTTCTTCCTTTCCTGCTTCCCACTATAATTTTTGGCTGCTCAATTCGCACCATAAAAGTTTTGTTTGTTTATATTCATGGGGAACATCATAAGTATTAAGCACATAGGAAGTCAAAACTACATCTCATTTTTGATTCTTTGCTAGATATTCAGCTGACAATATTACCCTTACTTTTAATCCCCTTAGATTTAAGGTTAGTATCATTGCTTGCAACCTTAAAGGCCAAAAAGCCTATCCCAAGCAAAAAAGAAAAAAAAATACCGGTACTACTGATTTGCAGAGTTGCAGACCCACCATTTTTGCTGGTCTCATGTTCATTCAGGTCAGTGTCTCTGAGCCCATATTATTCCATCACTATGTACCTATAAAATGCAGCTTTAATGCAGCACGCTTCCAAAGAAAATTCTGTTTTTGTGATGCATTTTTATCCAATCCTTACTTGTCATATATGCACTCAGCTTAATTATCATCTTCAGGCTGTCATTCATGCCTTCTAGCTGTAGTGTTCAATAGCCAAAAATGCCTTTATGAAAACTTTGCACAGATACAAATAAAAAAGCGAACTCTATATATTTAACTGGTTGACTAAGGGGAAAATACTGCTGACATGGCAAGCGATGATTGGTTACTGTGTTGAATGGTGGCATCTGATTAACCTTTAGGTCAGCTTTTCAGTAATTTTTTCCATCCTTTCTGGGAGAAAAACTTGGTGCAACTTTTTCATTGTCAACTGCTCCTTTACCCTACCACACACTCACTTTGGGCAAGAATCAATCAATAAGTATATCTAGATAACTGAAAACAACATATGCTGTTGGCACTACCCCTGAGTGTGGCCTAATTTATTACTGATATATACTAGAAAATGCACTAGCCAATTTGTGTCAATAAAATTATATTAATATTACTTGATGTGAAAAGCTGAAATTCTTTCAAATGGATTACTATTGACAAAGAGAATAGTTCCAGCTAGCTCAAGTACCAATCCTTTTTTTTTCTCCTTGTTTGATTCATCTGCAAAGCTGGCTCCCAAAATGCAGTGAAAAATGAAAGGTATTTTGATTCTGCAGAAAAAAAACCAAGGATTTTAACATCGCACATTATGAATAAAGTGTTAGGCAATGGGAAGCTGGTGCTGCTCAAGTATTGACTAGGAAATTTTTTTTGAAACCATGCAGAGAATAGCTATAGGTTTCCTATAACTTTCATTTTCAGTGAAAAATAAACTAATGAGTGAATGTGGGTTAAAGATGAAGGTACATAATTAATTAATATATAAAAAAAAAAAAAATACAAGTGGTGATCCTTGTTTTGTTACATTGATGGAAAAGACTGGTCATTTGAATCATCTCACAGATGGTGGAGACTTGAGAGTGTAGCATTGATTCAACACTTATTGGAGATTAAAAAAAAAGTGAAAAACAAATATTTATAGGGTGACAAATTTGCAAATTGCAACAAATTGTATGTTAAGAAGGAGAAATTTTATTTTAATGGTAACTCTTCTCTTACTTGGAAATAAAGGAAATTTTATTTCTTATATATTTTTTGAAATAAAAACTTATTTGAATACAAATTAAAGAATAAAAATTTATTTGGATAAAATAAAATTATAGGAGCTTATTTAAAAAAATAAATAGTTAGTAGATTTTTTTAGTAATTTAGCTATCAAAATTCAATGATTAGAGATGAAATTTACTTGAAATTATTTTCCCCATATTAATGTAATATACTACTGTAAAGTCGGACGAAAAAACTTACATAAAGATTTTTAGGTGAAATTTATGAATTTTTTCTTAAAAATGATTTTAAAAAAATTAATAAAAAATCTGAACTTATAAATTGATGGAATTCAATATGAAGATAAATAACGCGTATAAAATTATTAAAAATGTTATTTATAATTTAAATTTAAGCGATAATTATTTAATGATAAAACTTATGTCAATATTTTTACTAAAAATATCTATTTAAAAAATATATCAATTTTTTTTTCAAATTTTACACATCTGATTTATATAATGATATATTTAAATTTATTGATTTAGTTTTTAATTTTATTTAATTGTTTCTAGTAAAAATTTTAACAAATTTCATTAAGAAACCTCATCTAAATCTTTACCCAAAACTGTATTGCTCAAAACATGAGCAAAATAAATTCTTCTATATGAAAGACATTAAATGTTAATTAAACTCAGACATTTGAATAAAGTTTAAGCATATAATAATGTCTCTAGAGATTAAAAAAAAGCTGGTTCTCATGCATGAACTAGACAATTAGGAAACATATAGAAGGTATAGGTAGGGTTTCTTTCTTGTCTTTAATATGTACATTTTGCAAATGGAAATAATTTAATTAGTGAATATTGTAGTTAAAGATTAGTGATTGAAGGAACAAACAAGCTTGCAAGTCCAAGTGACTATTCTTCCTGGATATGTTTTAAAATGATATTCTTACAGAACATTTAAGACATTTGATAATTTTGAATCTTTTGATAACAAAATAATATCTACAATCTAAAATTTAACTTATTTTATTCATATATTTATTTTTAAAAGTGACATTCAATAAATTTAAATTCAAATTTTAACACGTACAATTTTTTTTTTAATCTTCAAGACTTTGTACAAAAAAAATTTAATACCAAAAGTTTTCTTCCTTTTTCTTATAATATGAAAATAAGTAGGTCTTTTAAATTATGATTTAATGTGATTTTTTTTACCTTTCATTCAATCGATCCTAGAGTTATAAGATATAAGATTTAGTTTGTTATTATTGTTATTGAACGAAAACAAGTAAGCCTTTTACATGTGAATTAACAGATAAAATTAGTGCTTATGCCTTGGGAAATTTCATTATTTTTTTTTCTGCATATTGTAGTTAATCTCTTGTAATGTGTATTAAGATCTTAGTTGTATTTTATTTAAACAACTATAGTATTAAAAAAACTACTATTTTTATATACCATAGTTTTCATTATTTTTCATATAATTGTTTCTCTAATAACTACTCTTTTTAGCTTATAAGTAGAGATCCAAATATTTCATTCTAAGATTGATACATGACAAACTTATGGTTTAAGAGAAAGAAAAGGAGCTGTGACGTAATCCCCAGGCCCTTAGAAATTTTTGAGGAAAACAAAATATATATATTCGAGAGGCTGCTATGCTATTCCATCTGGCTTTTTGTTGCGGATTCCAATTTCCAAGGCCCCTACAAACTTAGATGTCTTTTTTTTTTTATTATTCATGAAACCATGAACGAAGCAGATTTGCCATGTGGAAGAACCCCTTAAAAAAGATAGAATATGGAGAGAGAGAGTGAGAGATATAAAGGTAAGGAGATTGTGTTGTTTTCTTTCTATTTGTTCAGTATATATTTTCCCACGTTCCTTGAGATTATGTGTATTCCCTGTTAATGGTATGGAAATGACAGAAATATGTTCCATCTCTTTTTCTTTTTTTCTCCTTTCTCAGCAACAAATGGTGAGCATATTAGGTTGTGAATGTGACCCAACACTAAATAGTTTTCTGGATGAATCTAAATCCAAATCTTATTGATACCAAATATTGCCTGAAAAGCTTTCCAAAATTTGGTGTAAATTTGATGGACAATAACATTTCGTGGAGTTAACAAGTAAAAAAAAAAAAATGCGGTTTCAGTTAAGCTCTTGGGAATGGAACAAAGGTGGCTGAACGTGGAAATATCCCTGCTCTGCATGCATTTGTCTCATAATTATTGGTAAGAATGTGATGGGAATTTTGAATCTATTCTCGTTTTTTGCGTTAACCCTTTCTAGTTTTCAGCAAACCCATAATAGCTGTTGGGGATTGCTAGATTTGTAATCTTCAGGGAAGCAAGATCCGTGAGAAAACACGTTTAGAACACACCTTCCACAGAATATATCAGTTTTCCTTCTTTTTTTTGGGTGGGGGGGGGGGGGGGGTCCTAGAATATATATACATACCACTTTCTTGATGTTTCATTTTCTTCCTGTCCCTGTTTTTGGCTTCGATTTGTTGTTTTTAGCTAGAAATTGTGCATGCTTTTACTTTTAAAAGAGGACAATAATCAAGCAAATGTATTGGTGATCTGATCTCCAAAAGTTTTACACCAGGTTTTTGTTGAAGAGAAGAAAACCGGGAACAATAATAATAAAAAAAAAAACTAATATGTACTTCAAGTTGTTTGATAGAAGAAACAATTCTTTTCTCTTTCCATTTCAATAACGACTCAAATTTATTGGTCTTACTTTGTTAATGGTCCACATTTATCATTCATCATTAATATTTCAACTGATTCGATTTTGATTTTATCAACGTAGTTTAAATTTTGACCATGACATCCGGTTGTTCAGTAAAATTATGAGAAACGACACAAATCTCAATCTCTGCACTTAATTAGGAAAGGAGAAATGTTATACAACTCCCAACTATGACATTGAATCGACCGAGGGATTATGGGAACTATGAGATCCTAGGGATGAAAATGAAATTAGAACATCTGGTGTCGATACTAATGAATCTAAATGTCATGAAACCATAGCAAAATATCGGTTAAATTATAGTAAGATTCCTTCAAAACTTAACACCAGGAAGTTTCATTTCATGAAAGAATAGAAAGGTAACAGTGGATTATTTGGCTTGGCAATGCGTTGAAGTTAACCTAAGAAGATCCATAGTTCAAAAAGATGACCAACACCCTCTGTCTAAATTGCTACAAAAAATAAAATCTCAAACGTTGCCAGAGCAACAGCCATAAGAACCAAAGGCCGATAAAAACCAAACAAGACATAATGCTTTTTGAACGTTTGAAGGTGCACTGTATACCGGACATCATTCCATCACCTTCTGCAATTTTATTCCAAGAGGAAAAATTGAAAGTTTCAATTAATGATGATCATCGTCACCATGTCCGTCTGGAGGTCCTCCAGGTCCCACAACTTCCAGCTGCCGAACATCAACAGAAATAATTAGGAAAATCCTACAATGCCTTAGTCAACATAGTTCTATTGCTGTACAGGTTTTAAAAAAAAAGGCTGGAATGGTAAGAATGCCACTTTAATTCATTTTATCTAATTGCGTTACAGGGCAATAGACTAAGGGAATGGGATGAAACAACCTTAAAGTTTCCAGAACTCAACTTTGTCATAGCATTATGGCCTCAACCTTAAATGTTTCATGTTCACCTAAAATCAGACTTTGGTCTTTGGTACGTCCTTCAAGGATGTTCTAGAAAATTTTAAAATATCTTACAGCTTATACATTTGCAACTCAATCTAATAGATGATTGTTAGTTGCATTCACTGATCACATTTACAGAGTTACAGATGAAGTAACCAGAACCAAGTTGAACAACAAAACATCCATTTACCTAAGCTATTTATTGTACAAACTGATTATTCAATCATGGTCTTGACTAGAGCCTACGAGGCTTGCCTGAGAATAAACTAATACTATTTATTTGTTCCACAATGCCCTAGATTATTATCAATTAATTCAAATCTTCAGAGTTTTTAGTGATTCCATGTATGGGTTAACAGAAATAATAAGCTGGATGTGGATCCAATGAATGGAAAGAAATTGACATTTTAGATGTGAGCTCATGTACGTCATCTCAAGGCTAGGATATAAGGAGTGAACGTTTTCTAATACAAGTTATCCACTTACCACAAAATACTGTGAGCAAACTGGGCATTCATGTGGCTTGCCTTTTTCCAGCCAAAACCAGACAACATCATGCTCATCCTCTGCAATTTTTAAAATAGGCAAATCAAATGAACTTGAGTATTAGTTCAAGCAGAATGACTCAATTTTGTATAAAACTGAGAAAAAGCATACAAGAACCACAGTTGGAACTTAGAAAAGCAGAAACAGAGAATTGATGAAAGAAACTTACCGCCTTCACCTCCTGGGCATCCAACTATTCTCTTGTCATAGTAGGACTTGATGACTGCAGGAGCTTCCTACAACCAGATAAAATGACTTCTACCATCAAAAGTCAAGTCACGACATCTCTTATGATTTCATAAAGGTCAATATTTCCAGTTTCTAGCAGGAAAAACGTATTTTCACCATAAATAGAGGTCAAAACTCAAAACGATAAATTTTAAAAAGAAGATTATTAGTTAGCCATGATTCAACATAAATGGAATAAACATTGCAGTACATCAATATAGCCAAAAAAACATTGCCTTCAAAACTTTAATAGATTCAGAAAACAAAATATTGTGTAGAAACAAATTTTTTTTCCGCACCTTGTGTGATATCTATAATATTCTAGTTCTCCAAAAAGAGATAGAACTATGATCTAGGAAGCAAATTAAGCCATACCATAGTAATGATGCTGAAAACTAAAACATTAACACCCCATATCTGGCACATGTATTGTCACCATTCCATGGAAGGTCAAGGTTCACAGTTCAGCATCCCCTCCCCTCCCTCAGGCCTAGTCTACCAGTGACCAGAGGCCCACCAGTGAGAGGAGCTGAAGAAAGAATGAAGGAAAAAAAGAACCCCTTGCATGAGGAAAATTAAACCTAAAGGCTCATATAAGTTATATAAAAGATTGCTAATTTTCATTACTCAAATCCAAAAATGAATTAAAAGCCCAAAGATAACACAAATGCTAACAAAAATCTGGAACAATCACTAGGCAATTCCAACTAGTTAATAACATTGAATAGAGATTTAGCAACAGTACCAAATAATGCACCTGGTAACATCTTTTGGTACATATTTACTTATATTATGAAACATCAGATAAAAAGTCCAAGGATAAAAGATTGTTACAGAATATATCAATATCAACTAAAAGGTAAACCACTTAAATAGAATTATACTAAATTCCAAGTAGTTGAAGCCGTATATAAATTACACACAAACAGAATAAAGGAACGAATGCAAATAAAACATAGTAGTAAATTATAGCAAAAGAAAAGAAAAAAAAAGGGCTAAAATTTTCAGTATTTCAAACACCATCTGTCATTGATTCCATATAAGATGATACCCACATGGTCAAATATGAGTTCTCCAATTGTAATAGTCTGTGAAAGACATTGCAATTCGTACTAACCTCTGTGCCAAAAGGACCTACAGGATTGTTAAAATCTTCAAGGATTTTCTTTCCCTAAACAAAATAAAGCAAAAAAGAAGAATCAGAATGAGAAAGCAACGGCCTTTAAATTTAGCCATAATGCTTAGAACAATATAGTGGACAATTTGAATCTTCAATAGCAGAAAAGTAACATAACAAGAAATTTCTCATATTTTAAAACCAAACAGAGAGCGGAAGAGGAAAAATCACCTCAAGCTCAAAGTCAAGCTCCTCGCGCTCATGACCAGTGGCGATAGGCATTACATCCTCAACCCTCTTCTTCACAGCAGTATCCGCTACACAACCCAAACCAATCGAAATCAAAAATACGAAATCAATATCGGATACGCCAACAACAACATTCTTTTGAAATAAAAGCTAAGCCTAACTTTAACCTCTTCTAATTTCGAAGCACATTAATCAATGACCTAAAATATTCATGGAGAAATAAATGAACAGTTAAAAGACTATCTAGGGATAAAAAGCTTGAAATCAAAACGATTCGTTGACGAGGATCTAAGGAAATTAGGGTTACCTGAGTCGGATGAGAAGCGGTGAGTCAGGAGAGAAGCGGAAGGGGATGGAGAAATGTGAGATTTGAAACGAAGCAGCACCGTTTTAGAAGCGGATTCGCATGGAGCTGTGGCTAGGGTTTTGAGCTGTGAAGTCACTAGCCTTCTCCACATATTTCTGAATTAAAAGATTTTAGGGTTTTTGTATTTTTGCTGATCTCAGGTCACGCCCCGGCCTTTTTTGAAGACGATCAAAAAATGCAATTGCGTTCTTTTTTCTTGGTTTTGGCTCAGTCTATTTGTTTTTCAGTGAAAAAAAGTAGGGAAATGTTGCGAAATGAGGTTTCAAAAAGAATGGGGAGCCGCCGACGATGATTGATGAGGTACATTTTGGCACGTGTCAATTTGTTTCACGTGCGAACTTTATGGAAGTTTTGGATTTTGACTGCGCTTCGAGTGGTGAGGTTCAGTTGGGGCAACAAGTCGACACCTCAGAGGTGGTAACTGTCTGAATCGGATCCTGTTTATTTTAGTATTTTTTAATATTATATAATATATAAATTTTTAATATTTAATTTAATTTGAATTAAAATCAAATTTTTATATGATTTGATTTAAATTAAATTTTATTTATTTGATTCTGTTTATTGATTTTTAAAATTTATATATTATTTTAATATAAAATTTTAATATATTTAAGTAAATTTTGATATAAATTATTTTTTTATTTTATAAAAATTTAAAATATGTCTAATTAAAATATATATAATTTTATTCGATTCAATTTTTTTATTTTTTATTTTTTGATTCAAAATTCAAACTAAATTTAATATATATATTTAATTTTTAAATTTAATTTGAATTGAATAAAACAAAAATTATTCAACATGAACCAAATATTATAATTTCAAATTAATTTTTGATTTTTGATTTTTATTTTTTCATCCCTAATTCCCATGTCAGTAAAGAGTTTACTAAAATTTGTTAGTCCAAATTAAGGAAATTGAGTTAAAAAATTGAGGAATTGAGAGATTTGTTTATTTATTTATTATTTTTTTTTTTTACAAAAATAAAAAATAGTAAAAAATGGATTCTAAAAGGCATACATCAACTGCACGGAATCATATGCAATATATACTTTTATAATTGATGTTATCAATTTTATAATTAACGTTATTAGATATTGAATATGATAATTAAAGTGAAAATTTTAAAATTTTATAGACAAATCAGTCGACTGTTGAAATTATGATGCAATATTATTTGTCAATTAAAAGGAGAAAATGCATGGTTTTTGGTGGTCTTCCACATACTAGATATATAACATCACAAAGTGCTAGTAAACTGAAATAAGTTCCATGTTTTCTTAACAATCTATAATCTAAAATTGATATTGACGGATGAAACATAATTAAGTTCCAACTCAGTTTATCAGCTTTTGTCTTTTCCTTCTAGGGTTGGGTTCCTGCCCTTCATCTTCATCCTCATCCAATTTGCTTCCCAACTTCTTTAAATCTTCTTCACTTACGAGTCCTTTCAGTTTCTGGTTAAGTGCATAAGCTTCCCTCATTTTTCTTCTGCATTCTTTGCTCGCGGAATCATGAGAAACCACTGAAATAAATTGCAAGGAAATAAGAAAAGGAGCTTATCCATAAAAGCCATACTGTATGAAGCAGCAAACCTGAAGAAAAATACCAGATTGGCCTATATCATGGCTTTTAAAATGTATTAAACAATCCAAGTTGTTTTTTAAGGCATAGCATTAAATGTATTAATCCAAGTTGTTAATATGATCTATACTGAATTTATAATTTATCTTAATTGGATGCAATCATCTTTGAAAGACAGTGACGGATTCAAGTTTTATTCTCGGAGTGTCCACTTATTATAGTGGATGTTGAGTGCTGGATCTTGGCTGGCTATAGGTTGTGGGGTATTGGATAGTGGCAGTGAATGGAGTGATTAGGGAATTAAAAAAAATGTGTTCAAAGAAAAGTTTTGGGGTGTCTAAGGAAAATATTTTGGGGTTTTCGAGACAAAATTTCCCTTTAAATTTTCCTATTTTCCAATTTTTGGGAGTGTTCATGGACGCCCTAACCAACCATTTGCATCCGCTACAGTTAATAGGTGGATCTAGCAGGTTTGGGATTCAAATCCCAGCACATGCAACAATTTCCCTATTTTCAGACTATGACTTCTTTTGTAAAAAAAAAAAATTCATCGCTACAATTACTAAAGAAAGTGAAAATGAGGTGATATCTTACTGAAATTACATGATAAAAAAACATTGTGTGCTAAATAACACTCAAATAACCGATGCCTCCGTATTTGAAAAGGTATGCAAAACTAATGGCCTAAGTTGTAGATTCAACTCTGGGATATGAATAGGGATATTATATTGTTGAGATTGACATCTAACTTATCCCTCATAATGAGATAACGTACCTGGTTTTGGATAATCTCTTCCAATAATGCACTTTGCTTTAGTTTGCACGCTTAGTGGAGCTGTCCATGGCTCATATATATACTCCTTTGGCATGTCTGATATCCGCTAACAACAATCATATGTTAGATATAGCACAAGACAGCTTGCCAAGAGATGATGATGAATGGGGTAGAAATTAAATGTACCTTTTAGTACGGGGAGAAAATGCCTAATATAATTACCATTGGGATCGTATTTCCTTCCAAACGATGTAGGGGAATATATGCGGTTATACTGTTGAATACAACAATCATTCAATGTTGAAAGCCCAGTTATGTAAACAGCAAATTTGGCAGCAATTCTAGAGGGAAAATTGTGACTCTAAGAACCTAGATCTCAAACAACTAAGCGACAAATGAAAGATGGAGGCATATAATAGAAAACTAATAATCTACTACCTCAAATTATTTAGCAAATACAGATAAAAAAAATATGATTCTAAACAACCTGATTTGACAATGTAGTATCATGCAGTGAACATATTTAGCACATGCCTAGATCATTCATCAATAAGATAATCCAAACTCGTGTAATTACAGCTACATTTTACCATATATGGTAACGAATTCCTGAAAATTATAAACGTATAGATGCTTCGAACCTGGTAAAAGAATGATGAACACGATAACCACAGCCAGTTCCCATTATTAATTGCCCAATCTGAATCAATCAGAAGTCTCTCAAAGACGTCACGTCCTTTTTCCCAATGAACAAACTAGAAAACGAATGCAATTTATGTCAAGAGAAAATGGTAGAAAGAAGAAAGATATGTGCTGAAGCATTGAGGTAACATACCAGATCTCCACGAGTAAGGAAACATGCTACACAATGACGTGCAAGATGGTGCATCCAACCCCACTTCCGTAGCTACAGTGACCCATGTTTATAAAATTAAAATGCACATCCAAAATATGACACCAAATGTGCAAAAGATTAGATAGAGGGAGCAAGTTAAGCCACAGAAACCTGGACCATGATAGCATCAATCCAAGGGTAACCTGTTCTAGCTTCCCTCCAAGCAGCTAGGAGTTTGTCATCAACATTCCATGGAATCTGAAATCACAAAATAGCATAGCATCAAAGATTTATTTATAGCTAGTACACATTCCAATACATCATGCCAGTTACAGCTATGCAATGTGGAAACCAATTTCTGCAATATTCAGATTTTATGGATGATAGGTAACACATGGAAAACACTGAATAATTTCAATATAGCCTGAGCTAATCATAATTGAAGAGGTGAGAGAACTTACGAAAAACACTGGGTTCTAAGCAAAGAGAAGTTCATCCTAGAAGAATAAGTTACAATCACAACCATTCTCTTTTTTTTTCCTTTTTTTTTTTTAGTTTTAAGCACAACCATTCAGAAATCCTGTGCTGGTTTCAATTTAAGGTAAACATAACCAGTTCGTTTGGAACTATAACACAATTTATAGTGAAACAATTCTGGCTATAAAAGAAACACAGCTTGAATGAATACAGAAAAGTGTTGTAAGACTTGCTTCAAACAATTATCATCTAGAGTACTAATATCAGGTAATTTTTAGGCCAACAGCCATGTGATCTAGAGTGTTGGACTCAGTTCCAGTGATGAGGACTCAATCCCTCACAACCTCAAGTACCAAAAAAATGAGGTGGTTTTTATTTATTTTGTTTCCTTTCCTGCTCTTTCTTTTTCTCCATTTCTGAGAGGAAACATGGAGAAAGAAACAAACAGAAGCAGACTTCTGTAAAAATAGGTTTAGTTTAGTACATTAAATGCACTGACCTGCTTGCAAATTTTATTACCCTTCATTTTATCAAAATTAGGAGTTCCAAAGGCCACAGTATAGAAAAATTCACGCCATAGCAACTGCAAGGATCGAATCTAGCAGTCAATTCTTTGAAAGAAAAATGATAGGGGGACTAAACAACAAATAATCTCAACATAGCATGTTGAAGAATAAATAATAGGCAACTGACCTGTCCAACAAGAGAAACAGGTGGTGATGTATGCCTTTTGACATTTTTATAGACATCTTTAAGGCACTGGTAAAAATACCTGGAAGAGAGACAGCCAAACTGCCGAAAGGATCAAAAATAGAGAGCTAACATTTAAAAAAAAAAAAAAAAGGAAGGGCCAGTATTGCAAATTAATTTATAACCCCCTTCCGTCAATATGCAGGGGTGAAATCTCTTAAAGATTTTTGTCTGCATATTACAAATTTTTTGCAATCAAAGGTATGCTCCAAGACAATATCAATCAATCTTTTTGTCACTCACTTTCAAGTAAGGTGATAGAACAGTTGTTGCTGGCTTTACATATGCAGAGGGGTCACCCTTAGGTTTCTCAAAATTGGCCACCCATTCCTATAGTAAAAGAAAGTAGTCATATTAATGCAAGTGCTGTAAACAACTCAATTTAAAAAATATTAAAAGAAATAAAACATGGGAAAATCAATAAGATAAGTGAAGGTATTTTGCATGAAATCAGGTTCATTTAATGACAAACCAGAGGGGATTTCACATTTCAGCAGGAACTTACAATTGTCCTCACAAAGCCATTAGAAGGAAAAATACAGATGGACTAATCCCAATTATAACCAGAAGCATCTATATGTTTTCTCGATAGGCACTTACAAATTATAACATCCTCTCAAGGAGATGAAGAATATCACAATAACAGGAGTGCAGCCAACTCTTTCTCCTCAGATTGATAGACTACATCAGAAACTTGTAAGCAGGCAAGACATTTCACAAGCCTCATATCTAACCTACCAAATGCACCTCTTCTCATCAAACATTTCATTATTACCTTAATTAGTCAACTCAAATGGGTTCAACTTTATTACAAGGAACTCACTTAGAAATTAACACAAGCCCTTATTTAAACGTAAAAAGAAAGAAAAAAGTTAACCGAAAGTTTTCCATGGTTGTCACAAAACCACAAAGTAATCTACAAAGGACACTTTAATCTATCATATATCTACATTATGTACTACCAATGGTAAGTAATAGCAGTTGAAAATTGAATTGTAAAACTTTGTCAATTCTGCCATCCTACGAAAGGCTGCCTTTTCTAAAACTTAAATGCCATAATATTGTGATCACTAATTCAATGCTCAGGCCTAAAAGGCACATAATACCTTGTCACTTAGCGATTCTCTCAATCTCCTCAATGCTTCAGACTCACCACCTCTAAAGGGAGTGAATTCATCCTGCACAAGGAATCCCTTCTTTATAAAGAACTCTTTAAAACAAAGCCACATTTCTGAAACATTGACGGCTCCATACCTGATCCTTTTCCACATACCCAAGTTCCTTTAGCGTTGGAACTTGTAAAATCTCACAGCTTCCAACATCCCCAACAGGAGGAATTGAAGAAAGATCAACCGAAAGTGGTGAAGATGCCCACGGGGGTTCCCCAGCAAGCTTTAAAAAGGATTGATAATTCAGTGGTGGCCTTCCCCCATTCTTTTGGTAGACATTAGTTGCATTCAGGAAAAGAAGCAATCAATTAGTAGACAATAAATAGCATCCTTGATAGCCAAAAAAATGACACCCTTGACATACCCAACTTCTTGCTTACCTTCTCTATAATATCCGCAGGATTGAAAAGTGTATGACTCACTGGAGAGAAGACCTCGATTCCAGCCGTAGAAGCATAATTCTGTTGAAACAAAGGCAAATTTGATTTGATATAGCACCAATAAATTTGAGAATCTAAAGGAAGGCTAATATAATGATCTTCCCAGAGAAAAAAAATGTAGTCTTACCTTAACTCTATTATCCAAAGCTTGATAATATGGATCAGTGTCATACTCAAAGCAAAGCTTTTTCACATCCCACTGCCAAAAACCCATAACACAAGCAAACATTACTTAAAAAAAAAAAACTTCTCCATAGTTTTAACTTTTAACCTAACAAAAATATATATTATAAAAGAGTAAATCACCTCTTTTAAGCAGTGAATCAAAACCTGGCTAGGCTCACCCTTCAACACCAACAACCTAGACCCAAGTTTCTTCAAATTTAAGTCAAGGTCATGGAGGCTCTCCAGCAAAAAGTGGATCCTGTTTATGCCCGCACGGGTCGACCCGGGGGAGAACGCATTTGGGTCCGGCTCCATGTAGTGAGGGTCGATCACGAACAAAGGGTAAACATAGTTGGAGCCTCTTGAAGCATACTCGAGCGCCGGGTTGTCGTGGATCCGGAGCCCCTTTCGGAACCATACTAACGAACCCGACCCCGATGGCATGGTCGAATTCAATAGAGAAAGTGGAAGTTTCATGAGAGGAGAGAGTTTTTGGACCGTTGGGGTTGTTTGGCGCGTTAAAATGGGGGGGGGGGCAAAAGAAGAGATGTTGGGTGTAGGATAAGGATGCTTGTGACGTGAGAAGAGGCCTGTTTCTAATTCTGCGCACACGATACACGTTAGAGATATGTGGTGCGGTTACTGTGTCGCGGTTACTGTGGCACCACGACGAGGGTTCTGCGGCCTGTTGCTTTTTTGTGGTCAAAAGTCTCCTTTCTAAGTTTTCACCTTTCACTTTTTTTTTTTTTTGAACCTTTTTGAAGTTTTGCGATAAGGCGGATAACAAAATAGAAAACTTATTTAAATCAAAGTGTTTGGTTTAATTAGTTTTTATGTAATCCATTTGGCTTCAGTTCTTAAGTTTAAAAATTTAATTGAATTGTACATTTATTAATATTTTAAATATTTATAGGTTTTATAACATTATAAAATAAATATTATATTTGTATAAAATAAATATTATATTTGTCTATATAAATTAAAAATAATATAAAAATTACAAAAAAATCAAATTTTTCTAAAATTTACCTACGAAATCCACCTATCCCAATTGATGGAATTTAGTTTGAATTGATTGGTTAAAAATATTATTTAACTAGCTTTTTTTAACCCGTACAGTGTATGGGATTTTTATTAAATTTTTCATAATTTTAAATTTAATTTTTAATTATTTATCTAGTATATAAGCATATATTTATAAATACTAAGTTATAATTAAATGATATTTTATACATAATATATTACAAATGATATTATTCATCTAAAAAAAATCTAAACTTTTATAAAGTTTCAAGAATTATAACAATTTTTTTTCATTAATTTTGTTTTCAATTTATTTACTAAATACTAAAAATTTGGTTACCATTTTTTCTTGTTTGATAAAAAATCAAGAATCAGCATTTAAATAGTTAAGATTAATAATTATTTTTATCATAACGTTGATTGGATGGTGTGTGTATATATATATTTGATTGAACAATAAATCACAATTATTTATTTTGTTATAATAATTTGCTTTTTAATAGTTTTTACTTTTGACATACTTCAAGTAATTATTACACAAATATATTAGGTTAACAATCATTTTTATATATGTCAACAAAATAAAATGTTTTTTAGATAAAAAGGAAACAATAATTTTTTATGCTATGCTTAAAACTTTTTTTTGCAATATTTTTTTTATTTTTAATTATTTTTAACATAATTGATAATATTTTTTGTGAGTTAGATATAATAATAATCATCATTCTTCTCATATCATCAATTTTAGACAAAAAAATTCAACAATAAAAAATATAGTAAAAAGAAATAGAGACTATAAATTTACATATTAATTTGTCAAGATTAAATATATACAATAATAAAAGTAAATATGTTAATAAATTAACAAATAATAAAAACATTGAAGAAATGAATAAAATAAAAAAATATAATACAAAAAATTAATTATAATCAATCTGAGCAAAATTAAAAAAATTATAGACTAAAGAGAAACAAATAAATTTACCAAATATATAATAAAAAATATTTGAATTAGAACATAAATAAAATATTATATTTGTTTTCAAAACAAAAACATATTTTTATCTAATTTTTTTATCAACATTCAAATGTCTTATATTTTTATATAAAGATGTAAGCTTTTATTACTTTAAAAATATGTGCTTTCTAGTCAATAATTTATTAATTTATCGAAAAGTATTAAATTTAAATAATCTATTAAATAATTTTTAATTTTTGATAGATTTTTATTTGAATTTAAAAATTATTTTAAATATTAAATTTAAATAATTTATTAAAAAAATTATTTGACAGAAAATAAAATTTTATTAAGTATATATATATTTAAAACTGTTATTAAATTTTTAAAAACTATAAATTATGATTTAATATATTTGAATTCAAATCTTATGTAAAAATTTCAATATTAGATAGATATTGATTTTAATTTAAATAATTATAAAAAATTCAATTTAAATAATTTATTAAAAATTTTATTTGATAAATAAAGTAATATAAATATTATTCTATATATCATTAAAAAAGATTATCCAACTAAACATCCACATAAACAATTTTGATCATGTAATTTTGTATGTTGTAATATAATATATATATTAGATTCAATTTTTGCAAACTTAAAATTGTAATTTTTATTTAAAATCTCAAATCATTATCAATCTTATTTTGCATTATTTTTAATGATATATTAGGTGAAGAAGTTTATTTTTAATATGTGTTAGGGTTTAGTAAAAATAAGAAATAAAAAAATAAAAAAATAACATATTCTAATGTAAGTTGATTTCTCCATTAAACGAGTTTGATAAAAAAAAAAATTTAAAAAGCGAATCAAGTCTTAACTTGTGTTTGGTTTAATTTATTTTGTAATTATATAATATATATTATTATATATATTTTTATATAATATAAAAAGATAAAGAGTAAAAATTAATTTATACAGTATTTTATAGTTTTAAATTTGGTAATTATTAATTTTAATAAATTAAAAAATAAATTTTTTTTTTTTACTTCCCTTTAATCTTTTAACTTTATTAAAATCAATAATTAAAAAAATGTAAATTTTTTTAGAATTATACTATATAAGTTGATTTTTTTAAAGATAAATATATAATATTTTAATATAAATATTAAAAGATATTCATATTTTAAATTTAATAAAAAATATTAAAATTTAAATAAAAATACAATGTTTTTATTTTATTAAAAAGTAGTAGTTATTTAGGTGGGCAAGTATGAACGGTACAATTTAATAATATAAGAAAGTTTAGACAGAATTTAAACTTGACTAGTTCTTTATTGTTACATAATTTTATTTTAACTTGTTCTTTATTATTACATAATTTTATTTTAACATTTTGACAATTTTTATTTTGAATGAATTGGTCTACTTGACTAACTTGGAAGACAAGTTTGACTTAGTAAACTTTTAACGTACAATTTTATATAGCTAATAAACCAAAATTACTAAAAAACCAAAAGAAAAGAAAACCGCTTAGCCTAACGCCCGAGGCACTCTTTCTTACCGTCAGATCATTATCATTCCTCATTCCTTTACCGTCCGATCATCAACAGCTCTTCTAAGCCATCTATGAAATCCCTAGCCACCATATAAACCCAAATTCAACATCCGTTCCCAACATATTCCATTTTTTGATTTCGTTCACAAAAATTCCATTTAGTAATTCCTCTCTCCATTTCACCGATTCAAATCAAATTCATCGATCATGAGATTCAAGAAAGGCAGCAAAGTTGAGGTATTGACCAAGAAGGAGGTTCCAACCGGCGCTTGGCGCTGCGCGGAGATTATCTCTGGCAACGGTCATACGTACAGCGTGAAGTACGGTTGGTTTCCGATCACTGGCGACGCGGCGGCGGTGGAAAGAGTCCCTAGGAAAGCGATTAGGCCTTGCCCTCCTCCTATAAACGGGACCGATAATTGGGTTTCTGGTGATGTCGTAGAGGTCTTCGACGAATTGTGTTGGAAGCCGGCGGTGATTGTTAGGGTTTTCGGTGGAAACAACTTTTCGGTTCGGATTCTTGGATCGAATAGCGAACTCAAAGCACATCAATCTCGATTGCGTGTTCGACAATCTTGGGAAGATGGCAATTGGTTCCTTGTTGGAAAGGTAAATTTTTGGAATCCTTTTTTTGTTAAACTATAATTTTAATATTTCTCTTTATGTCTTTTGTTAGATGTTATTGATTCTTACCCTAATTGTTATTTTCGACTTTAGGGATTGTCAAATTCCACAGGACGGCCGAAAAGGAAAAGATCTTCGATTGGCTTCTCGGATGCTCGTGGGCAGAAGAAGAGGGTGATTGAGAAAGGTAGTATTGGTGTTCAAAGAATAATAATTCGGCTTCCTACGCCTGCCTCTGAAAAGGTAGATGCATTTGTTTCCCCAAATAATATACTGGGTGAAAGATGTATGCCTTCTTCCTTTCATAGAGTTGATGATACCATGAGTTGCGCATCATCTGTTGGTAGTTGTAGTGGTTTAGGGAATAATGGTCTTTACTTGTCTCCTAGTTCTGTAACAAACGGTTGTGAAAACTTAGAGGATTATTGTAGTGATGCTGATTCGTATTCTAAAAGGAGATGCGGAGAAGAAGGAAGTTCCATTTCCACTAGTGTGGAATTGGGAACTGATTTCCATAGGTCGGAGCTACATGCCTATCAACAAGCTCTTGGTGCATTTTATGCTTCTGGGCCTTTGACTTGGGAAGAAGAAGAAAAGGTGACCAATCTACGCCGTTCTCTTAATATTTCAAATGATGAACATTCGAGGGAGCTAAGAAAGTTGAGACATGATGATAATAGGCTTTCTATTAGTTGTTACTAAATTTAAAGAATTACTTTTCTATCTGTTAATGCAGTAGTGTTATGTTTTACTCCAATGATGCTGATATTGTAAAGATACTTGAAAGTTTAAATTTTGTAATTGCTTTAGAAGTTTCTTCTCCTATCTCCATGATAGAGGTTCGTTCTCTATGTCATTTTTTCCCTTTCTTTTTGTTTTCGCATCTCACCTTGTGCATCTGTGGCATATTGTTGGGTGGATATGCACTTAAATTTAAGCATAGCAAATTCTACCTTCCCTTAGTCAAACTGTTGAGTAACATTAAAATGCAAAGATGTGAATTACATTTTTAGTTGCTGAAACTGATTTCCTAAAATGAATTTGATGTTCCAGTGTTTTCCCACATATTTTTTTCACTATTTTTGTCCTCTAAGATTACTTTGACCTTGTTCATGTTTTTTAAACCCCCCCCCCCCCAAAAAAAAAGACCTTTTTCTTAATCACTAGCTGGGGTCTTGTAAATTCTGATGTGGTGCTGGCTGGTTTATGGATTCTAGCTGGTGTTTTATATATTTTCACTTTTATGTATGTGAAACTGTTCTACATCATCTCATGATGATGGATAGGAATGTTATACTTGCTTTATTTTAGCAGTATATGGCATTAATGTGGAGAAATATCTTGATACTTTCTCAGAATATCTCATGGCCAATGTTGGAGGCATCCATACCTTGCTTCTAAAGCCATTATGGGTTGAGTTTGTCATCTCTTGCAGTTGACCAGGGAGCAACATCCATGGTTTATTGCTAAAGGAGCTCTTAAGCCCTGTTGTTGGTATGAATCATTTCTAAAAATATTTTTCAAAATTTGATTTATTTATGGCAATGCTGGTATAGGTCATTGTATTCCTTGTTGCATATAAAACAAGACAATCTTAAAAGCCGCCCTACAGTTAGTATGTAAATTGATACGTTGCAGTTGAACTTACGGAAAGACAATTCTTTTTTTTTTTTTTTTTAAAGGATACATGAGAATTTAAGTTATAATATAATAGTTGGAAACGGTTTTTATCTCTAGAATGTACATATCCAATAATGGAACAATATGGGTAGGACGATTAATAAACCTCTCTCTCTCTCTCTTGTGCAAAAACTTGTAATTTAAATGCTTGAGTATTGACAAGAACATGTTACCATCTTTTAACTGTAAAAATTCAAATTTGGCCGTTTGGGGGCTACATTCTTACTGTCTCTCGGTATAAACAAGTTCATACATTATGATGATTGATGATATTGTTCAAGTTAAATATGCATGGTTACATGCTATGATGAAATGGTGTTCTAACTTCATAGGTGGTTGCTTGATTTGTTAGATGGGTACTTGTAAGTTCCTTCAAAACTCCAAGTTCGAAAATCTTCTCTTGTCCTTGAGAGTAATGTGCTGTAAGAGGTTTCTTCCCCCCTTGCATGATACTGTATGTTTTCAATCCTAATGAATTTTGCATGAAAAAATCCCTGCCGTGGTTAATTTCTACTTTTCCCCTGATAATGTACAGTGGATGCAAATCCATGCTGCGGGTAGCATGAACTTTTCCTCTAATCATGTACACTTGGTGATGCACTGAAAGACTTCTTGAGGAGAAATGTCTGTTTACATATTCATATGTCAGGTTCCTATTCATTGTTATTGAATGCAGCCATCAACTGAAATAGATGCTTCAGTTTATACCTTTTAATACCAGGTAGGTCGTTCCAATTGGTAAGTCTTGTCTGCTATTTGTTGTTCACTCGTTTTATGCTACTTATGGCATTTTTGTTGAGACTAGTGGGAGGTGGTTTAGGATTTTACATCATTTTACTATTTGATAGGGCTGTGCCAAAATATCAAGAAAACAGGCACTGAGCTGTTTAGTTTTTGATAGTCATTATGTTTTCATTACCTGATGTAATTGGAACCGAAGAAATTGGTCTGCTTATTTTTCTCCATTAGACACGGAAAAAATCCAATTCATTGTTAGCACAAAAAGATCCTAAAAGAAATGCCAAAATTTGGAATTGTTTAGTGGACCAAGCCCAAGCACATTGCTGTGCAAATAAAAGGCCAGGTTCAAATGAATTCATTGTTTAAACTGAGTCCAATGTGAAATGCCACCTGCCCTTCCTGTCTTTCAGCATTCTCCTCCCCCACAAAGTCGTTACAAACCTCTTAGCTCGGATCTCAGTGGGTTACTCACCCTCAGACTGTCATGCCTCATCGTCATTCTCTTCCCCATGTGCCATGACTTCCTCTTCCAGCCTGCTTCCTTCTTCAAGTTAAGTTATTAACTTTACTTTTTTAAAGCTTTTTGGAATTTGTAACATGTTTTAATTGAACAGTTTGGAATTTCTTCATTTATTTTACAAGAGAAGTAATTGTTTCCTTTCTGTTTTAAATTTTTAGTTCTTGTGTCAAACATGCAGTTTATAAATTTTAACCAAAGGTATATTATGATGCTTGTTTGGATTTGATTAGGGAAACAGTTTTTATACGTAATGCTTGACAGGCAGCTAAACTTTAGTGTGATTTTATTAAAACACTTGATTATTTTGTGGAAAACATACAAGAAGTGATGACTAGATTTTTTTTTGTCTGATTGTAGCTACTAGGCTTCCAAAGCTTTTTCTCTCTTTTGTAGTTTTTGAAATTATTGCCACTGCTTGCTCAAAATATTAGATTGAAAAAGCTGAATTTGTGGATTTGGTTAACTATATTCTTTTATGCTATGTTTGGAAAGATGAATTTGAGAGAGTGGCTTGGATTTGATTTGCTATACAGACTGTGAGAATGAAATTTACATGCTATGCACAAATTAGTTAAGATTCAGTATGCCTATACATTTGAACATGTATAACAAGATAATTTCAGATTCACAAATATATATAGTTATTTCAAATTCACTACCAAATAGCAATCCATCAAATTTATGAATTTGGAAATAATCATGAAGGTCTGGCCCTATTTGTATGTTCTTTATCATATAATTTATCCTAAATATAAATATAAATTCTTTCTTTTATATGATAAAGACCAAGTGCTTCACCCTTCATTTTATTGATTATGAATGAAACATGAAGCTTTTTTTTTCTTTTTTCATTACAAGTCATTTTTCCTTTTTTTATTAATCTTTTCAGCAAGTTGATTTGAAGAATTTCACGAGTAACAACCATTTCACTGGATATGAAATTTAGTTTTGCATTTATTGTTTTAATTTCATATCATGGAATGTGGATTTGCAGTTGTATGTTTTCATTTAGTTGTGTTAAATTGAAACTGCCAACCCAGAGTTTAACTTAAAAAAAAATTGCCTTGTGGTATGCTGATATGGTTTGGTTCATGTGGAGCCTATTTGGTGACTTGATGTCATTGTTATTATTATTTTGGCCAGCTAGGCGATGTCATTGTAAGTTTGTTACTTTGTTAGAGCTTGTTGTTTCCTTGTTTGGATAATTTTTAAGTTGTGATGTTTGTTTTTGGAAAGCTTAGAAATTTTAGTGGTTGTCAATTAAGTTGTGGTTGTTTTTTCTTTTTCAAGTAATTCATTCACACCAAAAAAAAGAAAAAAAAGAAAAAAAAAGAACTAGAGGATTTGTTTGGTTTGGCCAGTGGCAATTATGGCATGGAAGTTGGCTTCAAAGGTACAGGATATCCTCTCCAAGATACAGTCAGCCCTCTCATTCTTATATACTCCTTTTCTCCTCTTTACATTTTCAGCCCATTACTTAAATTTGAAGTGTTTTTGTTTTACTTTATCAAATCTAATAAGCCAATTGATGCATTGAAGGTGCAATGAAGAATTGGAGACTGTTGAGCCAAGATGCAGTGATGAATGTATGTTATCTATTTTGAACTTTTTCTAAAGCAAGTTGCCTTGTTTTCAATCAAATGCAGTTGATAGAGCTTGAAACTATAATATTTTTATTGAAATTTAACATAGTTAATCTTTGTAGTTATTAAAATTGAGTGAAATTTTGATTCAAATATAATGTTAAATTACCAATCTTTTCATAATTTGACATGATTTTGATAAGCACTGGTATGATTTATTTAAACTCTTTGACCTTTTTATTTTGAATGAATTATATTACTCTACTAACTTGGGAGACAACTTTGACTCTTTACAAGAATGATGCCTCACTTTTTGACTATATTTTGAATGAATTATTTAAAAACTATTATAAAAAATCTTAGTTTGAATAATATTATGATTGTAAATAATAATACCCATGAAAGATAATAATAGCAATAATAAAATTAAGATAATTATGAGAATATTAATTTAGGATTTTTAATTTTAGTGGTCAAGTAATTTTCGAAAACTTTAAATATAAAAAAATATAATTTAATTATTTAATTATTTCTTATCTTTTTAAAGTAATATGATAAATTAAATTCCTGCCTAAGATTTTCTTTTATTACTCTTTAGCAAATGTGTTTGAACAAATTTTATACATGAATAAAGACGTGTAAATAAAATAAAAAAGTTCAAAATGAAAATAAATAATATTATAAACAATAAATAAAAATAATAATAGTAGTAGTAATAAAACAAAAATAATTGTTTTTTTTTTCCATTTAGGTCCCCACAATTTTGGTTCGAAACGTGGCAACTTCTTCCAATCTATTACTAATGGGCTAAACTAAAGCCCAAAGCAGTCTCTTCCTGATCGTCCGATCATTGGGATTACTCCATCACCGTCCCATCATCATCAACTCTAATAATCCCTCCAGGAAATCCCCAGCCCCTATATAAGCCCATATTGAAACCTAATTCCCAAAACTTCCATTCTTTCATTTCTTTAGGAAAATTTCTATTGAACAATTCCTTTTTCCTTTTCACTTATTCGAATCAAATTCACCGATCATGAGATTCAAGAAAGGTACCAAAGTTGAGGTTTTAATCAAGAAGGAGGTTCCAACCGGCGCTTGGTGCTGCGGCGAGATTATCGCTGGCAATGGCCATACGTACAGCGTGAAGTACGGTTGGTTTCCGATCACTGGCGAGGCGGCGATGGTGGAAAAAGTCCCTAGGAAAGCGATTAGGCCTTGCCCTCCTCCTATAAATGGGACGGATGATTGGTTTGCTGGCCATGTCATTGAGGTTTTCGACGAGTTGTGTTGGAAACCGGCAGTGATCGCTAGGGTTTTGGGTGGAAACAACTTTTCTGTTAGGATTATTGGATCGAATAGCGAACTCAAAGCGCATCAATCTCGATTGCGTGTTCGACAATCTTGGCAAGATGGAAACTGGTTCCTGGTTCGAAAGGTATTTTTTTTCGCAATAATTTTAATCTTTTTCTTTATTTTTTTTATACATTATTGATTTTTACCCTAATCATTATTTTCGACAACAGGTTTCGTCAAGCTCCACTCGATCGCCTAAGAGAAAAAGATCTTCTCTTGGTGATATTGGTGTGCAGAAGAAGAGGGTGATTGACAAAGGTTGTATTGGTGGTAAAAGGATAATAGTTCGGCTTCTTATCCAGCCTCTGAAAAGGTAGGTGCATTTGTTTCCCCAAATAATGTAGTGGGTGAAAGATGTATGCCTTCTTTCTTTCATAGAATTGATGATACCATGAGTCGCTTATCATCTGTTGGTAGTTGTAGTGGCTTAGGGAATCATGGTGTTAACTTGTCTCCTTGTTCTGTAACAAACGATTGTGAAAACTTAGAGGATTATCGTAGTGATGCTGACTCGAATTCTGAAAGGAGATGTGGAGAAGAAGGAAGTTCTGTTTCCACTAGCGTGGAAGTGGGAATGGATTTCCACAGGTCGGAGTTACATGCCTATCAGCAAACACTTGAGGCATTGTATGCTTCTGGGCCTTTGACTTGGGAAGAAGAATTAAAGGTGACCAATCTACGTTGTACTCTTAATATTTCGAATGATGAACATTTAAGGGAGCTAAGAAGGTTAAGATTTGATGATAATAGGCTTTTGTCTTGTTGTTACTAGATTCAATGAAATGATTTTCTTGATTTGTTGTTACTAGATTTAATGGAATGATTTTCTATCTGGTTATGGAATAGTGTTATGTTTTACGCCAATGGTGCTGATATGTAAAGATACTGGTTAGTTTCAATCTTTGTAAATGAATTATTTATTTCATATGCTGTCTTTATGTTTGAAGTTTTTATAATGTTTCACGTTTTTTCTTCCTTGCCAATATTGTACATTCCATATGTTATTAGGTGGATGTGAATATTAACTCAGCAGAGTACAAAGATACTTCTTCTAAGGGATATTGCTGGTAATAGCATTTATGCAAAGAGGTGAAATACACTTTAATGACTGGGAAGGATACTCTAAGATGATTACCACTATAGAACTTCCCAAGTTCCAGAAACTATAATGTTTATAGCCTGGTTACTCAGTAATATTTATATTCAAGTGTATGCGTCTCTTAATTCATGTTGGACCTTGCTTATGTTCACCAATTTCGTTATTGTAAATTACGGTTCGGTGCTGGTGGGTATAGGGATTCTGGCTGGAATTGTATATATTTGCAGTTTTATATATGTTGTACATCATCTCATGATGGTGGGTATGAATACTATAATTTCTTTATTTCAGCAGTATATGGAATTTTGTTAAGGAATGTCTTGATTCTTTCTCAGAATATCTCATGGCAAATGTTGGGGGCATCCATACCTTGCTTCAAAACTCATAAGCCATGATGGGTTAAGTTTGTCACCTCTTGCTGTTGACCAGCGGGCAACATCCATGGTTTATTCCCTAACGGAATCCTTAAGACCTGCTGTTGGTATGAATTTATGTTCAAAAATATTTTTGAATCTGGAGTTATCTATGAAAATGCTGGTATAGGTCACTGAATCTCTTTTTGCTGATAAATCAAAATAATCCAAAAGATGTCCTTCAGCTTTAGTATGTGAATTGATCTGTTGCTGTTGCTCTTGCAGAAAGATAGTTCTTTTTTTTTTTTTTTTGGAAAATACAAGTGAATTCAAGTTTTAATAGCCAGAAATTTCGGTATCTCTGGATTGTGCATATCCAATAATGGAACATTTTCAGTTGGATAATTAATAGATGGCTCTGAACCTACCTCTGCATCCTCTCTCTCTCTCTCTCTCTCTCTCTCTCTCTCTCTGTGCAAAGACTTCTCAGTTTTCATATTAAATGCTTGAGTAGACAAGAATATGTTACCATCTTTGAACCACACAAGATAATATTTGGCCTTCTGGGGATGCATTCTAGCTCTATCATTCTCCGTTTAAACAAGTTTGTGCATTCTGATTATTGATGATATTGGTAAGTTAAAATTTTTATTTACTTAAAATGATCAAATGGTGTTTTAACTTCATATTTGGTTGCTTGATTTTGTTAGATGGGTACTTCTAAGTCTCTTTGATGAACTACAAGTTTGAAAACCTTCCTGTCTATGAGAGTGTTTGTTGTAAAGAAAATTTTCTTGCACCATATAACACTATTTATTTTCTTTATCATGGATTCTGCATGACAAAAATCCATGCTGCAGTTAACATGTTCTTTTCCTCCTATCATGTACACTGAATGAAAATCCATGTTGTGGGTATTAGGCAAGATAGAAACCTGGTAAAGTCTATAGGAGGAGGGACAAGGACAGCAATGCAAATATTATAATATGGCAAGATTCTAAAGCCATTATCTACTTAAAGGGAATGTTGGCTGATAATCATTAAGGTGTTTGCTGTCACTTAATAAGGCCCTATCGATCATATTAGGACATCATGAAGATGCTGGCTGTCTTCTAATCTTGTCTATAGCATTTAATCATGACTAACCCTTTATCTACTTGCTGACATTTAATCATGACTACGGCAGGCTGCCCAAACTTTGACTGCCTTTATATTAGGGAGATTTTTGTGTGTTGTAGTGTTATGTAGAGAGAAATTAATTTTGAATGTTGAACGTGTGATTGCATTCCTAGGCAGTGATTCTATAATCCAAAGTTTGTTTTTTGAAGTTATTGTCTTTCTTGATTTTAGTTTTCATAATTCACCTAAATTCCCTTTTTTTCTTCCTAATTTTTTTTATTGTTTATGTTCATATGTCAATAAAGTTTTTAAGCCTTACATATCCTATTGTTATTGTTTGAACCTAAATTTTAAGTCCTAAATCAGCTTCTATCTTGTCTAAATATGCTGTTTATAAGATCCTACATCAGGGATGCTTGGGGAGACTTGTATGGGTTGATGTTTGATGAGAAGATTGTTGTATATTCAGATTTTGGATCCGTATTCATTGTTGTTGCATGCAGCATGGATTGAAAGAGTTGCTTCAGTCATACCCTTTGGTACTGGGTAGGTTCCATTCAATTGGTAAGTCTTGTTTGCTACTTACATGTGTTATGCGACCTTTGGCATTTTCTTTGAGACTGGGAGAGGGGGTTGGGTGTGGTTTAGGGATTTACATCATTTTACTTTGGGGAAATTGTGCTTCTGTATATTATATGTTACTTAAGTTGTGAAAAAACCTGATGCAATACTTGATATAGATCATAGTTTTTCTAGTGAAGAGTATGGTCAGAAATGTCAAATTTTTATTTATTCTCAAAGTTTTCTACAAACTGATTTATTGAACACCAATCAGTGTTATATGTCTTATGAATATGGTCTAAATGTTTACTCTAGACATGGGTTATCTTAAGCTCCTAATAAACTGTTTCAATTGCATTTTGTTGTTTAAATATAATTCTGCTGGTTAAAATAGAACATTCTGTTGTGCTCCGTTCTGCCTTTTCTGATATTTAGCAGCACAAGGACCAGGAGCATACTTCCTTCTGACTAAAGCTGGAATCGCGGAGGCTTGAGCATATTGATGTTACCAATATCATCTAATTGTAAATTAAAGATGTGGTAACTTACTTTTGCTATGGGATGTTGGAGATTGTAATTCTATAATTACTAGTATCATTGGATCTTGAATCTTGATCGAAAAAATTTATGTCTTTGGAAATTTTTTTAATAGAATGATTTTCTACTTTTTTTTTTTTTTTTGGTAATGACTGAATCTGTCTTGTTGAATCTTCTTGATCTGATTTGTGTCGAGTTTGACTGTCTAAGTCAAGACTATTAAAAGTTGAACTGTAAAACGAATTTACAAAATGGGGAATTTCTCTTTTGATTTAGGTATAAGAAAAAAACAGGGAAACTAAAGTTGCACTGTAGATAAACCTGTATAAAATGGAGTAAGAGGCAATTTTTAAATTAAACTAGTTTACTTTATTGAAAAAAATTGGCTCTTACCATTTAATTTCATTTAATGAAAATAGATATTTGCTTTTGTTACATCGGTTCCTAAAGTATAGAACGATATAACCCCCTAAATGGATTAATCAAGCACGTTAGTTTGTTGCATAAGCAATGCAAATCATTTTTAAATATTTTACAGATGATGTAATTTTCGGACACTAAGCAGCTTCACATCATCCAACACCGGTCCACAAAGAGAACCCGTGTTATCACTTTTCGTGGTGTAAAATGTGCTATAGAACATAACCCTAGTTCGAGTCGACTCTGCCTTGAATGGAAGTGTAGCTCGCTTGAATCCTCCTTTCCCCTTGGAGACATATGGGACCTTGACGGTGTTCTTGCCTGCAAATGCTTCTACCACCATGGAACCTTCACATGCATTGTTAGCATCACCTACAGCAAATGAGAGGACATAGCTTCTACCAGTTGTGGTCTTAACGATTTGTGAAAGTGCACTTTCTTTTCCGGCTATGAGTTCAATGGCTCGTTCGCCCTCTGGAACTGAGAAATGTTCACTGTCAATGTACTTAACGGCTTTGAGGGAGTCAATTATCCAGCCTGGTAAAGGACTGTGATCATCTTCAATGTGGGGTGGAATTATTACTCCTTCTGAAGTTGGTTCTTTGAAGACATAAGGGCCTTCTTCAAAATTTCCATTCTTTAGTAGATTGACTGCAAATGTTGAATCGAACAAGTTAGTTATGCAGATATCAAACATTATGAATTGATCGTGTTTATTTTATTTATATGTCGACATTACCTCCGGTGCGTTTAGGAGGGTTCAAGGTCTTCAATGTGACAGAATCAATAAGAGGACCGCAAGCTGCATCCTCCTCCACACCTGGATTATGTATTGAAATGTCAATTACAGGCTCACTTGCCAAGAAAGCCCATGCATATGAATCCCATCCATTGCTGCTATACATTGTTTGAATTGGAAATAAACCATAGTCGTTTTTCTTGTAGTTCGGTGAAACTGACACGTTCAGTTTTTCCTCTTGAGCACATGTGCGAGCTGCGCTGAAGGTTAGAGAGTAAGACAAGCCCTTAATCACCTCAATCTTCTGCTTAATCTGGGCCTCATTGCCTAACCTAACTGCAAAGGCTCCCTCGGGTACAATTAGCAGCATGTCACCTTGCTTTTGACCTGACTTGATGTACTCAACATAGCCTGAAATTTCCCAGTTGGGTATTGCCTTGGGGCTCATCACTTTTGTTCCGTTCAATTCTGATGGCTTTGGCCCAGACTCGAAGTTTCCATTTGGCAATAAACCTGAAAATTTTTAATCACCAAATTTAGATCCATCAGCAATTTCATATTCAAAGATCTATTGTCATCACATGTTCTGTACAAAGACCATGTGAGAAAGAAGAATGGGTGACATTTTAGTCATCTTTGGACCCACAAACATGGCTTAAATTACTTATATAGTACAAAACTGACATGTTAAATTTGATCGATCCTTCAGCGGCCATTGAATGACAGACAACTTATTTATAGCAAATATTATTCTATTGCTGCAAGGACATGCTCCCTCTAGGCTTCATTTACTTCAAGGCGGTCCTGATGAGTATAGATCCAGACCGTCAAAGAATCTACAAGGGACTTTAACCCTTATCTAAGAGGCAGTTTCCTTATAAAAACCAATCCTGACTGTTTGATTAATGCAGCATCTTAAGGTTGAGATTCTCCTTCAAAAGGAAAAGTTTTCTGATCGATATTTTGCCTATAATATTCATTGCAGTTCATGAATTCAACAACCATGCACATGCACATCAATGCAGGTTTTTCACTTGTCCTGGACCGTAGCTGTATAAAATGACAATATTTTATAGGAATTAGAATGAGAAGGAAATTGTACTGAGTTAGATAGTAAAGTAGAAACTGGGACATTGGAGTGGCATTGTGGTCATTTAGTAAGGCTTGATGTCTGCCAATGCATGCCTTGTTAAGTTGCTGTGGAAATTGTGCAAACCGATCTGGGTTTCACGTGGCCGAAGGCTGCATGTATAACATGTAAATTATTATGCCTTTCTATGACAGCGAATCTTTTATTATATTCACCTGAATATTTCAGTGGGCAGCACCTTTCGATTAATAACTCAATGCCAGCTAAATATGAGACAGCCAAACGTAAAAGTTAGATTTATGTCAAGGAGGAGCCAACTGGCTGGCTAGCTAAACCTAAAAGCTTTGTTTATAGTTGTATCTAAGTTTGCCTTTTAAGATTAAATCTCTAATTGCCGTTCAAATGAAACCTAAATCAGATAAATAACAGACAATCACAACTTAAATCACACTATTCATGCTTACATTGTCACTATCAACCAATAATAAAACAAAATAATTGCTTTAAAGACACTTATTAAGATTATTATTTAAAGAAAATTTTTTATTTAATTTATTAAAAATTATCATATTATTTGTAATAAAAGAATTACTATCACATTACTAAGTAATTAATACTATTATTATAATTAATATAAAAACTAATTCCCCCGACACTCGAAAGGAAATCTAGAAGCGCCACAACATATTAAAACCCTATTCCTCGATGAAAACAAATACTACTAGAATTATAGAACTATATACGGAATGATCCATGTGGTTTCATAATGTCTCGCCAACTTTCCTGAGTGTCAATTAATAGAGTAGCTCTGAAATTGGAAGCTTAGGGCGGGAAATAGGAGAAAAGGTTGGAACTGACTAGACCTACACGCATTTACGGTTTCTTTCCTAGAAGCTAAATTTATTGCTCTCGGAACAAGTAGATGAACCTAATTACTTCGACGGTGAAATTTTTAATTTTTGTACGTAAAGTTAATATATATATTTAAAATATAAAAATTAGTTAAAAATAATATATATTGTCAGTTATTTAAGTTTATTTGTAAAATTTAAAAATTATAATAACAATAAATATTAAAAAAAAAAAAAACTCATTCTCAAGTATTAAGTATCAAATCCAACTTTATAGAACTCCATATTTTAATAAAGGCGAATAAATCATTTGGATTAAACACAAGTTCATTAAAGGCTTTTTCTTCTTCTTCTTCAACTCCTATAGCATTAATATACCATAGACCGGAAAAGAAATATTTAATTTACGAAATGTTATTGCTAAAGAGTGATACCAACTTAAAGACTGAAATTATTTCATGCTTTGTACACATATATAAAATTTAATTCTTTGTTTTCAATTACCATATGTATTTTTTTAGGTTACAAAATACAAACATTCATTCATTTACTATGTGAGTTCAATTGCACTTAAAGAACTAAAACCCTAACTTTCTAAGTGGAGAAAAGGACATAGTTTACTCAATAAATGGCGAGCAGAGACATCCATGGAGATTGGAGAAGCAAGCTTTGGAATCAAAATCTTGTAAACAGATGGTTCCAATATGTGAGTAGTGATAATAAGATATAAACCTTTTTTTTTCTTTTATTAATGCAAACTACAACCAAAGCAGAAGAAGGTACTACAAGTAAGCTGAAAGCATAGATTTTTTAGAGCTTACCATCTTTGATAGACGAGGCTAATTGAGAAGTGGCGCAAAGTAGCAATAAGAACACTGCGATCCTCTGCATTGTATTAATTTGTAAAGGAAACAGAGATGGAAGGAAGGAGATTAAGAGGGAATTTGGATGGAAATCACTCAGTGGCAGTGTGGGCTTTTATGTGCTTAGCTCTAAAAGAAAGCCATTAGTTTTTACTAAAATCACATGAATGCCACTGGAAGAATCCCATGCACATTATATTCGAGTTATCTATGAATTCCTTTATTACTAATTGATTTTAAGTTGAATGTTCTTATCCGACTTTATAACTTTCATTTTCACCTTCTAATAATACTTCAAGTTGCAAGAGTAGTGTTTACTAAGAAATACATACTATATAGTTTGTTTTTATATGTAGCATATGATTTGTTTGTATAACATATAGTTCCATAATTTGAGGGGTCCTAATTGCTTGTTTGAATAGAAATATTAATTGCTTGGGGGTTTTTTTTTTTTATAATGAAACGTAATTTAGATGCATGAGTGTGCAAAATGATTCCAGATTTGGTGTTCTTATTGATATGGTGGACGTTGAGGACAAGATATTCAAAACCACATGGATTTACGGAAAACTGTTGCCTTGTCGGTTAAGGGCTAACTAATATAATTTTAAAACAAAAGAACAAATATAATATAGCCAAAAAAATGATAAAAATGCTTTTGAGAAAGGCACATGGCTGAAGGAAGAGTTAGCCCTTGAGTTGATTTAAATTTGGTTGTCGAGCCAATTAATTTGTGAGCTAAAAAAAAGGGCAAAATTCAGATCTTAACCCTAAGCAAACCATGTGCAATTGCAAGTGAGAATTTTGATTGAGTTTGCCTTCATTCGATTAGTTTAATAGTTTTTCTTTTGCTTCTATTCCCCGTTGGTCGCCAATAATTCTACAGTTTATTTTTGTTGACACGTGCATGAAGAGTGCGGGAATGGGGCTAAGAGATAAGTTACATTTTTATTACTTGATAAAAACAAAAACCTTAATGATAACAAGCATCTTCGACAAAAACCCTTTTTATTACTTGATGAAATCAATATTTGGTGCTAATTAAAGGGTTTAATTAATTAAAGTGCGACCATACCAAGACTAATATATCAGTTCTTATTAGAATTCCTTGAGAGGTAAGTTTTGTTTAGACATCACTCTTCATTTGCTGGGTATAATCTTGGTCCCAATCCCTTAGTTGCTTTGTTTCTTGTCATAAATATGTTCTTATATTATTCACATTTTCTGGATTGATCATCCTCATGCAGTTCAATATTTTAATCTGATCAAGTTTGCTTGACGCAAGCGATTGATAAAGGGTCCTCTGACAAATTTTGGCTCAGCTCAATTCGGCAGGGATATATAGTTTGCATTTTCCTCTCTGACGAAGGTCAGGGATTAGATCTGAAGAAAATAACTAAAATTCCAGAAGTGGAATATATGTGGTCTAACAACGGTGATACAGCATATGATATTGTGAATTATATAAAAAGCAAGGGCAAAAACTTTGGCATGTAGCTAATTGATCCTTATACATAGGAATCAACGGTGAAAGTATGCACAATCTTGTGATTTTAACTGATCAGTTGTTTGGATGATTAATGGATAGTTAATCTTTTATTATTAATAAGAATCAAACTAAATCAAGTTTATTGAATTGGCCAACTCTAAAAATAGGTTGAACGGCTCATCTCTTTTGCTATTTCTCGCTCTATTTTTCATGCGGGTAGCTAGGAATAGAAAGAAGAATATACTTGTTCTGCCCATTAACACAGTCCAAATGTTGATTAATTTTTAAATTAGTTAACATATCATTAAAATGAAGTTTCGGATTTTAAAAAATTCATGTAATATTATTTTCAGACAGATGAAAATATTTTGATTTCTTGTTTTTTTTTTCATTTTAATAATTTTGATTCTAAATCTAAATCCGCCGGTTTTGGTTTCAATTTCAAGGTTTTCTGTTTTGGGCTGTATTATTTTCCATAAAAGTCAGGAATAAATTTTTTTTTTTTTACCCCAAATCCACTAACCATAGATTGCACATGATATTTATGTGCAGATTTTAAAAAATTACTCAAAATTTTTATCTTTCAAACGTGGCCTACACATGATATAATTATATTGGCTAATTAATGCCATGTAAGTGTAACAAGCTGGTTAACAATCTAGAAATTAACCAATGACATCTTGTTTCAATGGCAAGAAAAAAATCTTTAAATTTTGAAATTTCATATTCAAATCCCAATAAATATGATTTCGTTTAATTAAATACTGATTTGATTTATTCATTGGATGATACTGTTAAATATTGCTTTATTATGATTTCCACTAATACATATAATTCATTAAAAAATTTTAAATTTTAGCCTAAAAAGTGGTATCCGTTTGAATTGCCGGCGACTTGAATGTTCATGAAACAAATTGCATAATTCTAAGTAGTCCATTTTGCTATAATTCGGATGATATACGTGTAATAACCTCTTTTAAGAATTAGAGGAAAACAAAACGATAAACTAAATACAATTGTGTTAAAATTAAAAACCAATCATCAATACACGTATAATTGTTAAAATTTTGTACGTTAATTATACGTTTAGTAGTTTAATTATAACCCACTATTTATATTAAAATTTAAAAATTCCTAATTAGATCAAAACATAAAGTTTGAATACCTAATTGTTAATTTTTAAATTTTAGATATCATATAGGAATTTGACTATGTCTTGAATATCACATGAAAAATCATGCATATTATTCATGCAATTAAAAAATTTTTTATTTTAATCATTTTAAGATATTATTTATTTTTATATAAAAAGTACTACTGCTTATTAACATTCCTTTAAAAAAAGGAAAAGGGAAAAGAATTTATCTAATTTTTTTAGTTCACTCTAAAAACTTGGTATTCTATTTCTAATTCTAATGATCTCATAAATATAATCACAATGCTGACGTGGAATGATCTAAGTAGATCCTGATTATCATAAAAAAGTCCAGCCCTCCACGTCATCAAAGAGGACGAGGGTTGGGGGTCCCCAGCATAGACGATGGAAGAAGTTCACAAACACGTGAAATCAGAAGAACAAAGCTAAAAAAAGGTGAATGCATCACACCGATCATTAATGATCCAACGGTCTAAAATCAATATTACAAAGCAGAATCAACTGTCTGTCTTCAAACCTGACACAAACGTTACCCAGAATTCCGACGAACTTAAAAAACAACGTAGGATTTTACATAGGTTTCCATTTCGACAATTTATTTTTATCCTTACCCGATAATTATTAGGCTTCAATCACTTCTCGGGCCAAACCGAGATATCGGACGCCAGACGAGAGGCGATCGCTGAGTGGTACATGATATCGTGAAACGACGAATTCTCCATCGTCTTCCTTCGAAGTTGCTTCGCTTTCTCCTCGGTGAAGCATCCGAGCGAGTATCTGGATCTGGATCGACCCGGATCTGACTCTGAATCGGAAACGCCCGTCTTTCTCTCCGACGTGTTGTGGACATTGCCATCGTTAAGGTAATCGGGGTTGGAAGACCACCCGAAGAGAGGGGTCCACCAGGAGGAGGAGGAAGCGGGTTTTCTACGACTTGGGTCGGGCTTTTTAAGTGATTCGGACGAGGCACGGATTGGAGTTGAGAGAGAGCATGCGAGAGCCATCGCCATGAAAAACAGACAATTTTTCAAAGATGAAAGTGTTGGTAAGTGAACAGAAAAAATTTTCCACTTTTGTTTTTGGTATGGAGATTAGGGAGAGTTATCCTCTACCGTTTACAACGTTCGGCTCTTTGGGACATTTTACAATGTGAGGGTATTTTGGGGACATCATTTAATGTTAGGCCATTAACGAGGTAGGTTACAGAGATTTTACCATAGGGACCGATGTAGGAGATTAGGTAAGATTGGTAAAGTTCAGGGAACTGGATAAGAGAGGACGTGGAGGGCATGCGAGAGTGTGCTGGAGGTACTTTTTCTTTTTTTTTTTTTTTAATTTATTTAGTGTTTTTTTGGTTTTGAGGATAATGATAATGAGAATTTTGGATGTATTTGTGCACTTTTTTAAGGCAAGTTGTCACAGAAAAGTGCAAGTGGGGACTTGACGGAATCGTCAAGGAAGGGATATTTTTGCCCTCCTAATTTTTTTATTAATTTATAATTTTAAAAAAATATTTCCTATCATTTATGAATTAACATTTATTTTTAATTTGATAAAGTTTAGAAAATGGTACTTATTTTGGTAAATCTTTTATAGTTAAAACAATTGCTTACACAATTCTATATTTAGTTCAAATTTAACATACTTTTTTAAGAAAAATAGGGGTTTATTTAACTGCAAATTTCTTTCTATTAATTGGAAATTCATTTTACTCAATTAATTTGCATATATAGAAACATAGATTTCTAGAAAAGAAAAAGATATATTTTTTCCTTCTATATAATAATAAGATTTTTTATATAAGAAGTCCATGTCCTTGATTATAATAGTTTTAACACCATTAATAGTTTTTAATTATAATAATTTAGTTCAAATGATTTACTAAATTGGTTGATTTATGGTGAAATGACATTTATGTTTTCTGGTTTTCATGGAAATAAATTTGCATTTTACATATATTTGGAAGGGAATATATGTTTCTAATTGTGATTTTAAACCAGCATGACCTATCCCCAACTCAACCCTATTGACTCCTGCACATGTATTAAGTTGCTGTCATATCCTTCTTCATGATCTCCTCCACAATACTACATCAGCCATCTTACAGTAATGATTGTGGCATTTTTCTTCAGGCCTATCTACTGTTTTCAACTCTTCTGTCATCTTATTCTTTCTGATGATCATCTGGATAAACCTATAAAACACAATTCTAAAATTCAAATAATAATTTAATAACGGAATAACGATCATAAAATTATGATAACGTCACTCCATTATTGTTATTACAGAAAATGTGATTGAAAAATTTATTTACAATCAAAACAATATGTAACAATCGTAAAATAATGACGTAACGAAAAATAACGATAATAACGAATTGTTATTATCGTTATTCTCGTTTTTCTACTCATGGATCAATAGTTTAAGAAAAAAATAAAATTTCAACATTGCTAGAATAAATCAATAAGCCTGCAAAAATAAAAGTAAAAGCAAAAGCAAAAAATAAAACTCAAAATCTCAGGTTTTTAGTTTCAAAATCAATCTAAAAATAAGTTAGAAAACAAATAAATTATTTATCAACCATTCAATTGACACTTCAACAACAACCCTAGCTTAATCCGTAAATTATCCAAATTTAAATCAATCTCAACTTCTCAATCAACATTCAAGATCAAATAAGATAAGAACAGAAAGTTAAATTACCTTTTTTTTTGTAAAATTTTTGTAAAATGATGTCTAGTTTTGTGAGAGTTTGAGAGAGACGTACGATGTATTCTGTAAGCACTAGGCAAGTGATAGTGATGAAAGGATGCGAGAAAAAATGAGAGATAAAAAAAAGAAAGAGAGAGATTAGAAGAAGATTCTTAAGAGCCAAGCTCCAGAAGCATGAAGAAGACGAACAGAAGAGAACGAGCTGGGTGCCTGGGTCTGCCGGGATTAGACAAAATTGGGGGATATTGGGGTACGTGGTTGGATGAGGGATTGGGTGGGGTAGGATGGGATGGAGTGGGGGGTGGGGCCGTTGAGGGGGTAGAGTGATGAATTTTTTATTTAATTTTGTAATTAATTTTTTAAATTTTTTTAGATAAAATTTTATTAGAAGTTTTAAAAATTTATAATTAAAAAAATAAGGGATTAATAATTTAATATAATATATACATATAGAGATTTTAAATGAAAAATTTTGATAAATTTTTTTTTGTATAAGTTAGATGAAAAATTTTGGAACACCTGTGTCAAATATAAGAAGAAATGTTTCATGCAAACTTTGTGGTAAAGTTATAAAAAGATGAATAACATGTTTCAATGAACACATTGCTCATAAAATCGATAATGTTGCATCATGTCCCAACGTTTGGTATGTTATGTTTTTATCATGTCTTTGAAAATATTATTGTTAATTTCTTAATAAAAACTATAAAATTATATAAGCATATGCAACTATTTTTTTTCCTTTTTTTTAACTATAATATTAATAGGTATAGTAAAAGAAAATATGATGAAACTCATTCAAGAAAGTAAATAAAAAATAAACAAACAATAAAAGGAGAAAAAATGAATTTTTATCACAGTTAAGAAGGAAATATGATTATGAAAGATTTATTGATAAAGACATTGCTACTAGACAAGCCGTGTAAGATAATATCTAATCACAACATGAGTGGCATAGAAGACAAGAATTCAAACAAAGAACTAGCGGTTGGAGTAACATATATGAAGAGGGACGAAACTCTCATGGCTCAATTGCTAAATATTTTAAAGAAAAAACAAGGAAATCAATTCCAAATGAGTCTGAATTTTCATTAAAGGGAGCTATACTTGAATTGGTTAGAAGTAAGAGTTCAAGGCAACCAAAAGTAAGTGATTCATTTTTAAAGACATTAAAAAAAAGATGGGTGAATCAGTATCAAAATTTTTGATATATGATTGACTTCATTTTCAGTTAGCAAATTCTCTATGGTTGTATAATTTGATTTTTGTGACAGTAAAAGTTAACCAACATGTAAAACTTTCAATACCTTATGAGGTCTTAGATGTGTATTTAGAGTCTGAGTATTAACAAGTTCATGAATGGGTTAATGGATTAAAAGCTCATTCAAATGAATTGGGCATCACTTTGATGTGTGATAGTTGGACCAATAGTTTGAATCAAATGCATATCATTAATTTTCTTGTTTACTATAGTAAATGGACTATTTTTTAAAAATCTGTAGATGTTTCAAGTGTTCGTAGTAGAGATGTAAACTTTTATTACCGATTATTAGATGAAGTTGTGGAAGAAATTGAGAAAAAATACATTGTTTAAATAGTCACTGATAATGAGGCAGCATTTAAAGCTGTAGGAAAAAGATTGATGGAGAAGAGAAAACATTTGTATTGGATAGCATATTCAGCTTATTGTTTGGACTTGTGCCTTGAAGATATTGGTAAGAAAAAAAATATAGCAAAAGTTTTGGATGATGTAAAGAAAGTGACTTGTTTTATATACAATCACATTTGAACTGTTAATTTGATGAAGAAATATACACAAGATAAGCAAATACTTCATCATGCTCTTACCTGATTTGCCACTTATTTCACACAATTAAAAGAAATAACGAGGCAAAAGTAAGGTTTAAGAGAGATGTTTAATTCAAATGTTAGTACTTAGTAATTAGTATAACTATTTAAATTTAGCATCTTTTTATGATATCATTGTTTAAAATATTAATTTAAAATATATTACTTTAAAAATTTATTGATGAATATTTACAAATTTAAAGAATCAAAATGGGGACAATAAAAATCAAGACTTGCTTATGAAGTCAAAAAAATCATTTTGAAAAATTTTTTTGAAAAAAAATAAACGATATAATAAAAGTTTATGAGCTTTTGGTAAAAGTGTTGCGCTTTGTGGATGATGATAAAAAACCAACAATGGACTTTATTTACGAGACTGTGGATAGAGTTGAATAAGTAATTCAGCAAAATTATTATTATTTAGCTGAATATAAAAGATTATTGACAATAGATGAAGTTTCATGCACTTTGAATTGCATTTAGCTGGTAAGTAAACCAATAATATAGATAGTATTTAAAAAATATTTATTTTTTATACTTAAATTACTTATATATTTATTTTTTTATTACTTTAATATAATATTGTTATGAATTATGTTTAGGTTACTATCTAAATCCACAATTTTAATTTGGAGTGAAACATTCTGCAAATGTATTTAAAGAAATATTAGAAGGCATAAAAACAGTTATTGAAATATTAAAACCTTTGATAGATACTTAAATAAAAATGATTAATTAGGTTAGTATTTAATACTATTTTATAACTTTATCATTTATTTTATGTATTAAAAATTGAATTATTTTTTATTTATTCATTTATTATTGTATTTTCAATCGATGTAGTTGTTTTTATTTCGAGACAAATATGAAACATTTGTTTCTCCATAGGCACAAAGAGCTTGGAAGCAAATGAATCCAGGTAAATAGTAAATTAAATAATTATAATTTATTTATATTATTTACTTGTATAACACATTCAAATTTAATTTAAATAATTTTACACAGTTGAATGGTGGATGATCAATGGCACTTGTATTCTTGAATTACAAAAACTAGCAATCAAAATGCTTAGTCAAACAACATCTGCATCAAATTGTGAACGTAATTGGAGCACATTTAGCTATATTTACACCAAAGCAAGAAACAAATTGAAGTTTGAAAGACTTAAGAAATGTATATACCTATTACAACATAAGGCTGAGAATGAGACATCAGAAAAGAATGAGCATTAATGAGATAAATAATAGTTTTAATCCTATTAGCCTTGACCATATTTTTGAAGATGATGATTCACTAACAGAATGATTGCAAGAGAAAGAAAATCTTTTGTTAGATGGTCAAAACTTTGATTGGTTGCCCACAGATAATTTTGATAATGAAATGAATGTTGAACAATCATGCCAATCTCAACAAAGGAATGTGACTCATTCAAGTTCAAGTCCAACATCAAGTCAGAGTGATGATGGTGGGTGTTTTAAGTCCAGATGATAATGATGATGATGGTGATGGTGTGAATTTTGGTGATAATATGGATGCAAATAGACCTTACAGCTTACTTGAAAGAGAATTTGGGCTTGCTGCTACTGGTGAATTTTTCATTAATATGATAGAATAAGGAGTAAGTCCATTTGCTAAATCTAGTGAGGGTCAAAGTGTATATACAGCTCAATCAAAAGGAAAAGCCAAGAAGCACCACTATGATATTTCTAGAAGTTTTTCATCTTCAGGTGGGAGACCAAATTCTAGTAATTTTAAGTATAGTGAATTATCTGCTAGTACTTAAGGACGTTACTATCCACCGAAACAACTTAATTTTCAATCTCCTTATAGTTATCCACATCCATATGATTATTATTCACCTCAAATGTATCTTCCATCTCAAATGTATCATTTACCACAAATGGATTCTCCACCACAAATGTATCATCATCAAATATATCATCCACCTCAAATGTATCAAGAACAAAAGCTACAGAGATAGAGATGGAGTCAACTTGACTTTTAAAGTAAAACTAGAGAATTTGATTCTCCTTGTTATTCTACCATATGATAAAATTTGAAATATATATCAATAATCGTAGTTGATAGAATTTGAAATTATTATATTTTTAAGTTTATAATTTTATTAAATATAGATGCTTGGTATTTAACATATTATGTTTTGTTAATATTTGATTTGTTTAGAATTAATATTGAATATGAACTTGGTCAAGAAAAATTTTGTGGATAAACCAAATATGAATGCTTTATTTAATCTAAATAAAATTGTGAATAATTTTTTTAGAAAATAAAAAATATAGTGTCATAAACAATTTTTTAAATCATTGAATAAGAGTTTTTATAATTATAATTATAATTATTACATTTTATAATAAATTATGCAAAAAAAAATTCATGACCGCGATGACTGCAGTAACTGCAATGATCTCTGTTATATCCGAAAACGTAATTAACGTGACACGATCGAAAATGTGACCACGACCATTATTTAAATCCCTGTCACAAATATTAGAAAGATAATTATCAACCATATTATATAAATTCATAGAAAGATCATGCATGATAAGAATTCATTAAAGAGAACCAATTAACATCCTAACTGACCCTTCCTGTCCTCACTGAAGCTAACAGTTCTGACCTTCAACTCCCCTCTACTGGTTGTCAACTCATCTAATAACTCAGCATCAAACATTTCAACTCCATCCTCCTCGTTCCCAGGACAAGGTGTCTCATTTTCCTGAAGAAAAAATATATTTTAGCTGCTTAGCACAAACATTTCTATTAGTATAGTAACAGAATGCCAAATAGGAATACCCTGAAAGAGTGGCTGAGGGATAATCTTGGAAGGGCACCAGTAATTTCCTCATATTCAGCTGCATCAAGTTCCTGCAGATAATTTGGTTGAATGAGCTTCGGGAGAATGTACTGTCTTATGCTGATGAGAAGGAAGAAGGGCAAAGGGAACAAGATTCCAGCAATAGGAATCCAAGTCACTCCAAAGCACAGCAGGAGATATATGAATTGGAAGAGTGTAAACAACAAAATATATCTGTATGGTACTGATTCCACAAAAGAAGCATGAACTCCTTCCAAGACCCTGCCAATTGTGATTATAAAGCACCGCAGGAATTAGCAAAAATAATTGGAAAATAAAATAGAAATATATTGTCATAGCGAATTAGCACTACTGCGTCTTTTACTATGTTAAATGGCCTAGTAATGTGTTTATTTTGAACAATCAAGGTATTTGAAGCAAGAACATAACCACCAAATGAATCCATTCTGCTTACAACTTGGCAGTTTCTGTTTTTCTTGCAAATTTAAAATGCTGAAAATTAGAGAATCAAACTATCTTGTTTTCAAAAATTTTTAATGTGCACAGTTACCAAAAAGGGATAAGTCACAAACTTGTATCGCCTGCCAGGTGTAACGAAGAGAAGTAGCATCCTTTCCCAGAACTGGTTTCCAGGTAGACTATCAATGGCCATGTAAGCAAAATATCCCCAAAGAACTGATGTAGGTATCAACTTGATTGCAGGCATAGCGCATATTGATATAGCAACTAGGAGTGACTGCAAAAGATTACTCACTCTCTGCTCATTGACTCGGACAGGCAAGTAGGCATCAATATGCTTTTCAGGATCAAATGTTTCCTTCTTATTTTCTCCTTTGTTTTCACCTTTCATAACAACCTTCTTCAAGTCTTCCAGCTCTTTAACTACTGTAGTCTGTAACAGGAACAGTTAAGGCCTTAAGGAATAGAGAATATGTCGGCATTATATCAGATTTATCAGTATATATTCTGCAAATCTATGTAATGTATCTCCAAAATCATAGCAATGTACTTAAAACTTGTGGTTTATTTAATCTCTTCTTTGTGCTTTGACATGGAATAACAAAGAACAAGAAAATGGACTTAGAAATAATTTAGGGATTGCAAATCATTTTTTCTGAATATCAAGTCAATATCTTGTAAATTCAAAAGAAATTATTCAGGGAATATGGACCTGCTGTACGGGGTTGAAGCAAAACTTCCATATTTTGAAATCAATTGTGGACTCATTAGCAGTGGTTTCAGGCCAAAGCATCACCTTTTGGGAGAATTAGTTAGTGATCAGATAACTTACTTCTGAACTGCTGTCCATTTCTATGAAGACTGCTTGCATCTTGCCATATATTTCAGAGTTGCTAGCTTTCCGCTTTATGCTTTCTTTTGCACTCTCCACCATCTTACGTCTGATTAGCTGCATATCATACATCAGTTGAAGTTAAGCATGTAATCAGGTAAATGATATCTAATTGAAAACTTCTTTTTAGAATATATTTACCCACCTCCCCTTTGAGAACTGCAAGGCTCTTGGTGTGCATAGGAGACTGTGGTAGGACTCCATTTGAAGGGGGAAGGCCAATTAATCCACAAAGCAAAGTCTGCAAGCATGTTTTGATGGTACACCATAAGTCTATGATAAGATAGTGCATAATTTGGGTGGCAGTATTGTCTGACCATGGGCTTTACCATGAATCCCAGCAGCAAGATGTCGTAATGATATGCAGAAGGATTCTTAAGATTGAACTCCTTTTGTTGTGCCATCTGTGAAGCAACACTGTGGTCGAAAAAGTAAAGTCCTGCAACCATCACAGCTGGAATAAAGGCAGCAAAGATGTAAAATGGAGGGATCTTTCCCATATCCTGCATTTTGATTATTTAAAACACTGTCAACTTTGAAGCCATTTTTGCACAACAGTAATTAATCTCAAATAGCCTTGAACTGATGAGATCAATTGACATATCTTATTATCATTTTCTCTAAAATATAAATTACTAACTCAATTTGTTCAAAGATCGATTATTAGCTCCGGCCAAAAATGTGCCTTACAAACACTTATTTTGCATAGTCAATATCTAAAACTTATTTGTTAGCCACCACATTTTTTGATGAATGTTACCCTGTTTATTTGTTTGTTTTTGAAGGACAGATACAAAGGCAGACAACTATGTCATAATTCAAGGGACAAAATGAAATACGGAAGCAATAATGACTTTTGTGTAAGACTTGATTTTTTTAATGGAAATCTAAGACATATACAATTACAGAATATGGTTACCTTGATTACAGTCCAATGTTTTAATGATGCAGATTCCCAAGGAAGAGGACTAAAGAGCCTTCTGGGAACTCCAGATGGAACTTTGCTTGGTACACTGAAAGACAGCGCTGTCCACACAACAACCATTAAAGGAACACCATAATCGGCAATGAAACTTCTCAACCATCCTGTAGACCATTAGTAACATCTTTCAAAACCCATATATCAGCTTCTTTCTTATACTAATTGCCAATAGTCAAATACCATAAATTTGCTTGACAAACCTGTGCCATACCACCATGACCTGGCCCTTCTGCTTTTCAAGGCAGTATAGAGAAGGCCAAATGTGAATATGATTCCAAGTAATCCATTTGTGTAAAGCCATTGAAATTGATACTTTTCTAATGTTGGATCTTGAGCTTTGGGAATTTCAAACTCACTCACAACTCCCTGCAATTGTATCATCAGCGAGGTGTTAAACATTGTAGAGTAGAAATTGCTGTGCCATAAACTAGCAGTTGATTTATTTTCTTGATCATACTTTACCTTGATGGCCTCTTGAATAAACAGAATAGTAATCAACATGCCAAAAAGTTCGCCCGCTATCCTTGTGAACCTATTAATTATTGTGCAAGCATTGAACATTGCAAGGAGAAACAAGAAGAGAGCAGTCCAAACACAAACCCTGTAAAAATTAAAAATTAAAAAGATCAATAAATTCCCAAACTTCTGCAAAATTATCACTTGAAACCATAACAATGGAAAATGCTCTTACCATCCAGCCCAAGCCAAGTAAAGTTCCTTCCCCAAGTCTTTTCTTCCCTTGGCAAAGTTGTACAAATATGTGTACATTATAACTGTTGGCTCGGCAACTCCCAGAACCAAAAGAGGTTGACCACCAAATAATGAGTGTATAATGCCGCAAAGGGCAGTAGATGCCAAGGTTTCTACCATGCTTAGATTCCCATCTACATCCAAAAATATGTTAAACATTAGTTTCAACTTCGTCATTGGATGCTTTAAAACTGTAAGTAATAGAAAAAGAAATACTAGCTGCAAACTGCTTAATGTAACAGTGACAAACCAGTATCTCTACTCAGTTGCTCGCCGAAGGCGATAACAGGTAGAGCAGAAGCAAAGAAGATGTAGGTAGTTGGGGCCAATATACTGTAATAAGAGAGTAAATATTGAACCAAAACAACAAAACATAAGTATATCATGATTTGCTTCAGTTTTGATTCTATCTAATGTATCCAACAATTAATGAAAATCAAAAGGTACCCCAGTCCCGAACGAAGAACACAAATCCAATCTTGTTTGTAGCAAGCTGCTCTTCCTTGCACATCATTTGCAATACCCTTCAAAGGGGCTTTGAAGTTTTCCATTTCTGGTGCAAGAAACATGCAACACTAATAACCAAGATAAGTTTGGAAACTAAAACAGAATGTGAAGCAGGTTGATGTTCTTTTCTCAAATTCAAGAATCAGAATTTAGTGCAATCTAATTAAGTTAAACAAATAGACAGCAGATAAGATGCAAATCGTCTCTTCATAGAAAGAAAGAGATAGAGAATTGAATAAAAAAGCAGAGCAGCTCTGTTATAAACCTGTATACAAAGGATGTCAAAGAGAGAAGGACTAAAGAGAATTTGGAAGAGTGTCAATATTTTCATCAAAGAACTCGACTACTAGCCTGGAACTAAAGCAATTTCAAGAAATTTAACATAACAAAAAGGAACTATCATCAAATGGTTCTGTTCTTTTTTTTTTCAATAAAATCTTTTTGCGAGAGAATGATACTATCAAAAACTCAGAAAGTAATCTAAATAGTTTCATAATAAAAATCAAGAAATTCTTTAGTCACAAACACATTAATGAATAAATTCCCGGATATTTTGTATTACTCTCTTTACTTTCTTCTCTTCCAAACAACAACTATATTGTTATATTATATACCAACTCACTATCCAAATTTCATTTCATTTTTTCATCATTTTTCCACTAACCAAACAAAATAGTTCTTTCTTAACGTGTTTGGTTTGGCTTTCACATAAAAACCCCAACAATCTCCAAACTTCCTGAAATGAATTTCAGCATGCACCGATGCAGGTGCTAACAAAACTAAAGTACATTAACATATATAAACACATATACTTTGCATGCACATACAAATAAATAAATAAAACGTGAAGATTGGTTTACAGATTCAACAATGGTGGGGAGAGAGTTTGACACAGAGATTTTTTCTCTTCTGGGATTTTTATAGGAAAAAAACAGCGGAAAAACGAGTGACGAAGTCAGTGTTGATGATGTGTCGTAAGAGTAATTTTCTCCTCTTAGTTGGCGGCTGGAAAATGAAGAGAGGCAAAAGAAGAAAACTAGGCAAGCAACAACAAGAGTCCCAACACGTCTTTAAAAAGACCCGCCAGTACCGCTGCTGGACTGGACCCTTCTACCGGTAATGTTAGAGAGAGAGAGTCCTCAAAACTTTTTTTTTAATGTTTGACTGAGAATAGAAAGCAAAGCCAATAGAAATGGCCAAAATTGTAGGGACTAGGGATAGGGAGGGATCTTTCAATATTTTTGAGAAAATCTTGATGATTGTTTTGGTAATTAACGTTGGACTTTTGCCTTGGAAGATTTTATTCTGTGCCATGCTTTTGGAGTTGGAAAGTCCTCTTGCAACGGTGCAACTACAAGTCCAACCATCGTTTGTCGTTTGTCACGTAATAGAAAGTTGTATTAAATATGTGCCTACAAAAGAAAAAAAAAAGGGTAGATTAGTTAATTAGATGAGAGAAAATAAGCAAGATTTCACAATGTAAATATGGTGATATGATATAAAATTAATACGAATAAAATATATAAAAATAATATAATTTAAAATTTAATAAAAATTATAAATATCTTAAGTAAAATAAAAAATATATTTTATATTTTATTATCGATTCAAATTGTAATATGTAATTTTTTTATAAAATATAATATTGATATATGAATTATCAATATTTTATATAATACAAATATATAAATTATCATATTTAAAAATAAACATATCACAAAGTAAAATTTCAAATTTCAAACATAATTCAATTAATTTATATAGTTATTTTTTTAAAAAAATGATCAATAAATTTAAATATTAAATATTAATACTTATAATTTTTTTAGTTTATTCTATGATATTTTTGTAAAAAAAAAAAAAGGAGTAAATTTTAAAATTAGTATGCCTTTATAAAAATGATGGGGTACATTAAATTTAGTTCCATAATGCTAAAGCTTGGAGAATTAAAACAATTAGAAATCAATAAAAAAAAAAGACTAAAAGCATTTATCTAAAAGTGCTTTTCATGTTTTTAAAGTCTGAACACAACTGGAAAAGAGTTGACAATGGAGCTTTCATCTGCAAAATAAAAAATTCTTTTAGGGATCAAGGTGAAATTTGTGATTATATTATGTCTCAATGTTGATATTTGTCACTATATTAAGACTCAATCTTAAATTTTGCTGTTGTACTTCAATTTTATTGAATTTACTAGTGGGTTTTCAATTTTGATGATTTGGATTAAAAAAATAACATAATTAAAATCCCTCATGAAATATTTTATTTAAGCAAATGGCAAAATTTGTCACTACACTTCAAATTTTTTTGACAAAAATAACATAATTGGAATATTTCACAAAATAATATATTAATGCAGATTATACATTTTCATCAATTTTATTCTTTTATGTCTTAAAATAAAAAAAAAAAATTTTTGAAGGTACAATGACAACATTCAATATTGATCTTCGGTTTAAAAAATTTTAAGGTAACGAGCAGCTATTCTATTCCAAGAAGCCTCAATGGAAACTCACATTGAATTTACAAATTGATCATCAAAAGAAATTATTATTATTGAAAATCAAATTTAAACCTTACAAATGAAATTTTACGTTAGATTTATTCAATTATCAATTAATTCATTTGTTTGATTTAATTTAATTATTTTTATATAAATATAATATTTGATTATAATTTTTATTGTATAAAAAAAAACATATAATTTTCAATTCTGATGACCCGAAATCATTAGATTGATCTCTAACCGAAAGCCTAATCAATTAGTTAACCACACATCGTTAATATTTATCAAGCTACCATGTATGGAGTAATAAGAAGAACCATTTGTTGGACTTTAGAACTCCAACAAAAAGTTTAATTACAAAAACACCTCGTATGATCAAGCAAAATATCCTAACAAGTTATTTGATTTTTGTTAAATAAATGGCAATAATTGTTTGATTCATATCATCAGACTTTTTTTTTTAATTTAGGTAGCTGTAGCAGCCATTGCCCCTTCTACTGTATCGATTTGTCCCCTGATTTTAAATATGCAACATTAAACCTAATTAACAACGAAATAAAAATTAATTAATTTTAGATGAAGAATAAATTATTATGTGCTATCCAAACATAAAAGACTTATAGTAATTTTCTTTGACTTCAACAATTAGTTAATCGAATATTAAATTTTAATTTTAATCATTAAAAATTAAACGTAATATCAAATAAAAAAAATAAATGTGGTACACAAACATAAAAGCCAAAAGTGTTTTACTTTTATTTTACTCATTTAATGTGGATACTTTTGGGGACTTAATTGACAGTTTTTTTTATTTTAATTTGAAAAAAGAATAGATTTAAATCTCCCTTTTAACAATTAGATCATGCACCAACTTTGAACCAAATGTTCAATTATAAATTGTTATATTAATTTAAAATTTTAATTAAAAAATAATATATTAATTAGCATGGATCGGATTGAAACGAAGCAAAAACATTCAAACGTGTTTGAAAAGTCGAAAGGTGTGTCTATAGAAACAAATTTCAAAGAAAACTGATAGAGATATAAATAGTCTTCCTTTTTCTGCTCTGACTGCTCCTTTTTCCTAATGAGAAAAAAAAGGCCAGCTTTAGAAATTCCTCACTTGCTTTAACGTTTTCTTTGCTGTGGTAACGAATTGAATGGCATAGAAAAATCTGTGTTCTTTACAAGTTTTTTGGGGAGTTTGGTGAAGGGTACAAGTTTAGGTCAACATAGATTTTCAAAGAAACAACAAAATTGGAAACGAAATGTTGGGAATCATTGGCTGAGTTTAGTTGCAACATGGCATGATATTGACGTTGCAATGGAAAAGGACTTGAGTTCTTGGGCTTGAAGTTTGTGTTTGTGTGATCAATATGATGTTTGGGTTGTCAGAAAAAAGAATAGGACAAAAGCCTTGTTCAATTTTCTTATGTCTTGTAAAGTTAAAACAGACAAGGTGGTTGGGGTTGAATGCACGATTCAACCCAATTGAGGATGAGAAACCTAACAATTAGATGGGTTTAGTTTGGCTCAATTAATATTTTTGAGTTTAAATGTGAAATTTTCAATCAAATTGTTCCTATGCACTTTTCTTTTCAAGATTTTACAAAACAAATTTGTACGTATGCCTTTTTCTTTTTTTTTTTAACTTTTGGTGCCATCAAGTTTTCTTTTTTTTTTAAAGAAATAATCACTAAATTTTTATTTTGTCAGAATTTTTATGCACTTGAGTAGTTAATTCAATTTTATATACGATTTTTTTTTTACTCCTCAAATTGTACTTGATAAAAACAAAGTAAAATTTTCAATATATAAAATATAAAATCCCTGACAAATCAAAGAAAATAGGTTACCTTTGATAGGTCAAGAAATTAAAGCTAAGAACACAAATATTGTACCCTTAGCAATAATCTGGGTTTAAGTTAGGCTCAATTAGAGTGTTTGATTTTTAATTAGGAAAATAAAATGAGCCAACTTCCCCCTTCTTGATTTTTTGCAACTCAAAATTCCTCAGATATTCTTTAATGAAACATAAATTACAGGACACTGCATCCATTGCAAAACAAAACTTTCATCTTTTTTTTTTTTGTTTAATTCAACAACTTTGATTTGGCAAAACCAATTATTGAATTTAACATTAAAAAAAATAAAAAATTTCACGATAGAATAGAATGTAAAGTGGATACGAATGTTATTTCTCCAGCCAATAATTGAAAGCAAAACCATATTGCATTGAATCAGTGGTTAATTGGCAGAACAGAAACGAGGGTTTCTACACAAGTCAATGCAGAAAAGCGTTGGGGCGCACCTGGAATACAGAGGGTCTCCCCTGTTTTCTTCTCCAAATCGAACCAAGCGGGCTTTTAACCTCCGCCATCATCTAGCAATATTTTATCACCACTCCTAGAATACGCTATAGCTCTGGTGTGGAATATATTCGTCAACCAATCCCATTCGTCTTGCCATAGACAACCTAGTTCGGTCCGTGACTCCTTAACTCCATATTCCTTCATCAACCATAAAACAGATTGTCCTTAACAAGACCAGTTGAGCAATCACGAAAAACACACAAGCATCCGCCCAATTCTCCAACATTTTTGTAACTAAAATACTTAACATCAATGTCACATTTAGGTATTTCATAATATTCCTCAGCCCCAAGATCAAGAGCAAATATCAGTTTAACTACAAAATTTTCTCCTATTTCATCCCCTACCCAATGCAAGGAATCATTAACATGAGCACCGTCATTGTAATTAATAGGAATGTTATAAGGGCAATCTTTAATCCTCCTCCAAGAATTAGCTTTCAGACTGTAAACCATAACTTTGAAGCAATTTTGAGTTTTGGATCTCAGCATTTTCACCACCTTGTAATCATTGTTGATGACATCATACCCAAATCCAAGTATGGTATTCTTATCATAGCCATATCCAGGTATGATATCATGATCCATGGTCATATCATCGCCCATTGTTGGCAGATAATAGCATTTTCTGGTTGATGGATTCCACAAAGCAATGCCTGCATCACGATGGTATACGGTAAATAATCCATTGCAAGAACCAATTATTCTGGAACGATATTTGGTGATTTCAGCTGTAAATGGGCGAGAGAATTGCACCAAGTTGCCGAGCGAGTCGAAGTCCACTGAATAGGCCTGATCATCATTTTCTATACAACTATCAAGAAAGAGCTGCACATTGGTGTTGGTTTTCAAGGACTGATTGAGATGTAGTTTGACGAAATCTGAATCATCTATGAGGGAACCCCATGCCTTGGACACGCATTTGAAGCGGAGTAGTGACTTCACTGGAAGCCGACAAAGTACGTCAGGGATCAAATCGGATGGAAAAGAAGACAATGGTGGATTCAGCAAGTGAGAAGACGGTTTGGTTGAAGGTTTTGAAGAGAAATGAAAAGTTATTTTAGATTAGAATGGTCAAAACCGATAAGCAAGCGGGAAGGTGAATGGAAAATGCCTTTAGCTTAGCTGTAACCTGTAAGTGAGTTCATTATCAGACTGTGGAAGTCAAACCTTCATGTGCCCTTCCTTTCTCAATTTTTAGACTTCTATTTCAAGCTTATCATCATCATCAGCACCGACTCCGATTATTTAATTGGTTGTTTGCAGTAACCTGATAGCGTTAACCTGTTCAAATATATTGTTTTCAGATACGATTTCATCCCCGATAAGATTTTTTTTTTTTTTTTTTTTTTGGGTTTCAAGATCTAGGATCTGGGTTTATAAGAACACAACCAGCGTGGCTGTGATTGAAGAAAACGCCGTGTGCCTCTTGCTTTTGCCTCGTCTTTGTATTTGAAATGTCATACCAATTTATTGACCTTTGATTTTTATCTTAACGTTTTGCAAAGTCTAAGACTTGCAATGACCTCTCCAGCCCTCAAAAGGGGACAAGAGAGGGTCATTTTGGGTGCATTTCATTTATCATTTTTTTTATTACAATCTTTCAATTATGTAATTATAATAAAAAAATTATGTAAAAACTTACCATTTATAAATGTAAATTACATATAAAATTTTGATCAAATTCACATAATTTTAAATTATGATTAATTAATTATAATATAATAACTATAAATGATATGCTCTCATTCTTTTTGAGGTCATATCTCCCCCAGTTTTAACAAGTCGGACACTAAATCCCCAAACTTAATCCGAGAACTAATTTCTATTTAGTGTATACTGCCTTCAAATCCCGAATCAATAAGGGAAAACTGTTCTAGAGAGTTTGAACAGCATCTACTACCTTAAAGGAAACCAAAGCTTCACGAATTTTTAAAGATAAAAAATTGAACTGGAAAGAAAGACATACAAGGAAATTTGCAAGGGAAGTTCATTTTATTTCCACAGAAAAGACGAGAACAAAAGACTCGGACCCACAATCCAACCTGGCTAGCAAACTGAAACAAGCAGTTGTTGAATGCCCTTGACCACTTTAGTACCCTTTCATGCATCTGTTGCCGTATCCCTCTCTCCAGTTTTCCCTTACCTGCCAATAAGAAGGCCAATCTTTATCTTACGAGCAACCTCAATCATGATCATTCTCTTCATGAGTCACTGGACCTGTCTGCCATATTCTAACGGTACCACTTCAGATCCTGAAACATAGGATTCCCCTGAGAAACGTACACATTGGACAGGACCATGGTGACCCTTGTTGCAACCTACAAGGATAAAGCACAACATAATTAGGACTCTTAACACTCTGACAAACACCAGTAAATATTACATCATCCAGTCAGTTCCACTCGCTACATAAACACAGTTCATCTGCTTTGATGGGATCCATCGTTTACCCTTTTCAGATTTTTTCAATAACTTGCAGCATATCCATCATTATACTGAGTTATTGGTGTATCAGAAAACACGTTATAATGCACTTTCATCCAGCATTTGAGCAATACCTGAACACGAGACCTAAATTTTTTATAAACAGCATCATGCAGTAACTAAATATTGCCAAGTAATGAAGGTGTCTACACGGCCATTCGAAGACAACGCTAAAATGATCAAATTTGGGGATTAGCTAATATTGAAGTCCCAAACAATTAATCTTCATAGATATTGCTGTTCATCTCACAATCTCAAGAGGCACTCTTCTCCAGTATGAAAATCTAAGACATGGACCCACATTTCTAATCTCACCTTGTTTGCTTTTTGGAACTCTGGATCTGGATGCGTGTGTATCCACTTATTTTTGAAAGGATTATCAACATTGAGATCATTTTAACTTATGCAAAATAACCACATTGCTCCTATGTACTTTTGTTTTTTGAAATATGTTACCATGCACTTTTCCTTTTGAGATTTTACAAAAGAAAATTTGTATGCGTATGTATTTTTCTTTTTGAACTTCTGATGTCATCAATTTTTCATATTTTCAAAGAAATAATCACTAAATTTATATTATAAATCAAATTTTCATGCACTTGAGTATTTAACTTATTAGTATATATATGTATTTATTTTACTCAAACAATCAAGTTTAAATTCTTCAAACTGCACTTGATAAAAACAAAATCAAATTTTCAATATATTATAAATAAAAAGTCGCTGACAAATCAAAGAAATATAGGTTACCATTGATTGGTCAAGAAATTAAAACTAAGCACACAATACCCTTTGATTTGGAGAATCTCTCACTACTCACTACTTTATTTGTCCACAGGTTTTATTTTAGTACTAGTTGTTCAATTTTCATATCAAATATTGCTAAAAAAGTATTGGAAGTTTCTCAAGAAATGAGATAATGGGAGTCCGAGAATAAGATGGGTTTTAGCAATGAGTCTAGCATAACATGTAAATTTTGTTGCTTAATTTCTATTAGAAAGTTTATAAAAAAAATAAAAAGGCTGAACCAAGGTGGCAGCACGTGCTTGATGGTTTTTTTGTTCCTTTTAACTTTTCTCTGTAAAGGAACAAGAACGTGGGTTTGAATGGGCATGATCCATTCCGATTAAGGGTGCAAAAACCAGCAATAATCTGGGTTTAACTGGGGCTAAATTAAAGTGTCTGACAGCTTGGTTTTTAATTTAATTAGGATTATAAAATGAGCCAACTTAAACATCTAACCTCTGTAAGTTTGTAGTCTTTACTCTCCCCTTCTTCATTTTTGCAACTCTAAATTCCTCAGATATTCTTGAATTAATTGTAAATTAAGGACACTTATGCTACGTCCATCACATTGTTATCTTCCTACCTCTATCACAAATTAAAACTTTTTATTTCGTGATGTTCCATCACAAAATAAAACTTTTTATTTTTTGTAATTCAAGAACTCTGTCACCACCATTTATAACGTTTTGACATATATAAGCAGTTGTTGAATTTAACATAAAGAAATGCATGTCAAATTTCTCACTATAGAAGAATGCAAATGTTTTTTTAAATTAGCCTGAAAATAAAGAAAATGATTGCAGTAGTTGATATTTGAATTTCAAACATAAAAGATGTCACTTCTTAAAATAATTACATGAATTATCTGAACTAAACCCTGAATTCAATACAAACGTAATTTCTCCTGCCAATTACTGAAAGCAAAAGCCTAACAGAGATAGAAAAGATGCCATTTGCATTAACTTTGGTTGCAATGAACTAATCGTTGATTGGGAGTACAGAAACAAGGCTTTCCACATAAGTCATTGCAGAAAAGTGTTCGGGTGCACCTGGAATACGGAGAATCTCCCCTGTTTGCTTCTCCAGATGGAACCAAGCAGGCTGCTTTTGTCCACCATCATCTAGCAATATTTTATCACCATTGCTAGAATATGCTATAGCTCTGGTATAAAATATATTCGTCAGCCATTCTTCTCGTGATAGATAAACTAGTTCAGTCCATGACTCCTTAACTCCATATTCCTTCATCACCCATAAAATGATATGATCCTCGTCATAACAATTCGTATACTCCCGGAAAACACACAAGCATTCTCCCAACACTCCCACATTCTTATAACCAAAATTTCTGAAATTAATTTCACATTCAGGCACATCATGATACTCCTCAACCCCAAGATCAAGACCAAAGATCAATCTACCCCCAAAATATTTGTCTTTCGTATCGCCTACCCAATGCAGGGAACCATTAGCATAGGCACCATCCTGTTTGAGACTATAAGGAATGACATAAGGGCAATCCTTAATCCTCCTCCAAGAATTAGCTTTCAGGCTATAGACCATAACTGTCCCAGATTTTACCATCATTTTGACCACCTTGTAGTCATTGCCGATGACATCATACCCAAATCCAAGAATGTGATAGTCACCCTTGATCACATCTCCACATATTAATGGTGGTAGATAATGGCATGTTCTGGTTGATGGATTCCACAAAGCAATGCCTGCTTCATAATGGTATACAGCAAGTAAACCATTGCAAGAACCAAATATTCTGGAACAATATCCGGATAATTTAGTTGCAAAGGGGCGAGGGAGTTGCTCCAAATTGCCCAGCGAATCAAAGTCTACTGAATAGGCCTTATCATCATTTGCTGCTCGACTGTCAAGAACAAGCCTGACATTGCTGTTGGTTTTGAAGGAGAGATGGAGATGGAGTTTGGCAAAATCAGAGTCATCTATGAGGGAACCCCATGGCTTCGACACACATTTGAAGCGTACAAGTGTCTTCACGGGAAGCCGACGAAGTACATCGGTGATCACGTCGGTAGGGACAGTAGACATTGGAGGATTCCGCTAGCTAGAGAAAATACGGAGTAAGGTTGAGGCTACGAAGCACGGACACAACGAAACCCTCACGTACCGTTGTGGTACCAGTATCCAACACGAACAGGCCGTTTACACGATAGAATAAGCACAGACACACGGACAAAAAAATAAAAATTAAATCGGTTACGGCCTCAACACGATCAAGACACACTTGGACAAAGATTGGATGGCGAATAACCATAAAAAAAAAGATAGAGGTTGCAGGACGGCGACCGACATAAAAAATTGGGTCAGCTGACGGCCGCTGGATGATTTTGTTGAGAGAGAGAGACGAGAGGGAATCAGAGGGTTTTTAGAGAGAGAAAGGAATTACAGACAGAGAGTGGGATGAGAAAATGAAAACAAAAATTTGATCCTTTTATGATCAGTGCTAAACGCACGTTTAGACCAGGCCAGGGGAGGGGCGAAAAGAAAAAATTAAAAACTAAAGATTAAAAATTAAATTACCTAAAAATTTTAGTATAATTTATAATTCAATTAGACTTGATCTTGTACAAAAACAAAGAATTATATTTTGGGATTTTCATTGACTGATAATTACATCGGTTTAAGTTTTAAAGAGAATTTTAAAATATTTAAGTTTTTTAATAGAATAAGATTATGAAAACTAAATACTAATAATAATTTTTTATTATATAATAAAAAATTTTAGGTAGAAATATTCAATGGGCTATTTATAATATGTCTTGCTTAATGACAAAAGAATTTTATAAATAATTTGATTATATATTAATAAAAAAATCATATTTAATGACAATATTTTTGTATAAAAAATATATTTTATTATTATATCTTATCGTATTTATATATTTATTTTTATAATCCTTAGTTGTTAAGGTTCTGGCCTCGGGGTACTGTAGGAAACGGAGGAATCTAATTAGGTGAGGAAGACGGTTAATGGTCATAACCAACTTTTTTTTTTTTAATTTACCCTTAAAATTTTTTTATCTTATTATTTATTTAACAATCTTACTACTTAACTGATTAAAAAAATTATAAATATAATTTTTTTTAAATATCAACTTTAATAATATATTAATTAATTAAAAAAATAATCGCCATTACCAACCTAAAATAAAGAAAAAGAAGCATTGGTTTGAATGAGTTCATTGTCGGCTCATGGAAAAGTGAATCCATGATGTTATTATTATTTTACCCTCACCAACTCCAACTCTGAATATTTAATTGATAGTTTATCTTTATTCGATTTCCCGTTAAAAAAAAAAAATCTTTATTGGATTTCTTGGACATTTGTTTAGATCTTATTGCTAACAACAATTTATTAACAAGAAGCAGAAGACAAGAAAGTGTGGAGAGCACTGATGCCAATGGACAAACCTTACCACGAGGAAAAGAGCATAAAGATCACCCTTTTTATAAAAGTAATAACTATTTGAATTAAATCGAATTTGATTTTAATATTTTAATATTTTAATAATATATAAAATTATAAATTTTTAAAATTTAATCCAATCGAAATTTTATATCATTTGTTTCCGATCAAATTCAGTTTGCTTAGATGATTGTTGATTTAGATAAGAGGATTGACGCTTTTTTTTTTTTTTTTGTTAAGCTTTATAAGGAAAAGAACAAGAAGGTGGGTTTGAAAAGACGTGAACCATTCCAATTAAGGGTGGCAAAAACTAGCATGATCTGGGTTTGCTCATTCAAAGTGTATGACAGTTTGATCTTTAATTAAGATTATAAAAGTGAACCAACCCAAACATTCTAATAAGAAACAGCCTCATTTAACAACTTAAGGAAGAGGGGAATAGAGGTCCAGTATGTATGCCTGAGATGTGGACAAGAAGAGGAAACAATGATGCATGTGATCAAACGATGCAGGTTGGCAAGTGACATCTGGAAAATGGGATGCTGGGGGGATGGATGGTCTAATGCAGATATTGAAATTGAGAAGGGATGGCTGAGCTATTTGTTTGAGAAAGGAGACCAAAACAGCTTGGAAATGGGACTGACAACATGATATGACACGATAGGAACGTAGATATCAAAAACAATGTATGTAAAACAGCTAAAGAAACTATGGCATATGTGAGGCAATTTCTTGAGGAATACAGAGGAGCTCAAGTACGGTCTGGTTTGCAAATCACGCGGCAGATTACAAAATGGAGAGCCCCAGAAGAAGGTTATGCTAAGGCAAACTTTGATGGAGCACTTAAGGTGTATGGATGTGTGTGTGGGATAAGGGTTGTAGTGAGGGATGGAATAGGCAATGTATTAGTGTCACAGACTTAAATAAGAGTCTTGAATCTCATATCGAATATAATCGAATATAATAAGAGGGTCATTGGAGTATAAAATGGTTCTCATCATCTTTTTTTTGTGAAACGTTTTTTGTAAAATAAAATCGTGAAATCAGGGGAGTTAGAGTGAATAATACTTCACAAGGCCATAAATCATGACAGGTAAATTGATCTGAGATGCCAGAAAAGTGCATGTTCAGATCCCGGAGTCGCGCGGGTCGGAGCTTAAATCTCGACTCGTGACACTAAAGGCAAGCTCAAACAGAGTAAAGCAGGTTAGAGATCCAGTTGTTGCAGAGGCTTTAGCTTTGAACACTGCGATTGAATTCTCCAAACAGCTGGGCATACAATCGATTATAGTGGAGAGGGATGCTCTAGAGGTGGTGAACCAGCTAACGTCCGAGGAGGAGAATCTGTCGACGATTGGAGAACTTATCCAGGATGCAAAGACATTGAGGCAAAATTTTAGTCACTTTTCAGTTGTTCATACGAAAGGGGAGGCAAATGGAGCTGCAGACTAGCAAAGCATGCAATTACATCACCAACAGAGGAGTTACAATGGATCTATGAATGCCCTACCATTATCTCTGATGTAATGCTTGCTGAAAGCACGCTGATATAAATCAATTATATTTCAAAATAAAAAAATAAAGAACAGCCTCAAGAAGTCAAGATTAACCTCAAATGTACAGCTAGCCCTTGTAAATTTGTAATCTCCCCCAATGTTCATTTCTTTAACTCCGAATTCCCAATAATATTCTTGAAAGATATCCAAATTACAAGACTGTATGCTTGTGCTGCAGATATCCATCGTATAGTTATGTTCCACTTCTTATTTCAAGATGTTACAAAATAAAAACTTTTTTTTTTGGGTAATTCAAGAACGTTGGTACCACTATTTTAACATTTTGGCATAAACAATTATTGAATTTAACATTAAAAAAATTAAAAAATCACTGTAGAATAGAGTATAAAGTGGATACAAATATTATTTCTCCAGCCAATAATTGAAAGCAAAAGCATATTGCTTTGAATCAGTGGTTAATTGGCAGAACAGAAACGAGGGTTTCCACATAAGTCAATGCAGAAAAGCGTTGGGGCGCTCCTGGACTACAGAGAGTCTCCCCTGTTTTTGTCTCCAAATCGAACCAAGCTGGCTTAAAACCTCTGCCATCATCTAGCAATATATTATCACGGTTAGAAAATCAACACGCACGTAATAACACACAAATATATTTATTTCGGTTCAACTCAAAATAATTTTTTAAAATAAAAAAAGTTATTAAAAATTTTTTATTCAAAACTTAACTCAAAACTCAATGACACCTTTTTAATAGTCTACTAACTTAGCTATTATGTTAATATCTAACTATATGTGATTATCAAATCAAAACCAAAAAATCTTATTTATAAGGGTAAAATACTTATAACTTTACTAAACTCTTGATATGAGATACAAAATAAACTCCAACTCACTTAACTTTTGATGTGAAATTATGATATTTAAGTCAAATTTCAACAAATTCTTCCTTCACTTGAATCTTCAACACTTCAACACTTCAACAATATCTGCAAAGCTTATATGTTTACCTTTCTTCTTTTCTTTCATCATAGGAATCTTTGTAACTAAGCATCTATCAAGCATGTACATGTGATTTTTAATCATATTCCCTTGTAGAATCACACTACCATTATTGTATACTTTCAATGAATCATTAGTATGTGTACCCCAAGAAGCTAACTTACCCAAAGTAATTAAATTATAGTTGTAACTCAGTACATACCTTATATGATGAAGCGTCCTAATAACACGATCGTGAGATCTAAGACGAACACTCTCAATGCCTTGAATCTACACCTTTTCATTGTTAGCAACCATAATATCTCCATACTTCTCATTCTCATCCAATTCCATAAAATAACTCTTATTATTGCAAACATGGACTGTAGCAACTGAATCTAAAACTCAACATTTATCACTTTTCAAAATTTAAGTCTCATCCACAAAAATCGTCAAAACAACATCATCATCATCAGATACAACAGCAGTAATATCACTCTTTCCTTCATCTAATTTTTTTTATCATTTGTCTTTTTGAAAGCAGTCATATCCCTTATCAATTTTTTGTAGCACACTTAGATATGTCCCTTTTCACCACAATAATAACATTCTATATCACTGTAATATCTGTCTTTTAACTTGGATCTCTCTCTTGATCCATCAATCCTCTTTTAAGTCATTCCTTGATCAAAATCCTCTACAGCTAGTATACTCCCCCTAGGTGATGAGTCTTATATTCCCATAAACATTTCGTTCTCACACGTCAGTTACATCATTCAACTTTAAAATAGATTAATCCACTAATAAAATCTGAACTAAAAATCTATAAGATTTGGGCAAAGACAATAACAAAATTAAATATTTCTCTTTATTTTTTAACTCATCAATAGAAATTGCCAGCAACTAAGAAACCAATCTATTAAACTCATTCATGTGATTATGAAGACTCGTACCTTCTTTCATATTCAGATAATACAAATTCATCTTCAAATATTATCTGTTAGTTAATGACTTCTATGCATAAATACCTTCAAGCTAATCTCAAAAACTCTTTGAAATACTCTCAGTCAACACACTATACTTTACCTTCTGGGATTAGAGAAGATTGAGAGAGTCTATGGGTATTAGTTATGAGTGTTTGATTTGATTTAATATTTGTTTATAATTCTCTACAACTAATGGATCTTATTTCTCATCCGTAAACGTAGATCGATTGAATCGAATCATGTTAAATTATTATTTTTATGTGATTATTTGATCGTTTGATTTTGCTTTCGTTGATATGATTGGATCGAGGCTTTTTAGCCTAACAATCACTACTCTTAGAATACGCTATAGCTCTGGTGTGGAATATATCGTCAACCAACCCCATTGGTCTCCCCATATACAACCTAGTTCTGTCAATGACTCCTTAACTCCATATTCTTTCATCACCATGACATGATCCTGGATATCACCGGTTAACCAACCATGGAAAACGTACAAGCATCCTCCCAGCACTCCTACATTCTTGTAACCAAAATTGATGAAATCAGTGTCAGCTACAGGCACCAAATGATACTCCTCTGTCCAAAGATCAAAAGCAAAGATAACTTTACCTCCAAAATATCCGCCTATTTCATCCCCTACCCAATGGAGGGAACCATTAACATAAGCACCGTCGTTATAATTAAAAGGAATGTCATATAGGCAATCTTTAATCCTCCTCCAAGAATTAGCTTTCAGACTATAAACCACAACTTTGAAGCAATTTTGAGTCTTGGATCTCAGCATTTTCACCACCTTGTAATCATTGTTGACGACATCATACCGAAATCCAAGTATGGTATTCTTATCATATCCATATCCAGGTATGATATCATGATCCATGGTTATATCATCACCCATTGTTGGCTGATAATGGCATTTTCTGGTTGATGGATTCCACAAAGCAATGCCTGCATCACGATGGTATACGGCAAATAAACCATTGCAAGAACCAAATCTAGAATGGTTTTTGGTCCTCTCAGCTGCAAACGGGCGAGGGAATTGCACCAAGTTGCACAGCGAGTCGAAGTACACTGAATAGGCTTTATCATCTTTTTCTATACCATTATCAAGAAGAAGCTTAACATGCGTGTTGATTTTCAAGGACTGATGGAGATGGAGTTTGGTGAAATCTGGGTCATCTATGAAAGAACCCCTCGGCTTGTACACTCTTTTGAAGCGTAGCAGTGTCTCTAATGGAAGCCGACAAAGTTTGTCAGCGATCAGATCGGTTGGAAAAATAGACATTGGTGGATTCAGCAAGAGATTAGAAAGTTTGGTTGAGGGTTTGCAGAGAAAAGAAAACTTCTTTTAGATGAGGATGGTCACTGCATACTATGTATTCATGTGCCCTTCCTTTGTTTTTCATATTTTTATACTTCCTTTCTCATCATCAGCACCGACTCTGAATAATTTAGTACCCCATGGTTTAATGTAATCTTATTGCTTAAATTTTTTTTTATATTTATTGGTTTAAGATGAAATTGTTGTTTTTATAAAAATAAATGATACAAAAAAAATTTTTAAATTACGATTTAATTTGATTTTTTTTTCATTTGGTCAATCTTAAAATTATGATATATAAAATTTAATTTATTGTTGTTGTGATTTCAAAGTATGCTTTAATGCAAAACAAAAATGACCATTTGAAATCTCAAATTTGTAAATGGCCATTGTAAAACGTAAAATGAGATTTCTACGCCAATTAAATCTCTAAATGCGGACTTAGGAAGATTTGAGCAAAAGATTGGGTTGAAGTGCAAGAAAAAAGAGCTTGAGTCTTCACTAAGAGACAATTAATGTAGAAAATCATTGACAATTATTGGCATAAAACAATCATTGAATTTAAACATTAAACTAAATCAAAATTTTCATTCTGGAATATAAAGCCAATACAAAAGTTATTTCTCTAGCCAATAATAAAGCAAAACCCCAAAAAGAGAAAGAAAAGATGACAACAAATTGCATTAACTTTGCTTGCATTTCAGTTGTTAATTGACAGAACACATAAATCATTGTGGATAAAAACGTTGGGGTGCACCTTGAATACGGAGATATTCCCCTGTTTCATCCTCCAGATTGAACCAAGCTGGCTGACGACCTCCGCCATCATGCGGCAATATTTTATCACCATCCCTAGAATAGGCCACAGCTCTGGTGTGAAATATATTCGTCAGCCATTCGTCTCGTGACAGATGAAGTAGCTCAGTCCAAGACTCCTTCACTCCATATTCCTTCATCACCCATAAATTGACATGGTCCTCCACTGGACAAGTTGAGAAGTCACGAGAAACGCATAAACATCCGCCAATGCTCCCACATTCATGTAACCAAAACCTGTACAATAACCGCCACATTTTTTCTCTCTGAAGCTTCTGTCACCTTCAGGAATTTCATAGTACTCCTCAGTCCCAAGATCAAGAGCAAAGATCCCTTTACCTCCATAGAATTCTCCTATTTCATCCCCTACCCAATGAAGGGAATTATTTATATAAGCATCGTCGTTGTAATTAGTAGGAAAGCCATAAGGGCAATCCTTAATCCTCCTCCAAGAATTAGCTTTCAGATCGTAAACCATAACTTTGTAGCAATTTTGACTCTTGGATCTCAGCATTTTCACCACCTTGTAGTCATTGCTAATGGCATCATACCCAAATCCAAGTATGGTATTTTGATCATAGTCATATCCAGGTATGGTATCATGATCCATGGTTATATCATCATCCAATGCTGGCAGATAATGGCATTTTCTGATTGATGGATTCCACAACACAATGCCTGCTTCACGATGGTATACAGCAAGTAATCCATTGGAAGAACCAATTATTCTGGAACGATATTTGGTTATTTCAGCTGTAAATGGGCGAGAGAATTGCACCAAGTTGCCGAGCGAGTAGAAGTCCACCGAATATGCCTGATCATCATTTTCTATACAATTATCAAGAAAGAGCTTAACATTGGTGTTGGTTTTCCAGGACTGATTGAGATGTAGTTTGACGAAATCTGAGTCATCTATGAGGGAACCCCATGGCTTGGTCACGCATTTGAAGCGGAGTAGTGACTTCACCGGAAGCCGACAAAGTATGTCAGGGATCAAATCGGATGGGAAAGGAGACATTGGTGGAACCGGTGAGAGGGCAAAATGTTTGGTTGAAGGTCTTGAACAGAATGAAAAGTTCTTTTAGATGAGAATGGTCAAAACAAATGAGCAAACAAGAAAGTGACTGGAAAATGCCATTAGCTTAGCTGCAACCTGTGAGCTAATTACCAGGCTGTGGAAATCAAACCCTCATGTGCCCTTCCTTACCTTCTCAATTTTTTACTTTACTTTTCATGCTTATCATCATCAGCACCGACTCAGATTATTTAATTTGTTGTTTGTAGTAACCTGATAGCGTCAACCTGTTCAAATATATTGGTTTCAGATACGATTTCATCCCCGATAAGACTTTTTATGGGCTCTCCAGTCCTCAAAGGGGGACTGGAGAGGATCCGAATCCGGTTTGAGCTCGTATCTCCCCCAGTTTTAATAAGTCAAACTAAATTCCCAACCTTAATCAGAAAATTAATTTCTATTTTAGTATATACTGCCTTCAAATCCCGAATCAATATGGAAAAACTATTAGAAATCTATAGAGATATTGCCATTGACTTCATAGAGTTTGAACAGCATCTACTACCTTAAAGCAAAACTAAAGGTTCACAAATTTTTAAAGATAAAAAATTGAACTGGAAAGAAAGATATACAAGGAAATTTGAAAGGAAAGTTAATTTATTTCGACAGAAAAGACGGACGCAAAAAACTCACCCATAATCCTACAACGTGGCAAGCAAGCTGAAACAAACACTTGTTGAATGCCCTTGATAAATTTAATACCATGTCATGCTTCTGTTGCCTTATTCCTCTCTCCAGTTTTCCCTTCCCTGCCAATGTGTAGGCCACTCTCAATCCTACGGGCAACCTCATCCGCCACAGCCTTCACTTTCCCACTCGGTCCATTTCCGGGTAGATGATCATTCTCTTCATGAGTCACTGGTCCTGTCTGCCATATTCTAATGGTACCATCTTCAGATCCTGAAGCATAGGATTCCCCTCCAGGTGAGAAACGTACACAGTGGACAGGACCATGGTGACCCTTGTTGCAACCTACAAGGATAAAGCACAACATAATTAGGACTCTTTAACACTCTGACAAACACCAGTAAAAAATACATCATCCAATCAGTTCCACACGCTACATAAACACAGATCATCTGCTTTGATGGGATCCTTTACATTTCTCAGATTTTTTTCAACAACTTGCAGCATATCCATCATTCTACTGAGTTTTTGGTGTGTCAGAAAACACCTTATAATGCACCTTCATCCAGCATTTAACCAACACCTGAACATAAGACCTAAATATTTTTATAAACCGTATTACGCTGTAACTAAATATTGTCAAGTAATGGAGGTGTCTACATGGCCATTCAAAGACGATGCTAAAATGATCCAATTTGGGGATTAGCTACTATTCAAGTCCCAAACAAATAGTCTTCATAGATATTGCTGTTCATCTCACAATCTCAAGAGGCACCTACCAAGCTCTTCTCCAGTATGAAAATCAAAGACATGGACCCACATGTCTTCTCCTCCAGCAATGAACTTATTGCCATGCTTTGGTTCCAATGAAGCTGATTCCACATTGCATGGCATATTGTAGCTTTTCACCAATCCAAAACTATTAAGGCGAAAAACAAATGTCAGCAGCTATTGGCGAAAGAATAAAGTCTACACTTTACAAAAGATGTCCAACTAAAGACTTACTGATTTGCATCCCAAAACTTAACAGTAGATCCATCAGCAGTGGTTATATAGCGACCATCCTGACTCACTTCAGCACTGGTGACAGGTGATATGGTCTCAAGTGTTTGAACAATTTTGCCACTTCTTAGATCCCACAACCTACACACATACAAGGTTTAGAGGTAACAAGGTTCAGGAAGTCATATAGAAAACCATATAATCATGTGAAATCACTGCTTCAGTGACAAAGACACAGCATGGATGTCTTACTACAAATATCTTTTATTTAATTTTTAATAAACCAATGCATCAAAGGTTTGAGAATACACCAAAAGATCCAACATGGAAGACATGATTTTCAATATATACATGGAATACTTTACCAATAACCTAAACTCAAATGTCTCACTTTTTCTTTACTTTCCTAAATCCCATCAATTATCTAAGAAAACTTCCAAATTCCCATACAGCCCGATACTAAAAATATTTATAAAGTCAACCACCGCATGTTGGCACCAGCATTTTCTTCAGCCAAGTAAAATGAACCCAAAAAATGTTTTGTAACAAGTATGCAAAACCTGCAAAATGCCCTAAAACTTCCATGCTTGACTTTTAAACTTAAGAAACAATATGCATCCCTTACACAAGCACAGAATAGTCCACCTATTAGACATCTTATTTAAAAATCCTCTGAGTGACACAAACTAATTCAAAACAGATATGATACTTGTGACAATGAATTATCTTATGGCAACCAATTGGAGAAAAAAAAAGGTCAAGGTGCTATCAATTGAACACAGTCATACCTAACACCTTTAGTATCAGTACAAGAACTTAAGATCGTCTGGTCACTGTGGAGCCATGCAACAGTTCTAATTGAACCAGGAGAATTATCCACTTGTCTTGGAGGTGCATCCAGACGATTCAAATCAAATATTCGAAGAATTTTCTCAACTCCACCAGTGAGTAGAAAGTGTGTATCCTACACAAATAACAATTTACTCAGAAGCTGCAAACAGATAACAAAAGGGAAAGACATATATAGATAAATTTATCTTCACTGAAGAATAAATTAATGAATCAGGAATATAAGTGCTAGATGCAAAAAGTTAATTGCAATATAAACATAATTATATATTAAAGAAAACAAATTTAAAAATTTTGAAGGTCTCAGATGAAAAAAATCCACTGAAGCCTACTTAAAATGACTCTGCAACTTCAGTCCATCAACAAAAAGGATATGCAATCAGACCTAGCAAATCATTCAAGTGCCAAATAAAACATGAAGGATAATATATAGATAATGAAAAATGACCCAAAAAAGTATGCAAACTTATTTTAATGGTAAACGAAATATAGACAAAATTCAAAATAAGAATATCCAAACCATTAAATTAATTCAATTCTTTCACCCTTAGTTGCTATGGAAACTTTATTAAATGGTTGAACCTTGAAAAAATAACTTTACCCACTGGCATTTCAAGAAGTACAACGCTCTTGCAATAATATCTAAATAGAAAGTAGTGATTATATATTATCAAAAGAAAAAAAAAAAGCTCATGGGGAACATATATGATAAAATACTTGTTTTCCGTGCCAGCCCTATCAATGGGCACTACATAGGCATTAAATGAAGGTCTATAACTAAAATTATAAAAAATTATAGAGGAGAAGAATTATTCCAATGGAAAAGCAATTAAGCCATACCTCCGAAAAGGCACATGCTCGAACGATATGCTTGTGCTCAAACGAGTGCAATTCATCACCAGTCAATGCATCCCACAGTTTCCTGGAAATATTGGAGGAAAATGATAAATCCTACTTTTCAATTAACCATCATCACTGAATGACACTATGAGAAAGAGATGTAAGAACAACAATAAGAAAAGCAATATCAGCTTTTAGTAGTTCATACACATGTAAATGTGTATTTGGAAGAGATCTTCAAAAAAAAGCCCATAGTAGATATCATTCAATCATTAATATAAATTAGCACAAGTCAATCAACTGAATTTATCAAGTTCACAAATTTGTAACATACCAGAATAACCAATCACATACAGCATATATTTTTCATGCTGCATGTACATATATATTATTATTGCATCTAAGAAAAGATCAATATTACAACAGAAAGAAATACACAGCATCCGTCCAATGGCAATCATGCAATGCTTTTTACTCCATCAAAAAATTGGAGAAAAAAGAACAATTTGTAAAGCCAGGACTCATGACCATACACCATCCAAACGCTTGCCCACTAGAGAATAGCTTTGGAGACTCATTAACCAAACTTCTCCTCACAATGAGTTAATGAGGGACAAAGAGCCCAGTAGCACAAATGGATGAGGTCCCATTTTTTTTTTGGGAGAGTGTTTGATAGAAAATAAATGCAAAGGGAGAAGGAAAATCAGTTGCAAAGGTGGAACTTGATATCTCTTAGCACACAAAAAAAACCCCCAAACAATGATTTTTATTGCTAAATAAAATTACGTACGCAGAAAAATCAGCTGAGGCAGATGCTGCACGTAACGCATTGGTATCCAGGCAGGAGCTCCATACTGCACCCTTATGCCCTTCAAATGTGCCAATCCAATCTCCAGTCTCCCCATTTCTTAACATTGGACTGGAGTCTGAATTTCCAATGCGTCATTACAAATAGAGTCAATAAACAGAGTCAATTCACGTCACAGCATGCAAAAACAATCATTGTCATCTACCATGACTTCTCAGGAAAATAGAAATTAAAAATGTTAACATAGCAAGAAATTAATTGATATACCTAGATAACCTACAAAAATGGATTATGGAAGACGAAAGGATCAACAATAAGATTAAAAAAAAAATCCCATACTCAACATGATTAACCACAAAATAGATTTCCAGCTTCCAAAACATCATTCCATTTCAAGTGACAGAACAACAATAACTTACAGTTCCTTACACCTAAACAATTGCTAAAGGCCAGCTAAATGCAATCTTACTTCAACATTGTATCACCATATTTGAAATCACATAACTATAAAACTACTTAAGAGTTTGCAGTTCAATCTAATGAGACTAAAATTATTACTGCATAACTAATCAAAGAAAAAGGAAGTTAATAAGCAAGTTTGAAACATTAAATAAATAAATTCAAAGCTGAAAATTAATATGGTCCAGAGGACCAGAACAGACTAACTCAAAACCCAATTCAACATTCCTGTATCTCAATTCAAATACATAGCTGATTATACCAAAATAATCACTAAAACATAATTCTAAAAAAAAAAAAAAAAACCCAAATTTATAATTGGTGTCAATCAATAAATCAAAGCCATACCTTTACTGGCACTAATAAGAAAAAAGCCATCAGGGGTGATGGGGCTGTAGAACAAATCAACCACTGGCCTTGAATGCCCATGGCACACTAATGGTACAGCCACCTTTTTCTTCTCCATTTCTCCAATTTAACAACAACAATAGTAAAATCAAAAACCCAAAAAAATAAATTCCTAAATTGATCCTTTTAGATCAATTAAAAAAAATTTTCTTAATATTAACAAAGTGGGTCAATATTACATAACCGAACCAAAACACTATTTTTCTTGTCAGAAATTACGATACTTGAAACAAAACAAAAAAAGTTTTTCTTTTTCTAAAAGAAGGGGATGAGAAGAAACCCTACAGCTTAATTTTTTTTTATGATGTTGGAAATGTTATTGCTAGGTACTGTAAATGCTAGAATATGAAAATCAAAACAATTTTTTATTTATTGCTAAATATGAAAAAAGGGAAAAAAAATAAATGAAAAATAAATAGCTGATTTGTAAGGGCTTGGAGAGAGCAACGAGACCATGGAAGCAGATCATTATATAGTAGTCTGAGATTTGTTGGTTTTGCAAAGAAGGGTTGCTATTTTTGGATAATATAAGCTTTAGCACTCCATTTCTTTTCATATTTAACTTATCCGCCATCTAATTGGCAAAATTACAAAGTCAACCATGGCATTTAAATTTTTAAAGCAAATCATTATACTTGCATAAAATGTGCAATGTCTCAACTCTAATTTGATCCAAATAGAATCACAATTCTTATTTTGATTCAACTTATCTCAATTTAAAAAAAAAATAAACTTATATCCTACACTGATGATGAAAATTTTCACTTCAACGGCAAAATTAAAGAATTGATATGTGTATTTTAATAAAATAAATTTATAAATATTAAAAATTAATTACTATATAAACAAATGTCAACTTCTAATTCTGCCAAAGCTGTTTAAAATTTCTATTATTGTGTGTTAAATTTTTATAAATCTTTATCCAATTAATAATAAAAAAAATTTGACATGAGATGTAAGAAAAATAATGGTCGTAACATACATAATGTAATGTAATAGTAAGGAAAAGATTGTAGTGTAAGAATGTCTTAGTTGAAGGAAACAATTGTTGGCCTATAGTTTATTTATTTATTTATTTTTTAAAAAAATTTAAAGTTTGGTACATTATATTTATATATTTTTTAAAATATTATAAATAATTATGCATATAAATTCATTTAAATTGATAATCTTTAAATATTAATTGTCTAATCTCAAACCAACTTATCAAAAAATTAAATCATAGATTTTACACTTTTTTATTAAAAGAAAAGAAAAGAGATTTGGACATCTCTTTAAATATATTCACCATTAAATTGACCAGTTCATGGGAAAAAAATAAAATAAGTAAAGGAAGTTTTATTTTTATTCCAAACCAAAAAAAAAAAAGGGGTACAAGTGGTAATTTGAAGATGTAAGGAGGGTAATATCGAGAAAGAAAGAAAGGAAGCGGGTACTAAAAGGTCAAGATCTCGAAATCGTGCCTGTTGTGGCAGTGTTTTGGAGTCTTTCATTATCTCAGTCCGAAAACCTTCTTAGCTCGCAGGGCTCTTTCTCTTCTCTTCTGTTCAACGTTATCCGTTTCTCGCTTTTTCCTCCCAAAGCAAGCCAAGATTTTTCTGCAGGAAAAAAAAAAAACCCTAAGTAATTTGGCGAGGAAATGTCGGGGAAAGGAGCAAAAGGGTTGATTACGGCTGGCAAATCGACCAAGGACAAAGACAAGGACAAGAAGAAACCCATCTCTCGCTCTTCTCGTGCTGGTCTCCAGGTCCGTCTCTCTCTTTTGCCCCTTAATTTTCCGCTTGAATTAGCTTTTCTTTTGATGGTTTCCGTGAATTAGATTTTGTGAATTTTGTATTTATGAAGCATTCTTTAATTCTAGGAAACGGTGTAGTTTCAGATCAAGAAAGGGAGGTTCTTTTTGTTAATTTATTCTCTTGTTTATTGCTTTGTAATTGTTTAATTAATTTATTTTTTGTTGAGAAAATGGCTTCTAAATTTACTGTGGAATAATTTAGGCAGGAATTTGAATTAGTATTAGTTATATCTTTCGGAAATCTGCCGGATCTATTGTATCAAATCAAAGTAAACTATGTTTTGCTGTGTTAAAGGGTTATCGATAGATAATCTGGCCTAACAATGGCATGCTTTAAAGATTGGCTTTTGGTGCAAGTCCAATTGTCTTGTTTCTGTGCGTTTTGATTTCTGGGTCCCATGGTAAACAGTTTATCTTGCTAAAGGGTCCTTATAAACGAACCTTTTAGTTTTCTTGCATGGATGTCTCCGTTTATTGGGCTCTTTGTTGATAACATTTCACTTTTCAGCTGATTTTTATGTTTGAAGTTAGTTGTTGCAAAGAAGAGACTTATGTGTTGTATGAACAATTATGGTCCAGAGTTCTGTCTTATCAATTTTTATTTCCATGATGGGGGTGAAAAAAGAGAAGCAGAGACGTAGGATTTGGAGTTGAGACAAGATTTTCCTGTTGATAACTCTGGTTCTGCCTTTTCATCTAATGGATTAATTGCCATAGCGTCTGAGATTTGTATGTAATTTCCTTATTCCAAGGAGCTAAGAAATTTTGTGAAGGAGCTTTAAGGGTGTGGTCTTTGAAAAAACCAGATAGTAACTCTTGCTCTAAGTCAAATGACTATAGTTCAGGATATGCTGGTTTAAAATGTGCTAATGTGCCATTTGACTTTTTTTATTTTCTGTTCTGATGTATTATGATTGCGGCAACAAGTTCAGTAAACTGATTTGTGATTCATAAGGTATTGAATGGTTTTCTCTTGTTTCTTTAAATGTTCACTGAATGAGCTTGAGGTTTACATACAAAATAACAGCCATGAAATGATAACCAATAATGAAGGTTTACTTTTTTGATCCATTTTTTATGAGGGATTCATGCACAACATTATGACATGCTTTCAATCATGGCTTTGTTTTGAGGTACCTTATTGGTATAACAAAAATGGACTCATTAGTATTGCTCTGGTAAAACTCCATTGTCTTAGTAAAAGTATGTGTAAGTTTGAATTTGTGGGTGAAAGAAATATTTTTACAGGGAAAGAGTATACTCATTTCTTTCTGGTCTGCATTGACTATTTTATGCCAAATTTCTTTCCAGTCTGCATTGACTGTTTTATGCCTAAATGGAATCTAGAATAGCAATGAGATTTGTGGATTGACTATAGTATGGTCTGTTCCAGCAAAGGAGAACTGAGAGTTACTTGGCAAAAAATAGACACAGACTATATAATGACATGCATATTAATAAAACCAAACAACATTTCGTTAGTCTGGACTGCTTTTTTAGAGCTTTTAATGATCCTCGCTAAACTTAATTTTCTGAGTTTGGCAAGTCAGCATCCTTTTCCATGTTTGTACTTTATTCTGCATCCTAAACTGTTTGGCAGAAATTGGGTTTTCTGTGTGTGGTCAAGGAAAATTAGTATATCATCATCTGTAGGATACATGATAGAATGAATATATTGTTCTACTTTGAACTCTAGTAGAACTACAGTTAATTATTCTAAATTATAATCAGTTGCTTTTTATGTTTTATATGTGCTCCCTTTAGTTTCCTGTGGGTCGTGTCCACCGGCTGCTGAAGACAAGGGTTAATGCAAATGGAAGGGTTGGAGCAACTGCTGCTGTGTACACAGCTGCCATACTGGAGTACCTGACTGCAGAAGTGCTAGAACTGGCAGGTAATGCTAGCAAGGATTTGAAGGTTAAGCGTATTACACCTAGGCATTTGCAGCTTGCTATCCGGGGTGATGAAGAATTAGACACCTTGATCAAGGGAACCATAGCTGGCGGTGGTGTTATCCCGCACATTCACAAATCACTTATCAACAAATCCTCCAAGGAGTAGCTTATGTAATTGATCTCCGTTCGTTAGTCTTTACCCATAAACCTCAGAAAAATGTTTGAGGCCTGTTTGTTTCTGGACAAGGTGGATACTTGTTTTGTCTAGTAGCTAATTATGGAAATTCAGAATTTGAATTAGAAAGATGAATTGATGGATTATTAGTCCAAACTGTTCTGATATTTTATGTGGATGCATTCCTCATTAAAACTTAGGATGGCTGTGGGCGTTAGAATGATTCTTTTCTCCAATTTTATTTTATTCTTTTCTCCAATAATTTAATTTATCCACAAATCTTTTAGCCCCAATGATGTTATCTCCTTCACGAGAGAACAAAAAATTACTGGAACTGGGGTAAGATTATGTGGACTCCATTCTATCCTTTTTTCTGATATAACATTCTTATTTCTTCTAAGCTCTACAACTCAGTTTTCATTAAAATTTAACTTTTTTTTTAATTTGCATTTTTATTAATTTTGAGGATGCTGCATGCAGAAAGTAAAGAGGTAAAAGTGCTGCACGTAGAAAGTGAAAGAGACAAAGGCTAAGTAGCCAAATCAACGACCAAATGGAGCCTAAATGCCCAAGTAATAAGATAAACAACTTAGGATGGCCAGCACCCAACGGAATGTATTGCCTTCCACCACCACATATCTGATTTTTTTTTTTTTTTGGAGTATTCATTCGACACTCCACTTCCACGTCATATTCGATGTTATTTGGGTTGAGAAGCATGCTATGTTTGACTTTGCTTTGTTTTTCCTGAAAGAAAAGAAGACATTTCAAATAAACCCATTTTTAAAAGATAAATAAAATAAAATACTAAAAAACTCCTAAAATTTATCAAATTTTTAAGTATAGGTTTATATTATACTCAAATATTTTTGATTTGATTTTAGATAAACTCTTATTTTAAATGAAAGGTGGACCATCGTTGCACCCAATGTCAACTGAGATTTTCCTTTCTTTTTTTTTTTGTTCGAAGAGATTTTCTTTTACATGTTTACGTTGAAGCAGATATGGCTAGGGTCGACAAATCAACCCGAAATCATCGGGTTTCGACCCGATCCGACTATTTTAGGGTCAGATTTTTTTTTCAAAAATCGAGTTTCGGGTCAGATCGGATCGGTTTTATTTTTTAAAATGTCGGATTCGGGTTGGGGTCGGGTTTGTATGAAATCCGACCCTACCCGATCCGAAATATTTATCAAAATACCCTTAATATATATATAATTTTTTTTAGGGTTTCTGAATTTTAATTTCTTTTGGGTTTTGGCCGCTCTCTCTCGTTTTCCTCAGCCGTTCTGTTTTGCATTTCTGCTTCTATCTGCCAGACTGTCAGGCTGCTTCACACTCACACAGGTGCTGTCCACTCCCAAGCGTGCATTTCAATTCCGCCAGTTCTTTCTATTTTTTATTTCCAAAAACATTATTTTAATTATTATTTTAATCAATTCAGTCCTCCTATTTTAGTCTTGAATAAATTTCAAACCATTTAATATAAACCCTTTTTATCAGATCCAAACCGTTTCTTTGAGTCTGATAAAACCCAAAGCAAAACAAAAAAAAAAAAGAAACAAGAAGAAGAAGGAGAAGAAGCTTATTTTTTTTCTCTGAAAACAACTTTAACAGTTTTTTTTTTTATTGCTTGGTTTTGAAAGGCTTGTTTCTTAATAACCTTAATCTTTTGTAAGAAATTTTTTTTAATTTTTTAGAATTTTTAACTTTCGTTTTTAAAAAGCCGCTGCTTTACTTTCTTGTTCATCTTTCTCGATTTTTTTAGTAAGCAGTTTTGATTTTTCGTTTCTTCCAACGAATCCGAAACGTTTTCAATTTTTCATTTTTTTCTCCTTTTATTTTCTTTTTCTCCGTCAAAATGTCTGCTATGTCGATCTTCTTCTAAGTTTTTCAGTGGCGAGTTTAGCCAAGGATATTAATTTGAATTTCCTAAAAAAATAACTTTTTTTGGTTGATTTTCGGGTTTTTCTTTCAAAAATGATGTGATTCAGCGTCGCCGATGACTTTAGCGAAAAGTTCGTAGATTAGTAGGAACAGGCCATAGATGATTTTACTAGATGTTATTTTCAGGCATGTTTGCTATGTCTCCTTATTCTTCCCTTTATCTCTTGTTGTCTTATTTGAAGGCAATAACAAACATAATGATGATAACATTCTGATCTACAAGAAATTTAAGTGATGAGTTACTACCTTGCTTGTATGAAATTCACTGAGAAATTTCGTTCTTGTTTATATAATAGGTGAGGATTCTTGTTAGATTATATGTCTATAGTTGAATATGCCATCGTCTGGTTCTGATCCATGCATATCAACAATACTGCAGTTCTCAGTGTGTTACCTTAGCATTTTTTTGAAGGGGGAATCATAACAAAATGGTTCTGTTTGAGATAATTAGTCTAGTCTTTCTGAATAGCTTGCTTTGCCCTTCAAGTTATAATCTTAGTTTATTGTCATTAGCATAAACTTTAGTGGTGTTTGGAAATTAATCATGTCTGTTATTTTTGAATGAAGGTAAAATGTCTAATTTGGGAGATAATTCATGTTCCCCAACACCTCCTACTTCTACCTCACATCAATCACCAATTCAGCAAACTCCAATTCCAACATCTGATGAAAATACAACTCAATCATTAAGTGTGACGAATCATGGTGCTGAAGTTGATGATAGTGGGTATAACTCAAGTAAGCTAAAATCAGAAGTATGGAAACATTTTAAAAAAGAGAAAATCAATAATGAATGGAAGGCAATATGCAATTATTGTAAGAAAAAACTTGGTGGTGCTTCAAAGAATGGGACAAGTCATGTACGTGAGCATTCAGACAGGTGCTGCAAGCGATTTCAAATGGATATTCGTCAACAAGTGCTGGTAGCAAATCAAAAGAAGGCAGATGGAACTAAAAAACTTTTCCTTTGATCAAAATGTCACAAGGAAGGAGCTTGCCAACATGATAATCATGCACGAATATCCTTTATCAATGGTTGATCATGTGCAATTCAGAAAGTATTCTTACAGTCTCCAACCTTTGTTTGCTATGCCTTCTCGAAATACTATAAAGAGTGATATTTTGAAGATTTTCAAAGAGGAAAAGGCAAAAATAATATCCAAGTTGAAAGCTAATGAAGGGAGAATTGCTATCACAACTGATATGTGGACCGCTGATCACCAAAAAAGAGGATACATGGCTGTCACTGCTCATTACATCAATAATCAATGGAACTTACAAAAACGCATCATCAGGTATATTTTATTAAATTATCTTATTTTGATAATGTTTATTTTTTATTAAGTAATTATTATTATTGAATTAATTATTAAATTAGTGTAAATAATTGATTGTTTAATTAGGTTTGAATATGTGCCAACTCCACATACAAAAGAGGTCATTGCTTCAAGTTTGATGAAATGTTTCCTAGATTGGAATATTGATAGAAAACTTTCATCTATTACAATGGATAATTGTAGTGTGAATGATGGTGTTATTGAGTTGTTAATTGATAGAATTGGTTGTGATGCATTTTTGCTTAATGGGGTTTTTTTTCATATGCGTTGTTGTGCACACATCTTGCATTTGATTGTGAAAGATGGATTGAGTGGGATTGGAGATGAAATTGAAAGAATTCGTGATAATGTCCTTTTTTGAGGTGCTACACCAAAGAGGTGGGAAAAATTTGAAGAGGCAGCGTGTCAATTGCGCATTCCAACTTTAAAAAAATTATGTGTTGATGTCAAAACACGATGGAACTCTACTTATTTGATGCTTCGAATAGCTTTGTTTTATAAAGATGTTTTTCCTCGTTGTGTGCAATTACATGGTGATCCTTTGTACAAACATTTACCAACTGAAAATGATTGGATCATTGCAACTGAGATTTGTGAAAAGTTAAAATTGTTTTATGATATCACTAAAGGGTTTTCTTACACAAAATATGCTACTGCAAATTTTTATTTTCCTAATATTTGTAAAATCAGATTGGCATTGAATGAATGGATTATGCAGACCGATAGAATTATTTCATGTATGGCTGTGAGCATGTTAGGCAAATTTGAAAAATATTGAAATGATGTGCATGATATAATGGGTGTTGCTACAATTTTAGATCCAAGGTATAAAACAGAGTTGTTGGAGTATTACTTTGAAAAGATTTATAGAGAAAATGCTGAATTTGAAATTGAAAGGATTGTGTAAATATGTCGAGATTTGCTTAAGGAGTATGAGGAAATTTTGGCTTTGAAAAAGGAAGAAGGACCTTCTAGTTCAAGCTTTTCATTCTTAGATGGTGTTGGTGTTACTGAATTGGAAAATTTGAGAGATTATGATGATTTTGTTTCAAGAAAAAAAAAGAAAAAATCAAAAGTAAAATCAGAGTTAGATCGTTACTTGGATGAAGAAGTCATACCAAGAAAAGGAGATTTTGATATATTGAATTGGTGAAAACTAACTGGGCCTCAATTTTCGACCTTACAGCTTATTGTTAGAGATATATATGCCATACCAGTTTCTACTGTTGCTTCAGAGTCTACTTTTAGTACTAAAGGGAGGTTGGTGAGTGCACAACGTAATAGACTTCATCCATCAACTATAGAAGCTTTAACATGTTGTCAAAGTTGGTTATGGGCTAAAGAAGAAGGTACAATAATTCATATTATGTAATTTTATTTTTTATTTTAGCATATTGTTAGTTATTATATTTTGTTGTTATATATTATTTGTTAATGTTTTATTATTTCATTTGTAGGGTCAATTTCATTAGAAGAAAATTCTTTTTACGAGGATGTTGATGATAGTGAGATTGAGGAAAAGATAACTAGTTTGGTAAATAATATTATCTTTTTTAACTAATTCATTTTTTATATTATTATTTTTAAATATATTATTTTATGATATTTATTTATTCATCTTATTGTTTTATTTTATAGGACTAGTGTGGTCAGAGGAGAATGATGATATGAAGCTTAGTGATGATGAAATGATTTGTTGTGGTCTTGGAAGATTTTCACCATATTGGATGAAAGAATGTTCAAACAATTTAACTTTTTATTGTGGTAGTTTAAGCTTTTAATGTTTATCTTGTATTATGTATTATATTTAAATTTTAGTTATTAACTTATGCTTGTTTGATATTTAAATTAGTTTACTAAGTTTTATATATT